TCGATTGTTTGGTTTCAAGATCACATCGTGAATATTTGTGATATTTTGGTCATTTGCGTAAAAGATCAGGGTTTGGGTTACCACCTAATTTGCAATTGAACACTTTGGCAAATAAATATCTTGAGACAAACCCAATATAAAATTTGTTTTGCTGATTTAACACGAAATATTCAATGGATATGACGTTTTTACTTTTGTGTGGTCTTAAACAAATCTACAAATCTAGTTATTTTGACGGAACTCGATAAGAAATCTTAGGATAGGAGAGATTTACGAGCAGATAATGGGATAAATCATGCGGTAATTTGCACTAAAGTTTATTTATTTAATTGCTAATGCTGTTTTCGAAGAGAGTGATTCATTCATATTCGAATTACTGCGGCTTTGAGACGTTGGTTCTTGAGATGACTGTTTGAAAAAAATTGGAAGGTGCATACATTTTGGATATGAGAAAAGGACAGTGACTTGTTGGTAAAATTTGAAAAATAATTAGCAATGACGAAGAAAATTAATGAGTTGTCGAAAATTGTTGAATCTTTAGAATATTGTCCATTTTAAAAACCATTTATTGTGCCCAAAATTGACGATTTTTATAATCTGTTGTTTTGGTTCAACCAGATAATTCGTATTTAATATTATAATCTAATTATAATCAGATTAACGGTCAAAACCATAAAAAAGTTCATTAATCAAAAGATTCAGTAAAAGGTTTTGAGTTATAAATTGCGGGTTATTTAAATTTTACTCTTCTTCCTATGATCCGTATATCGTCGAATAGAGCACGCAGTACATCTCCATTTATCATCGTTTAAAAGTTGTCATTTTTAGTTTCTCTATCATTCTCATAATGTATTTTTATATTTTTTTCAGAGAAAATAAGCGTAATTTATTGGTAAATACAATCAATGTCTAACGCTCATAATTCAAATGTTAGTATTGATTCACAAAAGTAAAAGATATGATGTAATGCGGCAAGAAATTTCTTGAGCAAATAAGGGTAAAATTCCTCCCGTCAGCGTCCAATAAACTGTCGAACTATCTATCTAATATGCGGAACCCAGGGATGGCTTAGATGGATTTAGACATAACGTTAGAGTGTAAATATGTGATTCTATCTATCATAAAAGAGAAATACACGTGTCTCATGGAATATATTATACATAGGCAGTTGTTTGGTAAGTATGATTTGTGAGTAAGATAAACTCTGGTCTAAATTATAAAACTTTATAGACTGTTCAATCGTTTATTATCTGTAATCTTCAGGCTTAAGACTTAATCCGGAAATTCTTTACCTACTTGCACCTGCAGGTTATACGATAGATAATCCGGGCTCCGGATTCGGGCGGCGTAAACCGGATTACATGTTACAAGTTGAGAAAATAATTTGACCGAATGTCCTTTTTATCGTATTTAAAATCTTCTGTATAAATTGTTCAAAATAAACAATTGTTTAGTTGATTGATACATTCCGATTCCATGATAAGTACACTCTCAAATTTAAACAAAATTAGATACAAATCATGCTATACTCTTAGATCATATTCTCATGATAGATAAGGGTGGAGGTAAGCAATATCAATACAGCATTTTCTGATTTATTTATTATGTTCGTCATATATGTTTTAAATTGTAATTCGGAAAGCTTGCATTACCTACACGCTTATATCGATGGAATTTAATGTCTTTATGGTAATCTAATCCACTTTAAATATGAATAAATTATGAATTCCCTTTAAATAAAAGTATTTAAAATAATGACCCTGTTATAATTCTATTATCCGGAAATACTGCTCTTGTACTTCGGGCATATTTGTAGCATATGAATAAATAAACTAATGTCTGAACTTTTATTAAATCTCACATATATATATATTACTGTAAGTATCCTTCTTAAACTACTTCCTCGGTAATAACTCAGTATCTTTAGGTTAGTTTAACACAAAACCTAAGGAGATCCTAATCCCTTTCGAATATTTATGTAGATTGTTCATTGATCTACAATTAAATACTAAATTTGATATGTATGAGAAGTTGCTACATTTAATCAAGTACCCTTTTCTTGAAATAAACGGACGGAAATGATGGGAAGGATAGTAAATAAATATTTAGCTGCCGTAGCTTTTAAAATTTTGGGACCAGCAGCATAATTTAAAAACGGTTCCTTTACATTTGAACCCACGTACATTTGAACCCATGACAATTGCACCTGTATGCTATTGCACCTATGGAATTTTTTTTGTTTCACGGATAGTTAAACCCATACTAACCCTAACCCATGGATTTTAGCACCCGCATATAGATTGAACCCGTGGATATACGCATGGGTTCAAATGTACATGGGTTCAAATGTACGGTCACCTTTAAAAACTGGTGCGAAATGGACGCAAGTCCAAAATTTACAGTAATCATTTTAATATTTTATAATTCAAATACATTTGTCCTTCTTAATTTTATTTACTTGTATGCTGCATGTAATGTCACTTCATCAAAGATTACGGATGCCAGGTGCTCAGTCTTGCAACAGAAAATGATGCCATTCTCCCAATCGCTACTTTTAGGTTGAATTTTGGTAATGCATCATCAAGTACATAATTCAAATACATTCGTCCTTTTTAATTTTATTTACTTGTATGCTGCAATGTGATGTCACTTCATCAAAGATTACGGATGCCAGATCCTCAGTCTTGGAACAGAAAATGATGCCATTCTCCCAATCGCTACTTTTAGGTTGAATTTTGGTAATACTCATTAAGTACACTCAAGTATTTTTAATATTTTACAAATCTAGTTTTATTTTTTGAATTTGATTTAGGCTTGCACGTAATTTACGGATTTACGGAATTACGGAATTATTTCGAGTTACGGAAGCGAAGTTACGAATTACGTAAAGTCGTAATTATTGGTCGAGCGCTTTGGCAATTGAAACGAGCTCTTTTCAGAGCAGTCAATTCCGTCGATTGTAAAAAATTAAAGTTTAATAAGTAGAAGAAGTTAGAGTTCCGGTATTCGCAGCCGTTTTCCTCTCTCTTGTCACGCAGGTGGGGAAGGCATAACGCGTTGCCATTTACTAATCTATTATCAACTTATCTAGCATGGCCAATGTACATATTAACCGGAGATAATGCCGTGATAATTAATGTCGCGCTTATCAATCAAACAGCAATATGACGACGGAAGAGAAATTGCGTAATGAACCAACGCAACTTAGTCTTTTCGGCATCGGTAAAGCGATTGAGCCGGCAGAGAGACGACGGGATTTCCCGTGTTTATTCTGCGCGAGAACCATTTTCTATTACAGAATCTTGATGTTCTGTTACCGGTTTTATCGTTAAATATCTCTCCAGACATGGCCTTGCTCAATATGTTTTTCACAATGCCTCGCAACATTTCGGCCAAATATGATTAAATGTCTTTACCAAATGCGGCAACTTATTTTGATTCATCATCGTCTCGAATATCGCCAGCATTCGACCAAACTTGTGTCAATCTTGGCCGATAGGATTGTCGACTTGAGTTAGAAAAATAAATTAATATTTTCGTGAGTGCAAAATAATTGTCACAAAATGCATTGTTTTGCGATATAACTTTGTATTTCCGGAGAAGGCATGTCATATAAGTACGGTATTTAAATTATGCGCAAATAATTAGTATTTGATCTGAATTATCGCAAATAATGTTATAATATTTAGGCCGCGAAATGATTTAATGTAAAATGAAGCATGGTAATCGGAATATCGTCAATAACTCGGCATCAATAATTATTATAAAATGCTAACTAAGTAGTAAAGTCGGATATTGTATAAAAACGGTGAAATAACAAGTCTGATTAATAAATTAGAAACCCGAAATTTTATATAATACGAAAGTCCTATTAATACGCTAATACGATTTTAAAAAAGTCAACTATCGTTTCATAAATATCCGTATACCAGTGTCGGTAATGATAAAATTGATCGCATAAAATTGGGTGATAAATGTGATAAAGGAAAATCAAAGCTAACACAAAAGATAAAAATCAGAATAAAATTAATTTGAATTCACTCCTTGATATTTGTCTTTAACACCTGTCGCCGGCGTGTAGTACTGCCGGGAATATGAAAACCAAACTTCGATGTCCCATTCGGAATAGAAGTGGATTCAATTGGTTGTTATGATAGGTTTAAATGCGTGAAAAAAATATCGAAATTACGGGGTCATTACGTAATCGATTTGGCCGTAATTACGGAATTGATTTTTGTCAATTACGTGCAAGCCTAATTTGATTAGGTACATTTATACTATTACACGAGAGATTAGTATAATCGACGCTTGAACTTTCGGTCTGATGCTGTTTTTTCTAAGCACCACTTGACCGAGCAATGACCGTCTTACAGTAAATAGACTAGGAGAAAATCCAACTTTTGAAGACCATTTTCATATGCAATCAGTCATGAACTAAATCAAGCCCAGCCTCGTAAAATATAATTTTCAACGTAATAAGCAGAGTATTTTTCTAACGCAATGGAGAAACGGCGCCAGCCAAATCGGTGTCTTACCAACGTCGTGCTCCTATGTATCCAGTTAGTTATATACTGTGGGGCAAATGGTTAGAGTAAACATATGAAATGGTATTCATGCTAAGTTCTGAATGATAGATGTGTATGTTACAGTATTCATATAATTGTGAGACGGGACGTTTTCGAGTCATCTCTGGAAGACCGCAAACGCAACTCGAATTCAAATCCCATACTCTTAGTGAATAAATTACTGATGTAAACCACGGTACGTTTTATCGGCACAATTAATGTAGTCTGATAACAACATATGTCAACGATCAAAATCATGACAAACCTGATAGCAGCCAATACTCCGAATATCAACCTTTCAATCTCCCTAATTCCCATCATATTACCTCATGATTTCCCACAACACTATAATAACTGTACGCGTTTGCACGACTCTGAAAAGATGGTAATCTAACCTATATTATCCCGCATACCCACTTCAAGTAGAAATGCACATTCCATCTGGAATAACTTCTTACTCTTTATTAAAATGTAATATTATTGGCAGTGATGTATCAGTGATTAATGGCACCTTTAGGTATCATAATTTAAATGTTTAAAGGCAGTGTGTAAAGTTTTCAATATCATAGAAGTTATAAATTTACAGACAATGATTGGCAAACAAAAATTTCGAGGGCAGTTCAATACAGTCTATTGGATTCAAGTTACGGTATTTTTTGGAGTATAGAGAGTAGTAATAGGACGATCGAACGAGCTCCATTAGATGCCGATTTTTTATACCAATAACGTAACAAAAAACTCGGCGTGTGTTCCAATGATAAAGGCGTTATGACAAATACATTACATAAGCAAATATTAATATGGCCAAGAAAACACCCAAGTGATGTATTTCCTTAATCTTAACTTTCAAATGCGAATGCTGCTAGTTTTGATTTCGAAGATTGGCTGGAGATGGTATCAGTTTTTCTCATTTTGGTATTTGGAAGATCACAAACGCCATTTTCAATATCCTGTGTGTTTTCGTTCTCCTCGTCTTGGTCGTCGTCGAGTTTCCGTTTCGCCCCGGTAGTGGCCGGAGTCGATGAATCACCACCAGATTTAGCTTTTTCATTCCATTCCTGAAAAGAACAACGGTTTGAAATACCTACACATAGGAAACTGTCTCAGACTGAGTGTATCACTGAGTGAAATCTCGGAGATTGAGACCAAAGACACGAGTTAGCAATCGATGGTTGGAAGCGTCTTCCGCAGCGCCGGTTATTTGTGATTTCAACAAAAATTTGACAACTTGAAGAAGAACTAAATTTTTGACCATTTTTTGGGGAGATTTTCTAAATGGAAGGTCACGCGCACTCATTCAGAAGTTAAGCAGATTCATTTCTGAGCAAAGTTAATGACGGTCACTGAAATACCAAGAACAAAGAAAGTATATAGGCCAGTGGTACGGTACGTTAGGTATTACACAAGGGCAATTTGGGTTCTTATTGTTGACTCACGCAAAAAGCTATGCAACTGACAATATGCAATGTTGAAATATTCGCAAATATATCGCCGATAAAGGGTGTGTAATGACTAGTTTCACGAATAGATCACAATATGTTTTACTAGTTTCGTAATGCCATTATGCCACGATACATAAATATTAAATTCAATATTGGAAGTGGTAATATCCGCTAAACGTCCACAAATACTGCGAAAATTGCGGCATCCTAACGCATCAAATTCCTGTAATTTTTATAAAGAAAGTATCAACATTGCGTGACTAGCATCAACAAAATGCCTTGAACACAGTTCATCGATTTCAAAATGAACGTTCAAAAAAAATTTCATGAAACATAATCCTTCATATTTTCCACTTCAATATCCGGTGTTTGCTTGTTAGTTCGTGTAAAATTACCATAATGGAGTTGGTCTACCAGGCACGGTTCATGAATAAATCATGTCTGAATAGTCGCAAGTAAGCATTTGAAAAATTTGACACAATACAATGTAATAACTGACACAAAGACCAAACAAGATTCGCATTAAAAGTATTGTTGTAACGCAGGAACAACATGGACAATTTTCGCATAAACCAGAATAAAATTGTTGAAATTGCTTTGCGTTTACAGCTTTTGGTGCCAAATTGTCGAACTACAAACGATTTAATAACAATTGAACGAAAAGTGATTACCGATTGAAATTGAGCTTAGGTAATAAAATCGACATCCACTGAGTTTATTTCAAATTCTAAATCATTTCATATGATTTACTATGTTTATGGAAATAACAACCGGAAATAATCATTGTGACCTATGAACCCAGTCAAATGCATTATGAATACAAGTTAAACCCAACGAGACCAGATCATCGAAAAGGGTAGAAATTGCATGATTTTGATAGGCGAGACCTGTGATATCATTTAAAATGGAATTGAAACAATATAAAGACAATGCGAGTCCCCTACGTCGATTAGTTTGCGTTAACATGAGTTCTTGGCAAAATTACACAACTGTTGTATCTTGGACTGTCACTCGAAAAAGACACTGTTGGCCACGTTTGGAATGAATTGCATAGAATGACTCTTAGAAACACTTTACTTTAACACTTTACGATATTGTATAAGAATTATTTTATAATTAATCGGGATTGCAGTGTGAAAATTATATTAACAAATACATTGCCTGAATTTTAATATAAAATAAGTGATATAAGATGTTTTTGTTCTCCTTTTTTTCCTATTTGTTTTTCCATGCTTTATAAATTAAATTTGAAAAATACTATTGACCAAGTTGCGAAATTTGGATTGAGAATCTAATGTTGTAAAAAATAATTCAAACCATTGATATCAATGTTATTTCGTGCAATTTAGCTAAAAACATTGCTGATTCTATTTTCAGTTAAAACAACCAATAATTGCTTATTTCTAATGTAATTTTTGAACACATAGACCTGCGTCATAATATTCAAAAAATAACTTGTTTCGAAAATTTTATAATATCCGAAATATTAAAATTAACCCTGTATTAACAAAATCTTACAAATCGCATTAAAGTACGTTTCAGAGCGGTTAACGGGTCACGGCGTTCAGCAATTCTATCCAGAACGAGACTGCGAGTGAGAAAATCGACGCGGGACGCTTTTAATGTGGCTGTAAACTGATTTTGCGATAAAGTTAGTCTAATCCGGTATCGGCGCGAGTCTTTGATACCTTTCTGGGCAAACAAAATGATCGAAGTTTGTCCGGACCTCAAGCGTAGATCAGTCGATAATATTGGCGATATTAATACCATTAATCCTATTACATTCAGATTTAGTCCGTGTGAATCTTACTCAGCCCCAAATTGTTTCTTTAGTTAGATCATACATGGCCTTAGAAACGTACGCTTCGCAAAAAGCGATTTATAACTAGATTACCAATTTTATCATCGAAATGCGAGACTCAATAAATCTTTTAAGCGTAAGATTTTTATAAAGATATCACTGAAACGCAGACAATAAACATTGTTTAAATCATCTCTGGGAATAGATTCATACATTGAAGTATTTTTATAATTCTATTTCTAGCTTTGTTATTTTTAATGTCTACGAAGATTGAATGCAAATTTTAGTCAACACTTAAATACGACTGAACATAAAAATGTAATTGTTCTTATGATGGATATTACACAATTTTCTAAATTTCTAAATAGAACTTGACCAAAGTCGGGTTTATCTGTCTGGCGATGTTGAAAATGAATGTTAGAGATCTGGTGCTCACATATTGGTAATCGCAGAGATCAATAGAAAATATAGATACAATAGATAGATACATATTCACCAAGGGTGAGGACTAAATATACACATGATCATGCAGGCCAGTGAGAATATGCCAATCAAAAGATGTGAAACTTTAATCTGACGCGGAAAACCCGAAAGTCATCACTGAAACACACTTATTATATGATTATATTATGACTGTACATATGATTATAAACATATATTTATACAGAATCTCGGTTTCAAATGTGAACTTGCGGAACTTCTGGACGGTTGATTGAATCCGATTGAAAACCACTGGCTAAGTGGTAAGGTAGATTTTAAACTTCAGTATTTACCTAAATTTATATAAACAAACATACATACTAGTCTAAGGAAGCCTTGTTGGAGCGCCGCTATAAAAACACACAGTCAAAGTTTCGACAAAGCTGCCACAACAGCCAGTAATTTTTTTTACAAGTACGGTATTACAAAAAAAAAATTATAGGATAGGATTTTTCATATTTATCCCCAAAACGACGGTTTAATCATATGACAGCGTATAGCGTCTTGTTCGGTTACGAGTCCATGTCGGGTATGGGAATAATTAATTAATCAGTAATTTGTTTAGATTAGATGCATGGACCAGCCGTAACAGACCAGACTCTACGGCGACGAGGCCAGCAATCCTCTCTCGCAGGGTTAATCAAGGTGGTAATGGCAAGCGTATTCCTAACGCTTAGCAAGATGCGCCAACCACCAACCGCACTCCTGTGTGTCCTATCAGATAATCTAATTATGAATGATGACAGAGAATATAATGGAGGAACTGGAATTCTTATTATTCTTGGACGATCTCGTTATGTTTTTTTCGTAATATGCGCAAAAAATCGACATTGCAAATAGTCATAAACCAAATTATAATGCTTTATAAATAAACAGGCTCCCATATGAGAAAATAAAGCCCATTATCGATGGATTGATTTAGTATACCTATAGTTAAATTCAGAATTATCTGTAAATCGAATGTGTTTTGAATATGATTAGTACATCTGCACTGTATCATCTCGACTCTGAAATGACTGACAGTTCTGATTACAATAGTATTTATTATGACCCTCTATCGTACAAAAGGCCATTTAGGGATGTTCTAAAAGAATCAGATGGTCAAACTGATTTGGTATTCAGTATACTGAATAACATAAATTTTAACTTGAGCCCTAATTTATTTTGAAGACTTATCATTGGGAAATTATTGCATCACAGTCAGAACAAACTGTCTTGGATTACATTCTGAAAACTTTTGAAAATATATAACAATAAATCATTGTAGTAAAGAATTTTCTGAATAATCAAATTCAAACCGCCGAATATAAATATACACATTTTTTAATGACTTCTTGTTGGAGACGGCCCAATTTAGAATATGCTCGATGTTTCATGGTCGAGAATATCATTGCTGACTGACGATATCGTAGATTATTCAATTTTGGCAATCTGTGGGGATATATATTTGCAACTACCGTAATATTAATATGTACTAATAAAAACGTCAAGTACATCCATTGCACATGGGAGACAAGGATCTCCAGACATCTGTATAGTCATCAGTATTAGATGCTCGGATAAGGTAAAAAAAATAGGTAAGGTCTCGACACACACCCTTGTGGTGTTCCATTCTGAAAGTATGTTACAAATGTCATCAGTAGTAGATGCTCAAATAAGGTAAAAAGAAAAGAGTTGAGGACCTAAAACACATCCTTGTGGTGATCAATTCTGAATGTATGCTACTAGTTTCAAAGTGTACCTTTCTCTCTTCAGCAGAAAGTTTCCTGAAATCCTGAATTGCAATTTTTCTTATTTCAACTCCATCCAAACCAGGATTAGCTTCAGATATTTTTTGTCTTACTTCAGACACAAATAACTGGACCCCTGAGGTGCATTCATTTCTGTCAGAATGAAAAAGTAATTTTTCAAACCACTAATTGGTTTGCATTGCAGATCCACATGCAATAGGTTAGAAAAAATAAGAAAGATAAAAAATTTGTGTAAGTTTCAGACCTTTTTTTTATATATGTGCGAATCAATTATAAATATAGTTAAACTATGTACAGTGAACTTTTGGCAAAAATTGTTGAAGAATAAACCTACAACTTTGAGCAAATTTCCTACAAAGTCTTTGCTCAGAAATAGAAGTCTACGTCAGACCAACTTGAATTAACCCTATCGCTGTTTGAATATTTATACAAAGTTTTCTTTTCCCCATATTCAATAAAAGATATTTTATCAATTTATGTTCAGGAGAATTCACTCAAATCAAAGCCACACGCACTCATTGTGGAACAAAGCAAACCTGCCTTTGGGCAAAGTCAGGGGCGACCACAGAAATGATAAGAGCTACTAAAACCATATAGCAAATATTGCAATATGTATAAATGTTTTATGATTTCTTGTCAGAAATGATTAAACTTACCTAACATCCTTCAGTATCTGCTTACTAACCGCAGATTGCTGTTCATCATTATCATCATCAACATTTTGCTGTCTGATGTTTGTTGATGATTGCTGCTGTTTTTTACCTTTTGGTGTTGATGTAAGTTGAAATTTTGAGCCAGTGGCACCAAACAATGTCTGAAATAAAGAAGAAGATGTGTACGATTAGAATCATCGTGATTTTATTCAAAAATATCTTTCATTATTCAACATTTATAGTTTTTAATAAAGACAAAAAATTAATTTACCCTCGTGGAACAGACCCATTTCAGAATATACTTGATTTTTCATATTCGAAAAGATTATTTGAAAATATGTTCGGAATAATCAATTATACGATTTTGATCTTCCCTGGGTGTAAAGTTGTTTAAAATATGTTAAAATAAATTATGACTGATGAAGTACAATGTTGATGTGTTCAAGTTGGATCAAAACTTTTCTTGAATTTTTTTCAATTGATTAGGATGACAAATAATTCAGGTTACAATATGGCAATATTTTTATCTCACAGAGAAGACAAGACGATGACAAATTGCTTAATTAATTACTGTAACGGGAAAATGACCCTACCTGTTGTTTCTTTTCATTTTTCAATGCCGGCTTTTTAGATAAACTGTGTGATTTTGCAATTACACCCCGTAATTTTTGTGAAACTGATGTTTTCTTTGAAATATTGTCCAGAACACTTGCACTACTGGAAGATGATCCACTAGTAGATTGTAGATTGGCAGTGAGAGTAGTCCTTTTCTGTAAAATAAGGAATTTATCTGACATTCTTGTTAAATTAAATTGCTTCTTTATGGACAAAAATCTTGTTGCATTACTTTGATGCGTACCAGACAACCTAGGGTATTTTAAACCCAGATTACAAATCGGAAAAAATTATGGGATATAAGATATTCGTGTAGCGATAAACACAATTGCTCAAAATCTGGGTATTCGTAGATCCAAATCTAGAATAATCTGTCAGAGAAAGATGCAATGTTTAAATATGATATATCCGAATATATATTAGCCACTTTAATATATATGGTGTTGGTAGCAAAATACATATTCTTTAATTGGGTTCTATAGTTAAGAATTCACATTAAAACTGACCTTGAATGGATTTCTTGAACTACCAGATAACTTGATAGCAGGTTGAGATTGAGCTGTTGATTTTGTATTTCTTCCTAGATCGGGTAAATCTGTGGAATAGTGGTAACGTTATGCATGCATGGGATTGGACCGGGAACTTTCAATTCCGTCCAGTATGAGAAGGTCACAACCACGACCCCATAAAGTAATCGATTATTGTTGCTGTCAAGTTTCAGTAACACTTGAATTCTCTCAAATTTGTGATGATTAGCCTTTACTCATTTAATATTCCCCAAAACACCTGATTTATTAAAATTTTCATGAATTACAATTGGTCTTCCCATTATTGCTTTTTCAAAAATTTCTTAAGCTCTGCACATAGCAAGTGCAATAATGAATTGGATATAATTTAAAAACTATATAAGTGAGCTATAAAACACAAGCTGAGTTAGATATATTATATAAATATTTAGCAATTGAATTCACAACTTGAAAGTATTACAAAGAAACGGGTGCTATTTAAGCTGGTATCTAATCATAGTTTGAAGTAATATTCATCAAACATGTTTTAATAAAAAGTTACAGAAATTCAAAAATCAAAAACATGTTTTCCTCATTTTCTTGGACCAGCTTTTTCAAGTATATCCTTTTAGCGCAGGGGTGTGCAACCTTCAGGGCCAGATAGAAATAACTGGTTGAAACCGCGGGCCACATCTCTTTTTAACATAGGCTATCTATTAGTTGCAGGCACAAAATTTTGGTTTTCGGTCTTATGATATGCGTTGTTCGCTTTGCGCAAGCTAGCTGTTAGGTCATAGGCATAGGTAATCAATCGGAGTCGGGTATAGACTTTGCATCGCAAAAGGGTTGGAATCACTCGCACGTACCAGAATGAACTAAACTAAAAAACTTGTTTCGCGGGGCCAAATGCCATTCAAAATTGATACTTCTCCTCGGGCAGCACAACTTTTTCCTGTGGGTCGCAGGTTGCACACCCCTGCTCTCAACTATGCAATGAAAAAACTATAATTCGCAAGTGCATATTAAGGTTAATGAGGTGGTAGACTAAACTTTTTATACTTTTCAAATGGGTGGAAGAGCTTACCATCCAAATCACCATTTTGTATAATAACATCTGCTTCACTATCACTCTGTTCATTTTCTTCTGCATCAGACTCCTGTCTTTGATTTTTCTTCTTCTGTAAACTTAGTCTCTTATGTTCTGCCCATTCCGTGTTTGAATGACTGTATCTGTTATTCAAAGATTAAAAGTTGTTGTTTCTATTGAATCGGGTTGAAAATTATTTGAAGAGCATATGAATTGTTGTCATTTTTTATAAAAAATTGCCTACAATTCTAAAATGAAAACCTAATTATAACAATATTTTACGTATCCGATTACCATGATATATAATTGATATATAATCAGTCTATTAAAATACTAAAATAATAAATTTAGTAAAATCTGATAGATGCATAACCATATTTCTACCAGGCATGTCCAAAATGAATCGAATGCACATTCAAATCAGTTCAAAATAGTAAATTCCTGATTTGAAAATAATATGGACAATTTCATCTACATCGGTTGTTCAAACAATGCATATGAAACGTTCACCAAATACCAAAGTATTGTTATTACAATTTTTCTGATACATAGAAAAACAGAAAAAATTATTAACGCATATTTTCTGTTAAATATTCCTTGATTTGGAATAAGTTCCATATCTGAAAACCAAAAAAATTCATAATACTAAATTTTTTCATTTTGGGATATCTGTAAATAACAAACACGCGCTAAAATCATTGAGTACCACTTAATAGGCAAAGTAAGAAACCTAAATCTTACAGCAAGGATACAGAAAGTAATTTACATCACACACACTCCAAAAATGTTTATATACCCTGCTTGTAGATCAGCTTTAAAATCATTGGGATTCTCAGTTTCATCATCATCATCATCTTCATCATTGTTCTGCATCTTCATAATAGCTTCCATTTCCTCCTGTTGTTTTTCTTGGGCAACCTAGAGCGAAGTAGTAGCAAAGTTATTGTGCAAAATATACTACAATGGTAAATAAATAGGCCACAAAAAAAATTTAGTGAACATAAACAACAGGTCTATCGAGACCGAGAGATACAGAAAACAAATTGAAAATTTGAATCGGTTTCAATTAATTAAAAATTCTTTATTTTAGAACGAATTAAAAATTGCATCATATATCTGAGAGAAGTAAAAATAGAGATCCACATTGCCTTGAACATGACCGCTTTAAAATGTAGTTCAATATTTCATAATCAAAAATATTATTTAAACGCATGTATTCAAAAAGGTATATTATCCATTTTCGGCGATCTCTGTATCCTTCTCTACCCAAAATAAGATAATAGATAATGCAGCCATTTAAAACATCAAATATTCAGGCTATCAGTCAAAATCAAAATTTTCATTTCACAAAACAGTAAATTTCAGCATATTATACTTTGAAAACACCCTAGTTCTATCACCCAACCTCCTTTTCTTATAGGTATCATACACATACATTAAAGTAGACACCATTTTGAATAGTTTGTTTAAAATATTTTACCTCTTGTAACTTCTGAGCAAGAACCATACGTTTTAAACGAGAAGCATATTTGATGGCAAGATTAACAGAAGAAGATGAAGGCAACAATTCACAAACTTCCCGAGCTCTTGATTCTCGTTCCAACTTACAAGCAAGCTACAGAATAAGAACAGGATAAGAAACTTACAAGATAGAAAAATGTAACATATTAGGTAGGGCTGGACATTCCGAATCGAATAGTATATTATTCGAATCGCTTAAGACGTGAATATCGAATCACCACCATCTTGTTTGAATGAATTCTATATTCGATTCGATTTTGAAATCACCAGGTATTCGAAAATGCCCAGTCCTAATATCATGAAATATAGCTAGCATAAATGCACATTAGTGATGAGAATCAGGGTTTTCGCTTATAACATTCACTAGAGAATATGGCAATCTTGCAGTGGGTTTATGTAAGAGGGCATAGGCACTTTGAAATGAATGCTTAATTACTCAAATCAGGATTTTTACAATTACTCTTGGTCAGTTCATAGTCATCGATTTTGTTTTTTCATGATAAAATTCTCAGTAATAGAGTTTTTGAGCTAAATCAGACACAAATATATTTTCACACATTGGATTTATCAGTAAACCAGATTTCATGTTATTTTATGTGAAAAGGGGAGTAACAAATAAATTGGCTTACATTTATTTAACTGTGTAAAATAGTACACTACCAATTGTCATTTTGGTATAGATAGAAATAGATGATGATTTACAAATTGCATTAGGAAGAAAACACTATGACTTATAAAATGTAAACGAAAAGGGGGAGGGAGTGCAAGATTGCAAGGTCAACGAGGTCGACCGACTACTCTATTCTTATACAAGGTTCAAATATACATTTTCATGAAAACACTCATTTCTAATTAATCCATGAGCCTTATTCCATGGTGAACAAATAGCATAAACAATAGACCCAATTGTGAAGAGGCCATCGACAGTTTAGCAAATTTGAATTTCCAAAAATTAGGCAAATAAACCTTCAGATTACTGTGATGGTTGATGCAGAACATTATACCCCACATATCCATTATGATTAGAGCTTTAAGTATATTTTATATAAATAATAAAAAAAGTTACCGCAAACATTTTCATGAGAGTTTGTTGAAGCAAAACCTCTGTTGATTGTTTATATTTGTCATCTGTTTCAAATCCATGGGATTCAAGATATTTGGTATGAGATGAAAACAATCGCGACCTCCAATATTCTTCCTGAAAAAATATGATGATCATTGATTAAATTTGTTTATCGTTGCTTTAACTTGATTTAGTGGTTTATCTTTATTTATTTAACTTCATAATCACAGCTCATGATAAAAAAAAGTTGGGACCAAAATGGGAACCGAAACTCCCAATCTCCGAAGGGTCCACTAAAATAAAACTAACCTCAAATTTAGATTTTTCAGATTCTGGCTCACACAATGGTAGTTTGTACTGAAGTATGCTTGGGAATGGTCTTGGTAATGTTGAAGGATATGTAGATCCTTTGCACATTATTGCTCGTAATTCTTGAGGATTTTCATGAAGTCCAATCACCCAATAATGATCGTGTCGACTTTTGGTCTGTGAAAAAAAAAATGAAAATTTATGACGAAATATACAGCTAACGGGTAACCTAATAAGTATAGGGATTTACATATTTATCCAGAGACAGAGGAAAGACGGCTTAATAATCATATGACAAACAAAGCCTCTCGTCTGATTACCAGTCCATGTCGGGTATAGGATTAGATAGCCAGTTACTTGTTACCAGATGAATGGACTTGATTGAATGAAATATATTTTACTTATTGGTAATAATTGGAAATTGTTTAAAAAGAGAAAAGACATTGGCCAGGCTAAAAATTCAGAATGTACGAGGGTATGAAAATGAGTGCTCAAAGGCAAACAAAATTCTTACTAATCCTTTGTAAATAACTTCAATAAACATTATCTTGTGAGGCAAAAGCTAGTTAGGCATCTTTGCTGATAAAGAAAAGCCTTTCTCTTTCTATAGCTGAGTGGTCAAAGAAATCACATCTGAGCTCTAGCAACTATATTCAACCAAAATTTGTTTTCACAGCAACAGATGCCTTTGTAACCATTTTAATTCCAAAAATCTTCATATAATATTAGATAAATATATCCACAAAACAGAACTCACCAGCTTATTTAGATTAGATACAGGGATCCAAGTGTTGGAAAAACTTCTGTTCATGATCCGTACAACTCCTGATGTATCAACAGTAACTGGAGTTCCTTCCGCAGAAAAGCCGATCCATTGAAGTGATGATTTTTTACTGATTGGTAGAGGATCACCAGTAATTATTTTCTTAGAACGATTTGCTCCTGTGCCAAGTCCAACTTCAATTAACATGTATCCAAGACATTGGTTGCCATTGAAACCTGTGTGTTAGAATTCGAAATAGAATTAGAAATATTTTTGTGGTGGTTGAATATATGTGGTATATGTATTTTCCATATAAGTTTTCTCAGTGCAAACAGTTGGAAGAGAATTGACAAAGAAGTTCCAAGTGACCAAGGTTTATCCCTGTGACAGAGATGTCAATAGTTGGCGGTTGACACAGCACTTGTTGAAATAGCTAAGTGAATTCCACAAAGCGAGGATTCTTTGAACATTGAAATATTATTTACTGGTGAGTATCCATAATGTAATACTAATATGGATGAGAACTATAATCTGCAACACACACAACAACAAAAAAATAGCTTATAACAGGTGCCTGAGTAGCTGTAATTGTGATAAAAAAAATTCAATGCATAGGAAGTTTATTTTTAATGAATTTGTAACATATTACTAAACACCCAAAAAAATTTATTTAGATAGTTCATACATCTGAAAAAATAACATTTATATAGCTATTTTTTTTAGGTATTTTACAAAATGCTCACCTTGTGAAATATGATATGCAATCAATAACTGGTCAGTGTGTGCAGACATTGAGACAACAGGTCCAGGTATACTGAACAAGAACCTTTGCATTCCAGCAAGAGAAAACATTCTTACTAATCTGGCATCTGTACATACTGCAACCCAGCTCTCTCCTGAAAATAAAAAGGATAGAAATCATCATGTATGCCTAAATTGTTACCCACATGTGGTAAAGGGGCCATTGCAGAAGTTCTCAACTAAAGTTTAGAAACTAGACGGGTACGGCGGTGTGGCTCATTCTGCTAAGCGTCAGGAATAGGCTCGCTACTGCACCTCTGATTAACCTGCGTGGGTCCGCTGGTTCAAATAAATATGTGCAAGAGGTTTGCAGGGCTCATCGCCGCCTTAGGTTGGTTCACGAAACCGCTGGTCGGTTATGGCTTCCTCCACCATTAAGTTCATGTGTCTGAAACAAGTAACTGGCAAAAAACAAACATGCTTCCTCAACCATCAAGTCCATGCGCCTGGCTAAGTAATCCCATTCCCTACATGGACTGGTAACCGGATAAGGGCCATATGATGAAGCAGCTTTATCGGTTTTTCTTGCCATGCGATAAATATGTAAATCCTATCCTATCATATGATAAAAGCTAATTTTACAACATATAGCGCGCGCATCTGTATCAACTATAAATAGAGAGCAGGGTTGTCTTCTACTGGTAACTGGATAATTTAATCAGTTAATAGGTGCTATAAGATAGAAAAAATTAAAATGGCTTAAATCGCTACTATAGGTGATACAGTTGAAAGATTATTGCGAACTAGTAAACCTAAAAATCTGTTTGTTTTATGGCAATATATATTTCAATGTGTGAAATTTTTATATGGACTGTATATGATAAAACCGTATATGATACATGAAATGCAGGAAGACATGCATTTTTGTATCAGGTAAAGACAGAGTGTGCCTCATCTGATGCATGGTTTATATGCAGACTATGTTTTTTAACCAAGCAAAACGAAATTTTTTAAACTCGCCTATTGTTAATGCTTTAATATCTTCATCATCAGGCATTTCAACAGACCATTCTTTATTTCCTTCCCAAGATGAATAGTAAATGCAAGTTAATTTGCTGAAATAGAAAATAATATTAAATTTGACACTCTTGATATTTATTGACTCACTACATCAACCAGTAACAGTTCTGCTGAAACATTTTACGGGAGTCTATATTAAAGATGAAGCTATTGCTTCAGCTATGAGCATCAAACTGCTATTTTGTACTTAGCTCAAACGAGGCCAATTTTGTTTATATTATTAATGGGTTTGATAATAAGAAATCGAGTTCACTTATTGAACATGCATCACAAAATAAGCGACAATAATTTAAATTACACCGAGAATAAACAAGAGAGCAATGCTCAAATAAAAGGACACGAAAGCCAAAACGAAGTTGTATCCAATCTTTCACAGTACCAGTAGTTTGACCACCAGATCACTGAGATATGATCACAGTATCACAGCACAATGTGTAATTTTAAATTTTGATGACGTTATCACGTAAAACTTTGGAAGTCAAAAACAAATTCCATACAGCTACCAGACATTTTTGAAACAAATAAAATAGGTATGTTACAAAAAAATTAAAGTTCATCCGATTTGAATAAAAACTGCACCAGTGGATAGATCTAAGTGAAAATAAGAAAACAATACCAAGTTTGCGAAAAATGGTCAAGAATTAACGGAGATATCTGCATTTAAGTACCGCCCGATAGGCCAATTTTTTCCATAAGGATTGTATTGCGCCGACTCAAAAACTGTGACCGCGAGAATGTCAGACCGATAAACAAGAGAATGTATCTCGGCTATTTTTGGAGGTAATCGAAAAAAATTTTGAACGAAAAGTTATTGTGAATAGAAGAACCTAATGCAAAAAAATTTACAAATTCTTTTTAACGATATTAGCTGCTTTTCAATTAATTATGTTCTCGTGCCTTGAATTAATTTGTACCGTTTCGTAAACGTATACGAATTGACTTTTTTCAATAAGAACTTTAATAAATATGAAAAAAAAACACATATCAATCTTTAATTTTTTGATGTACGTCACATCTAAGAAAATTCAGATTACTTTAGGATTTTATTCTGGCAACGATCATTGAGGCCGTCGGAAGATCGTCGCAAATCAACGCTGGAGTTGAGCATATTAGTTTGACAGTGCCTCGTTGCGGGTAATAATTAACGATGTTCTGATTGAACAAACTTCATAAAAATTGGTAAGTATCAAGTTAGGAATGACATACATGCGTCCATATATATTTTATTGGTGTCCATAGACAATATCATTAATTTGCAGTACGTATAACTTTAGCGTAATTTTTAAAAGCCCCGAATGTTGGGAAATTTATGCGCTAATGAAAAAATTCAAATACCAAATCATAGTTGCGCATTTTATCTAAGTTATGTCCAAATTTCATGGAATTCCAAGCAACAGCAGGCAGCCCGTAGTCGTTTTTATGAGCGGTATTCTGACACGGCGTTACGGTACTTAGCAGACGTGGTGCGTACATTTTTTGGCGCGAAAAAGCGCGTTTTGTAACATTCCTAAATAAAAGCCTTCTAGCAACAACAAGCTTTAAGCCTTTAACCACTGAAAATATCAAAGCAATTGGTCCAGTAGTTGAAGAGGAAAGCGATTTTTTCATAACAACAACATAATAACAAACCAACCGCAGGTAACAATAATCCCCCCAAAAAATCCCACACATGCAGATTAAAGTAAAACAGACCACATGAAATCTCAGTCCGGAGAAATGAGAAATTATATTTTGATACAAACCTAGGTATATCATCAGTAGATTCAGCAGCAAGAGCAATAGCGTTCATGGATAAATCAGCCATTGTATTGAGGTATCCTCCACCTGGCGCTTCGTTATTGATATGTAAAGCATAATGATGTTGTTTGTCATGAAACTCGATATCGATCGCACATTCCATTTCATCAGTATATGATCGAATTGTTCCAACTGAATTCCAAACCTAAAAAAATTATTACGAAAGTAAATTAGTTAAAATTTTACTGGCTCAAAAACAATTTTTCAGAGTATGTGATAGTTGAGAGTAGGACTGAGGAGTCTGAGGAAATTTACAATCAACTCAGACTCTTAACTTGAAGATTCCTCCCCGACTTAAATGACTTCTCACTCCTCCTGACTCGAAAGGCTTAGACTCCTAACTTGAAAGAAATTTGACTCAAGACTCCAGGAAAGACTTCTAACTTGAAAGAAATTGTCCTAGACACCAGGTTAAAAGGTAGGTTTTTGACTTTGAAATAAAACTTTGCGTATGAAGGCCTTTTTCAATAGACTGCTAAAAATGCTTATATATATACTTTTTGAGTCTAAAATTCATACTCTGACTCCGTGGTATTCAAAATTTCGACTATGGCGACGGGAAATTCAAAATTTTCAACGCAACGAGTCTAATACAGGACTCCAGCTCTAGCATGAATCCACAGACCCCGTTGGAAGCATTGACTTCACCTTCTGCATTAGTTGAAAACATTTGTACTTCATAGGGCCAAACAAAATTAAGTCATTATAAATGGCTAGTCCAATTTTTGTTAGATTTTCACAAAATAAATCCTTCACTCAATTTAGCTAGTGGTCTAGTAGATTGAGGGTCATTGATAAGGCTATATGGAATAAAACAATAAGTCGGCCCTTGAATAAACTCTCAGTTGCTACCTATATTAGTGACTGTTTGTTGTTGCTGCATGCCATATACAATATAAAAACATACACAGAAAACACAACATAATCCCACGACCTACAGCATCAGGAAGTAATTGACATTTATATACAACCTACCATAAACCTGTGAGACAAATATACTGGAGTAGCACTGGGTTGAAATGCTGGCTGCATTGCAGTAGGAGCAGGTCCTTTGTATGCCGCAGGTTTCACGTCATTCGATTCACCTGGCTCATCTCCCAAAAGATTTGACACTGACGAACCAGCATCATCATTATTGTCAAGAAGAAGTTTCACTGGTTGTTGTATGACTGGTGGCGCTAGATCATCGTCATCTGCTGCAAATAAGTCGTTTGTACTTGGAATATCTGTAAATGATTTACAATGATGAGTAGAAGTATTGCTTAAAAAAGACTGTGGTTTTCAACAGAGGGTGAATGTACTCCTTGTAACATTGTTGGGAATGAGATATTTTTTTTTATGCCATATATTATGTTATGGCATTTTTAAATCGATTTACTCCCAGTACCCTGGAATTGACATTTATGAGACCTGTAGCGATTACCGGTAAGTTTTGCTTTAAGAAAAGTTTGTGACAGGGGTAAATTTTTTTTTTTCAATTCGCAATAGGGTAAACGAGAAAAACGGGGGATGAGAAATCTTATTTTGAGAAATTAAAAATATGACTACTAATATTCAACATAAAAATATACAATAAGCTTCTTTATTATGGAGAATGAAACTTAAACTGGTGAAAAGTAAATAGAATTTTTATTGTGAGAAAGCCAGCACTAAGAAAAGTCAAATTGAAATATGAAAATAATGTTATTATCTATAATCTAATCCTAACGTGACAGCATGTAGTCAAATTTCATTTCAAAATAATTCCTCAAATATTGTTTACCAATCACTGAGTAGAAACTAGGGATGGGCCGGGATTCGGATCCGGACTCGGATTCGAGTCGAATCCACGCATTTTTTGGACTCGGATTCGATTCCGAGTCCACGTCATTTTTACCGAGTCTTTAATCAATTCTGTTTTTACTAATTTACGCCTATATTCGTACTTTTGCCTCTATAAATCTCACTACATATCTTAACGAGTTAAAATTCAAGGTTTATTCTGTAACAATATCCCTCACGTGTACTATAAACACTTCTAATAAAAGCGACAACGAATATCCAGATAATATAACGCATGTTAAAAACTATTGATCGCTTATAACAATGATGTTGCGCCAGTTGCCTTCAAACTATCTATCATTTTTGGTACACAATAAAATATGTGTTAGCAATATTTTTGAGTTTTCGATTCGCGTAAAAATGAAGCAAGCTCTGGATCAACTCAATGGGGAATCTCATAAATACCTCTTTTAAATCGAGTTTATTACGTGCAATCCTTTCTATAAAAAGGGAGCAATGGAAAGCATGGAGCGTTTTAGAACGTTTACATGAACTACTAAATTGCAATCATTGTGTTGATGACGAGTGGCATCTCTCTACCATTTGCGCACGCCACACAGTAAATTTAAGGCTAGAAATATCTGGAATTATGGGGAAGCATTGTAGTCAAAAGCTTTTTATTTTTCATATTGACATGTAAGAATTTATGAATAGCCGCCCAGAATTGACGCAAGGTGGTGGGCTGGAAATCCAGTTTACAGCCAAGGCGCATATTGACCCACGTTTACGGTTGTATTATGGTCGCCGAAAAAAAAATAAAAATATATTTCTAAATTGATCCAACAGCTATCTGCGGAACCATTAGGCAAAAAATATGAGCTACGACATATGTTTGTGAGCGCGCGATGCTGTAATATGGTCAAAAACGTGTTTTTCTACTTTTACATTGTGACGTCACGGACTCGGAGGATTGGATTCGAGTCCTTGGCCTATTACTCGGATTCGTCGAATCTCTGTAATGCCGGACTCGTCCCATCCCTAGTAGAAACCCATAATAAGATTTCTAGGTGAGGCCCTATTACATCACAATTCATCATATCATAGCAATAAAAAATGATATGAATGCTAATGCAAACAAAAGTACGGGAGTATAAAGTTCATACAGATGTACGTCATCATATAACGTATCGAGAAACGTATAGCTAGTTCACAGGTAGGCAAGCGATCATCATAATTGAAGACTTCCGTTTGGTTGTTAAAATACTGTGGAGAACAGAATAACCCATGAATGAATCATCAGTTTAAATAAGCTGGTTACATCATTCAACTATCACAAACGGGCCAAACTAAATCAAACAAAATACTACACCAAATCCATTCCTAATTATTGATTTGACCACGCACAGACAGATTAATATATAACCAAGCATGATCATGTTTTTGAATCTTTACTATTCCATCGGCCATGCTTGTTAGCAAATAAATGACTATACATCACCAACACTGACAAGAAACAGGAAATAGACATGCAACTACAATAAAAGGGTCCATATTCACAGTAAACAATGAGACATGAAGTGCTATAGACAATAGATAGAATAATGAGTAATGAACTCAGGAAATACATGGGGTTAATCATACCAAAGGCCTTCCCACAACTATTATCAACATGAGTTTACCTGGTGGCAATCATGAACTATTATTAATGTTAACATTATAATAACAACACCGTAGTTAAGAATTAATGAGTGGATTGAACCTTTCAGTAGAAATCGAGCAATTAATATCATATCCATAATAAACATATTGCCATATCATACCAGTCATTCAACTATTAAGATGATTGGCTTTTAATACAAATGAAAAGGGAAATTTGCATATGTGCATGCAAAGCAACCACACTACAGACACCCAAATATTGAATAGCATTGAAAAGAATTCTATCGAATTGAATACGGTGAGTAATACTCCAATAAAAAGGACACAAGGATCATGTATCGGTACCCATATGGAAAGGCCTTAGAGCACAGAGTTTACTACAGAGATCTGCAAATAAGCAATATTGGAGATTGCCAAACATTGTGAGATATAAATTTTCATTTAGGTAAAATAAAACAGGAAATTTTCGTTTAAATATTGATTCGCACATACGGTCCAAGAAAAGTAATACCCCACTAGCGGCTTCAACGATTTTTTTCAAGTACTGAAAACGACAAAATGATACATACGAAAATCTGAAGGATCATTTTCCTTTCCATCATTAGTATCCATCTCATCATCACTTATTAGATTTTCACTTCTTTTCTTATTTTTTGAAGATGTGATATCGTCCTGTATTCAAAAATGACAACAGATCAACTTAAGGTAAAAGAAATTCTAACAAACAATTATTGAATTTTTTCCTAGAACCCATACACAAGCAACTAAAAGGCCCATTCTGGAAAATTTGCAATTACTGTAGCATAACAACGACCACAATTTTTATAAGATATTATTTTTTCATATTATTCACTTATACCTACCTACGTGACACCAGTGAAACTTTATTTGCGGATACATGGTGAAAATCAATTTTTATTGGGTTACTATTATTTGATTATAAAAACCAATTCCAAATAGCAATAATGGATTATATTTATTAGATAAATATTACACCACAAGAGAACGTAATAGGTGGCCAGTGACAGTAAACATGCTACGGCATTAGAAAATGATATTGAGAAATTCACACTAGTGCGATATATTAATAAGATTTATTAATTTATAATCACTCAATTGGTTCTTAGAGATGATCTGAATGCAATAGAAACTAAACTTTGCTGGCATTTTGATTCATTTTTTATCTCACCAAGTAAATTCTAGTAAAACCCTAAATAAATAAGAATGAATAAGTTTTGCCAAAAAATCTTCATAACGACATGATTATGAATAGCAACAAGGTAAAACATGTCAAAGCATGTTAAAATTCGATATTTTCACTGTAAATACTAGCTATCACTCTACCAACTAAATTTTTAGCCAATGCACCTCAGCATGTAGATTGAACAATATCTGGATTGATTTAATGAGTTGCAATATTGAAAAGCTTGAAATCTTGAATTGAATTTTTTTTAAATGAGAATAAATGAAAAAGAGCGAAGTTACTTATCTAAATATTTTAATACATAAATGAACACAATATGTTTATACCTTAACAGAGTCACTTTCAGCGGCTGCATCATCTAGAAAATCATTCAAATCTCCGTCTTCATTCTCAAATAGGGCATCGAGATCATCAGGTACTGAATTCTAATAAGCAAATATTGATAAAATGTCAACAATGCCGTAGAATGAATCCTAATGTTTGTTCATTACGACATATCAAAAAAAACAATTAGAATATTTTCCATAATTTATTATGACTTAATTTGAATTCGATGATCCCAAAACTGAAACAAAACATTTGGGCATTCGGTATTGATAATGGCATTGAAAAACATCAATATTTAGATGTGAAACGATAGTAAGTAAAAATCCTTGCGTTATTCAAATGATATCTTAAGATTGAATAACTTCAATTTACCAAAAATTCAAATTAATAAATTTTGAGAAAGATTTAAAAAAATTAGTAATAAAAAGATGTATCCTCTGCCAATGAATATGAAATATATATATATATATACAAATTGCGTATGCAAGTTACTTTATATTTATTATTAAGATAGACCGTGGTTTCTCAAACGGGGGCTCCAGTCTCCTAAAGGGGTCACAAAGCAGTTGTTTGTGGGTCACAAGCAAAGACTTCACCAAATATCAATTGCGATGAATAGGCTGATTTTTTTTTTTAATTTAAATTAACTACGATTTGTTTCATTCTTTGACATTATTTACACTCTCCTACCTGTTTGTTGACTTTTTATTATTATATATGGCAAATAAAACAACTATTGGAAACCCGTTAAAACTAAGTTTTTCATGGAAGATCAGGGGGCACAGAGTGCTGAGAGTCTTTGGAGGGAGCCACGGATTGTTAAAGTTGGAAAACCACTGAGATACATGGAAATAGATGGACATTATACATAGTGGAGGATAGTGTGTCATATTCTATCATCTATCATTATGAGAATTAAAGTATCTAAAATGTTGTCTTAACCTGATTTGTTTTGACTTCAGACGGGACTGCATTTTTCAGAAGTCCAACTTGACCACGTACGTCAGCAATAGCTAGTGTATTATTCTCCTTCGGGTCCCAAACCAAACAACAAATAGATGTCCTTAGGGCATGTTGTACTCTGAAGAAATGATATTTTTAACTATGATGAAATACAGGGGGAAACATGTAATCCATCTGATGATAAAAATAGCAATAGTATAAAATTTGATAATGATCTAAAAGTAATATTTGCGTAATATCGTGCACCATTTACCACTGTAGTTTGTCGTGTAATAAAGCCCTCCAGTCAATAATAATTACATCACAAGTTCGACACACATTAAGAAAAACTTTTTTCAGATTTTTAAATAGTTGGATTAAATACATTTTCTAACGTCTCATTTAGTTAATAGAGATATACAATTTATGAAGAGCATATTTACGAAAGGAGAAAGGACTTGCAGTTCGGTATAACAAGTTTTATGCTTCATTCATGTCATTGCAACCAGAAACTACTAAAATCAGAAACAACAGGAGGGAAACCACATTAAAATAGACATTACCGAATAAATTTTCCAAGTTTGCTCCAAAAAATACGATAATATAGGCTATGAAGAAAAACGTCAATTTAAGTATTTCCTTATTTTCTTCTACCAAGATATCTTCTTTTTTTATTTATATTTGAGATTGCTAACGGATTTGTTGATGACAACAAAATTTTCAGTTTCAATCGAAAATTACAGAAATCTATTGATTATCTCAGTCTCAATACACTTGTAGCACCTTATTGATTTAAGGAATTGAGAAATGTTATGTTTATTATAACTGAGTAATAATATCTGGGTTCTTATCACAGGAAAAATGAAAAATATGTCAATAAATAGGCACGTACTAAGAATTCTAAATTCCAGGGATTTTATAGTTGTTATTGAGTCAATGTTCTAATTAGGAATGTTATGTTTATTATAAGCAATAACATTTGGGTTATTATCACTGGAAAATCAAAAAAATTTGTCAATAAATAGGCATGTACTAACAATTCCAGGGATTTTATAGCACCTTATTGAGTCAATGCTCTAATTAGAATGTTATGTTTAATATAAGCAATAATACTTGGGTTCTTATCACTGGTAATATAAAATAGGTATGTACTAAGAACATCATTTTCCAGGGATTTGATATTTTTTGACAAATTGGAAATATAAAATTCAAATTTTGTGATCTTTGTGGTAAAATATTGATTTATGTGCAATTTTAATCAGTAGGCCTATGCAAAAATTTCACTATATGCATATATATGTGAACATAGAACAATTTACTAAGTCAGTGGTATTCAAACTGTGCGTCAGAATCATCTACCATAGTTCACTGTGCCCATTTCTAAAAAATTACTTCATATATGTTCCCTTTCAGAACCTGACGTATAATCATCAAATCTGTTAACATTACATTAAAATAGACATTAAGTTATGATCACCAATGCTAATAAAAATCAGCTCATTTATTGCATTGATCAAATGTGCATACTTAAGAAACTTTCCCTTATCAAATTCATTGAGGTAAATAAAGTCATGGACCACAATGCAGGCATTACCTGCCAAAGAGAACAAATTTAGCAAACAAATAATGCTTTATGAGTATGAATGTCATCATTGTGCAATGTTGTCTCCTAACAAAGCCAGTCCAAACCAATAAATAGTTGGCATATTTTCCCGTTTTCCGGTTGCACGTTAGTTTGTATGACCCCAAGGCAGTTTAGAGGCACGGCCGATATAATAGGAAAATACTATAAAACAAAGCTCAAAATACATAGTTTGTCTTCTCAGTCATGAATATGCTACATATATGGACTTGCCAATTTTTAACAAGGCAAAAAGAGACAAAGTAACACACATACCTATCCCAGTTTCAACATGGTTATTAAGATATGCAAATTGACACTTAAAATCTGACTTCCGCACTTCCTCTCCCTTGTTTGTATATAAAATAGCGATCTTGGTTTGTAATCTTGTCTCATATATTGTGGTAAAGGCAGTACAACATAAAGAACCGTAATAAAAGCAGAGCTACTAAACTAATTGGCGGATTATGTGGTTTATAAAAAATTTCCCAAATATGTAAACTGGCCTATTCTTAACCAAACATGATCTGATAAGGAAAAAAAAAATTCAAAAATCAAACTTAATGACATTCTTTTTGTTATAAGAATTTAAATATGATTTTTATGAATTCGGAAATACTGCATTTTCCGAATTACAGGGTGCTCATTGAATCCAGTTACAATCGAAACTATGTTATGAAGTCAATTTTCAGTATAAATTAACCAGGCTTGTTTTATTTTCATGTTTATCCAAGTTTTTTCCCATTATTCAATACACCTTATACCCATCATTAGTTGCACAAAGAACATCAAATTTTTTTTATCTACCGGTAATTCAATGCAGGACTTTATGAGTATGACCAATCTATTTACTACTGCATTTACCAAGAAAATTTACTAACATTACGGAAAAATTATATAATTTGTTTGCAATTGGCACGTATCAACATTATTTTATCTATGAGTAAGTAAGACAATAAGAAATATCAAAACAAGTTTCAACGAGAAATGTGCAATACCTGAGTATTTAAATATCAACAATAAGGGATAGAATATTCATCTATTATCAAGTAACGATTTTCCTATTAGAAGAGATACAATTCAAACATAACAACATGTATGGCATACATATTCCATTTCAATTTGACAAATTTCCAGACAGATAAAATAATATATTATTCAATTAAATTCAATTTCTTGGCCTATTTATGAATCACACCAAACAATGAAAAATTACATCAGAAACTGAAAAAGCCAATTGCGTGGGGCGTCACGCTTCATTACATTCACGAGTTCGGTACGACATAAGTACGTCAGGTGATTTTCATTCTATATTCCTAAAATAAACTTGACAAAATAATGCCATATCGTCGATGTCTCTTCTTGATATCTACAGAAAACTCATTGTTGTTATGTTGACGTCATATACAAAAGGTAAAGTGGTTGTTATATTGATATAACTGGCCATGCATGGAACAAATATAAAACTGTTCTATCTATACAATGAGCTTTTGTATTTAATTGCCATTATAAGCTGGTAGTCAATCTCATTGTTCAAGGAAATCCATCTATAATTATTATTATTACCTTGTAAATTTTTCAAGCTATCACAGTGCGATTCATCTTCAATTTGTGACTGACATAGTAATAATTATTGTACTAAATACTAATTAACCTATGATAAGCTAGTTCAATTGGAAATGGAGGTGCTATAAATTTTGACATGATCTGTGGAAATTATCAGTGGGCTGCAGAATATTTTATTTTTGGCATGACAAAAGTTTGATATTATTTTTTGGTTGATAAGCAATAGAACGGTACCAGATAAACCCTTGTTTATCCATAATGATGTATAGAGCATACATGTTGGTGTAGTAGACCAGTGGTTGATGTGCTGGACTCGCAGTAACTATGTTGCGAAATTCTCAGATGCAAATCGCATGCCCACCCGCTCACTCATTCCCAGGGAATATAAACTAGGTAGGCAAATAGGGGCTTTCCAAAATATACCAGCAGTAACCAATGAGTAGATGCTTGCTTTGTTCGAAGTGATGTGTGAATGAAGCATCATATTAAAATAAATATAGGATGCAAGTCATATTCAAAAACTATTGTTGCAGAATTTTTCAATTAAAATAGAATGAACCTTATATAACCCAAGCTAAAACAAAGCATATGATATACAGGCATTTTATTATACAGTTCAGTTGCTACTTCAGTGAGGCAGAAACCTATACTTCTAGTCATAGTAATACATTATGAATCCCTTAGCAATGAGACGTTTATGTTGAAGTTATAAAAAATTTATATCAGTCATTTACATTCACAACCAAACATTTTTGCAAATCAAAGCCAGGCTTATACGGTATACTATAGGCTTAATAGAAACTGCATAACGTAATGAAGAGGGATATATATACGATATACTAGAGGCTCAATAGAAAGTGCATAACGTCATGAAGAGATATATAGGATAACAGTTTCTATTATGGAAATTTTGGTGGGAATTTCATGTTTATAATTACGTCATTGACACCGTGTTTTAAATTTGTTAGCTCAAGGTGATGATCACCTGTTAAAATAAGCAAATAACGTCATTTCAGAAAATATTCAATTTGGTATTACATACTAGACTAGACAACGTTGCAATCATGAATGAAACTAATCTAATCCATGGTCCTGATAATCAATATTTAAAATTTATTCAACAGTCCAATAAACGTCAATAACATCATCAAAGAGGAAACGAAAATCGTGGCTTCATTTAACAAGGTATAGGTTTGGAATAAAATTTGTACTAAAAAAATAAATCGAAATATAATAGAAACACATCGTCAAACTTATAAATAGGTGCTTTGCAGATATTCAAAGTAATTTATTAAGGAAGTTTGAAAATAAAAATGAGAAAATAAAAACTGTAAAATTGTCTGTGAGATGCTAATTACTGATCACCGTAAATTTGTTGGTAGATTAATTATAAACCTGATCACAATATGAATGTAGTCCTATTGACACCACGCAAGCCACAGTATCTACTATCAAACATGAAATTAAATTATGAATAATTCAGCCTTCCTGGTATCACAACATGGTTTGATGACAACAAACAACGCAATATCTTGATGGCATGCTAAAATATTTCATATATAGAATTTATAGAAAAGGTGGTATGCAAATAGCATAACTGACATCATGACTAAACTTTACATACCATAAATAGAAAAAGCATGATTTTGTTACTCTCCTAATCCCTAACAGTAAAATTCGATAAATAATTAAGAAAACAAAACAATGCTTGGAAAGTAAAAGTTCAAATCAATTGTGTGCCATAGAGCTATGTCTATTTGGCACGTTCCAAAGATGGCCAATACTAAACTGTAAATAGATATTACACATTTGGATAAAGATCAATTATCTTCAGGAACAAGAGTAATACACAAAAACCATGATAATGCAAATATTCGTAATGGTTCTCACTACTTCTCTATATCAAAATATCCTCTACTTTTACCTTATCGTTAATATAATAAGTAACAATATTAATTTAATGTCTAACACTAGTATAATGGAACAACCATGTTAGTTTGGGGCTTTTGAGCAAGCAAAAAATTAATCACAAAAAAACTATTTTTTAGTAGAATCTATAAGATGGTGTTATTGTATAGTATTAGTGACCACTATAAATGTTTTCAAACTTCTTTTGCCTACATGACAGACAGTGTTAAATCTGTGCAACTATTATTATTACACATTCCAAATAAATTGGAATGACGTATTGCCAAATAAATGTTCATTTCAATCATTGCACCATCGATTCAAGAAAATAAGGGAATACCCATTCATGACACAACAAAATTGAGAAATCTGATATGTATTTTGTATTCCAATGTTTTGGTATTGTTATGTGAGGCACAATCCCATCTACGTGAGACAAATGATAATTTATGACTGGGATATTGTTTGCACATAGCTATACAAATACAAATATTTATGATCAAATTGAAGGAGGATGTTATTATTTAGAGCTACCAAGCATTGAATTTGAAATAATCAATGAGGAGAATTTCTTATGAGTGAATATTAGGGGTGGGCAAAATCGAACATTTTTTTCAAATCGAATAATTAGAATATTTTTAACGAATACCGAATAGTCTGGTAACAAATATTTTTTATGCAAAACCTTTGGAAACCCTGAAATAGGGAATTGAAATGATATGTTAGACGCAAAATGAAAGCAAATAACACCACAACGAATTCTCAAATTTGTCGTTTCTATCTGTTAGCGACTGCCGTGGGTGAATTCTCGCGCAATTCACGATAGATTCAGAGACACATGAGTTCCGTATCCAAGCAGGTCACATGGTATTGGATGTTCGAATAGTAAAATGCCATTCGAATCGTTATTCGTTATTTGAATATTTTGCCCAGCTCTAGTGGATATACAGAACAATGTTCCCAAACACCATAACAAATTAACCCAAAAATTGAATCAAAAACAAAACAACTTAGGAAGTAGGAATTATGGGATACAGATTAGTAATTTGGCTAAACTACACATGCTAGCTATGTCTGGCTGCAGTCGCATGCTGTTTCAGTAATAATAAAATAAAACAGATAATCTAGCACGAAGATACAATCAATCTCTATGTAGTAACTTCTTAAATGCAAGCGCTGATTGTCTAGTTTAGAGAAAAAAAGTGTTCGAAACAATTGAGTGCATACACATCGAAAATTTTCCCACAACCTAATTCTTGAAAGGGAAAACAATCATCTTCATAAAAATAACTCACGTCTGCAAGCAATCTTGTGTTTCAGCATCCCATACACAAATCCATCCATCAACAGTGGCTGCTGCCAGGAATCTTCCACATGGAGAAAACGCACAACAGTTGAAAGGCTGGATAAAGGAGAAAATGCGTATCATTAAGTTTCTAAATTAGGAAATATAAATAGGTTCATTATTGAGAAGCAAAGTCATAATATAGGATCAATATTATCATTGAATAGAAATTCTAATGCGCCTCCACATCAATATTACTAACTGGCCGTAGAGGAATAAACCTAATTGGATTAGTCTTGTTGACCGACTTTAGAAAAGGAGTAAAACTAATTAGAGTAGCCACACATGACAATTCAACAAAGATGATAGAATCACAGGCATCTAATACAGATACAATTCATTTGAAAATAAAAAAAAATTTTGGACACAAAGGACGTACAATGATACTGGTATAGGGTCTTAGCTGAGCGCCAAGTTTGCCAAAATATCAGTGGACAGAAGTGACTAAATAAAGAGTTCCCATATTGCATAAAAAGTGTTCCCATAGATTAACATGAAAAAATAATTAACAGCCATCTAACGTCTTCAACTATCTCTAAGCACTGAAAATTTGAAACCTAACCGTCCATTTGATGCGAGGAAAAGTAATTTTTTCCCAACAACAAGAATTCAACAAAACAATCCATAAGTCCACTTCATGTACAACAAGATTAACAGAACGTTTTCAAAATCTCACTTTTGTTGGGTGTGTGTAAACTTGCTTTGAGCAAGTTCTATGTGTATGTAAGAATACAATGACTAACCTTATTTGTTAAAGCTGTTTTAAATGAATGTATAACTGTCCATGTTCCTCTAGAAAAAACCTTAATTTCATTGTCACTTGGTACTGCTATGTCTTCACCAGTAGCAGGTCGCCATGACATTCTGCATTAGAAAACAAGGAATACACATGATTTTATAAGAGTTTCCATGTATTGATAATTAAAAAACATCTATGGTATAACAATATCAATAGTTTCTAGAAAATGCCCTGTTCGTTGTATTAAGTACGGTATTATATATATTATAACCTGGTATGGTGTATACTTCCTTGTTTCCAACTAAAGGTTGTAATATTAAAAAAAATATCTATCTAAAATATGCAAAAGAGGATATGCCATGCAGGAAATATAATCTTCTTTTATTATTTTGATATTAATTCTATATACATGCACATTGACTTGGGAACTTATTCTATTTAAAAAATGACTTTAAATTAATGAATATAAAATATTGAAGATGGTGAAATTGAAAATCCAAACCTGCATAACGAAGAAGAATTACAAACATCGTTGGATGGCTTTATGACTTTGACTGTTTCAATACAATCCTAAAATAAATTAACAAACGACATTATATTTTATATAAAATGTACATCTTGCAATGGAATTCAAACTGTAGAGAAAAGGCATATTGCAAAAATGTATTTATGTTTTTTGCGCTCATAAAGACCCATTCAACAATACTCTTGTAGACTCCAGCATATTGATTCAGAATAAAATTTCCGAAGTCTTGAATCATGAATATAAAAATAGATGTCATCATGGCAGCAAAAAAAATTCACATGAGTGGAAATTTTACAGAAATCATGAAATATTTTTTTAAAAAATATCATGCAATAAATATATTTGATTATGATACAAAATCTTCACCATGTCAGCAAGAACAATTATTATATACAAATGATTAAACTAATAATATATGTCAATAATATCCATAGATAATTCGAGTAAAACGAATAATATTGTACATGGAATAATATGTAGCCACCCAGTACTATGAACTGTTTGCTTATCAAACAGTCTACCTGAATAACACGATAGCAATAATGCTTCCGCACACAAATTTCCAAGCACCCCACACACATTGTAAAATTAGAATTACAAAGCTATATAGGGCTACTCATAATAAAACATTAACCTCAATTGCATCAATCTCGGAATAATGGCTGATGATAATTTTTTTTTTGGAAACAGGCGGTGTTTTATGCTCAAAGAAAAATTCTAAATTTGAAGTTGCATACGAAAAGATGGAATTAGATTGCAATTTAGTATCAAGCAATTATTGTAATTATTTTAACTGTAAAGCATATGTAGAAAAAGTAGCATTAATACCCATTCCTTCACAAAATTAAAGATATTTATGATACGATTCTTTGTAAACGTGAAGCTCACAACTTGACTTTTAAACTGGATTCCTCACTTGAAGTGAGTGGTAATAATTTTGCTTAGAGCAACATAAAAAAACGATAAAAATCGAAGTGACAAAAATATTACCAACCGTGTCTGACATATTCCACAACCGAAAATCTCCATCACAGCTTACAGTTGCCTGAAAATATCAAATTGCATTTTTGTTGGTACAATTTGTAATTTGCATATTACGATCTATTAACTATGTTTAATTGAGCAAATAAATTTACCAAATATTCATCCAGAGGGTCGGCTGCAACACTTAAAATTGGTGCTTTGTGCCCATTGAAAACCTGCTGATCGCTTGTTTCGAGATCAATTGCTTTTGCAGTGAAATCACTAAAATATAATATGTTTTGATGAGAAATATGCCAAAGCGAAATACAAGATAGCAAAAAAATAGAATTTGAACACACACATTTTTATTAGGTGTTTTCAAGGACCTGCACAAGCATATACTGACTAAGTATGAAGCTTCTATTATTTTGGAACATCGGAATTATGCTGGTCCAGCATTGCCTAGGTTGCAATTTATCACACAAGGGTGGGGTGGTACATATAAGGCTTGGAAAGCCAATATCTTTAAACAGCAATGCCAATGTAGTTGGCTCCACTGACCACTAGGCCATGGCCTCAGCTTAGAACATATTAGAAAACTTTATTTCTCAGCATTCACTTATCAAGAGCACAATATGAATAATCTGGATTATTTGCAGCCAAATTTTTGGTTGTGAAAATAAATGAAAAATCAAATCAATTTGCACCTTGATCCAGCTACAATGGTGTTTTGAGACTCCGACAATGCTATATGTGTGGCATTTCCTGTGAACCTGAGCAGAATTCCATCAGGTGATCCATCAGACAGATTGTATTTGTCAACACTATTGTTATCCGCTGCAGCATAGATTATTTCTCCCTAAATGAGATATAAAACAATGCATTTATTGATAAAGGGTCAGACAGGGTCATTCACTGTTGCATATAATATAATCAAAACTGTCTGACGTCATATACATATTGGTTACAGATGATAAAAATCTTTCAGGTATAGGAAATCATCTCAAAATTATAGGTACAAATTACCTTAAATTTAAACCGAAAGTCTTTATTAATATAATATCATTCTAAGAAATAAAATGATGCAATTTGTACAAGCTACTTAAATTTCGTTGTGGTATAGGTTTGAGAAGCCTGTATTACTCAAAAGCTCGAAGAGAGAATTGGGCAAAGCAAAAGCCAATATTTCACAGTAAATTCAACAGAGTCCTTATTAACATGCTCATAGAACATTTTTACACAGCTACAATGATGTACATTATATTGTGCAAGGAAAATTGAACTCGAAGATGATATAATACCTTAGCAGTAAGTGCATGAACTACTTCTCCAACTTTAATCGATTTTGGATTTTGATTGTCTTCAAAATCATTCCATATCTTCACTTCACCATCTGAACCAGATGTGAAAATAGTGCTGTAACGGTAAAATTAAAAATTACATTGAGTTACGGCAAACAGTGATAAAATACATGACGAATATGTTACTCAGTTTAATTAAAAATAAATTTAAAAAAATAACATGGAAAATACCACAGCTACTTGAAAACAAATTTACCCGAAATATACCTCCTACACACACAAAAAATTTGTATACAACAATGGAACAATGATTCATGCTAAATTTTAGGAATCAAATTAACAGCTACTCAGTGGATGCCAAACAATCGTGGCCGATCTCAACTCAAATAATTTTAGAACATAGTACACTGTACGTAAAATGTTTTGTTAGTGGGCAGCAAGGCTCTTGAATCACTTAGAATAGTTAAGCATTATATACATAGGGAACCGCCAACGCATACACATAGAAAAAGAATTAGTTACCGGTAGATCCAATAACCGAATTGATAAATTATAATGAGCTTGGTTTATTTTACAAAAAGCTTACTTTCCACTGATATCATAACAAATCTCTGTGTGTCCTTCTGTATGAGCATATTTAACAGTTAAGTTGTTTTGTGCCATTGTTTCTTCAAATTCTCTCAAACAGAACCAGTAGTTGATATATTCCGAATGTTGTGAGCTTTCGAAATCACATTATTATAGTGCTAATGTCACTCTGCATTAAAACACAATAAACAGCAAAAATAAGCAACAACTATGACAGAAAATCCAATTATTGTAAATATTAGACCACATGCATTGTACAACAATGGCAAAAATATTATTAATTCGGGATAATTCACACAACCCAAAAAACAATTAAACATGATTAAATGTACATACAGCCATACATAACTCAAAGATAAGCCATCAATTATGATAGACGAAAGTATCTGAGAAACATTATTATCCCCAGGTAATTATCAGTTTATGATACCAAAAATTTAATGGAAATGAAAAATTTGACTATTTTTTTCAGCTAATGAAGGCAATATTGAGTGTGAATGGATAGGTCGTAGATACGAGATAAACTAATTTGCAACCTTACTGAAAATATGACTTCAAAAGCAACTTAAATATAATTGAATGCACATAGATAATGAGAAAACTCTACTAAAGTATCATACCAACTATGAATAAGCTGTATAAAAAAATTATTCACTGGGACATAGTACTCTGTAAAGTTACCTTTTCATGATAGATAAATTAATCATCATAAAATACTTAAAACACACTTATATTAAAGATTACTGTACATGTCAATAAGAACAACCATAAGTCTTTTACATATTAATAATCACAATGAATTATATTCACTAAAGAAAAGCAACAGCATGAAAACAACTCAAGCTTCAAGGTTATTGGCTTATTGCTGACCACTAACTTTTCATTGCTTCAAAATATTACATGCAAAAGAAATTTGGCTGAAAATTCTACTTCTTCAATAGAAAAGGTTGATTACAGAAGCATTAGAAGTCTATAATTGAAAGCAAAAATATTTATTTGAATATATATTTGTGGTTGGAAAGGCTTACTAATCTCTGTAACAAGACTTCAAAATATAGATTATTACAAAGGGACTGTGTTTTTCTGACAATTATCAAATGGTGTGAGAACCTACCGGTATATGCTCTGAATATGAACTGAATGCTGATGAGAAAAATGAATAAAAAACCAACAAAGAAAAGCCTTGGCCATTGAGTTCAATTTCAATAAGGATGGTGTTTTACAGATCGGTAATTAGTAAATTGGGAAATATACGATTTTTCTATGACAAAGATAAGATTTCTCACTTAAAGTGTTATACAGTTTTTTTTTTTTCGACAATTCCACAGAAAAAAAATACTAAAATACCTAGATAAAATCATTAAATTACACCAAACTAATATTTAAAACAAATTTTCAACTATGAATAAACCACCTAAAATAACCTAAACCATCCATTTCATACAGAAACATCTAAATCAAAACAACTTAATTGAATTCATAATGCAAATAAGAAGCGAATATGGTTGAACAAGCAATTTCAAACAAAATCTGAATGATGAAAAAACAATAGAATTGAAGCCCCTGATTTTAGAAAGTTGCTCGGAAAAAGATTATAACTTGTGATTTAGAGATCATGAGTATTTATATTTGTTGACAACAATTTGTTTTCACACCTCAACACAGTGCAAATTAACTTGATGAATTCTTTGGTCATTGAAATGTTGCGGAATGCAAAAGACTATTTACTAGTTATAATATGAACTAATCCGCTAATTATACTATATTGATAAAATCTTATAAGTACGGCTGGGCATTTTCGAATACCTGATGATTTCAGAATCGAATCGAATATTTTTTTCGAATCGAATCTCGAATACTTGGGGGGCAATTGGAAATTATAAGCTACTTTTTTATTGTAATTGGTCCAGTCAACAAATGTATTACTGAAAACATTATTAAATCACTAAGACAGATTGCGGAGGGGTTCACACACAATGAAAAATTCATCAATACCTCACTACAGAAAATAGTCATATGTCAGAATTGTATTGAAAAAATATGACTTGAAAAAAAATAATAATTCACCTCGACCATCGGCGGAAAGAAAAAAACAAGTTGGGGGCGATTCAATATTTTGCTCTGTACCTATTCGAATAATTACTATTCAAATACATTCGACTATTCGATTCGGAGTGCCCAGCCCTACTTATAAGCTAATAACAATATTAGAACATAGAACTAAAAATGACTAAATTACAATGCAATACCAGTGCAGTTTGCCAATTTACCAAGGCACATGGTTTGGGGATAGAAGTTGTAACAAATAAAGAAAGCAAATTACACTTTAGAAACTAAATGACACATTTTCATGTTCACTTGTATATTCAGCCTTGTTAGTAAACTCAATTACTCAAATTAAATACAAAAAATGTGAACGACACAATTTTTTCCAAAGAAAACAAATCGAAAAGTCATTTCTAATTATTAGGAATGAAAACGACAAATATGATGACTAGATACAGTGCTATCAGCACTATATATATCATTCTTTTGATTCCTGTCTCTTTTTACGCTTTTTTAACAATTTATTGTTAACGTTATCAAGAGTTTTGATTTGCTTGACTTGGTCATAGTCAACCCTCATTGTGGCTAGTGCATTCGCCATTTCATCCTGTACTTCTGTCCATTGATCCTCTTCCTCTCTCAACACTCTGGCTGAGTAGAGGGGAGTCTGAGGTACATTTTCTCCGCCCTTTACCCATTCTTCTTTCATAAACTCGGAGATCGATAATCTTTTGTCTGGATCAGTTGTGAGTAGCTTGCGAATAACGTCTTTGGCATTATCAGAGACTGCGCTCCATTCTGGATCTGGAAATGCATATTGCCCACTTCTTATTCGCTTTTTCATGCCTGGAGAAATCGCCAATCCACGATAGCTGTAGAATGGTGGGAAACCACATAATAATATGTACATTATTACACCGAGTGACCACATGTCACATGACTTGTCGTAATTTTCATGACTAAGAACTTCAGGGGCAACATAATATGGGGTGTAACAAGGTGTTGCAAGTGAATTTGCAGCATTCACTCGTTTTGCAAAACCAAAGTCAGTCAATTTTAATACTCCGTTTGCCCGGGATGAATAAAGAAGATTCTCAGGTTTTACATCTCTGTGTGCAACTGCATTATCATGTAAAAATTTGATGGCCGCCCCTATGTCATGCATGATGTCGGCAGCTTCCCTCTCTGTAAAAGCAGTTTCTGCTCTGTCCTGAATACGACTGAACAGCTCTCCACCCAACATGCATTCCATTATTATCACAAGACATTTCTTATCCCGAAAAATATTCTCATAAACGTCTACAATTTGTACAATGTGCCGACAAACTGAAGCTTCGTAATGAATTTCAACTTCCCTTCTGGCTTTGGGAGAATCTTGTAGAATTTTTAAAGCTCGTTTTTGGCCAGTCTTCCTGTTTTTACATGCAAGGACTTTGCCGTTTATCCCTAAACCTAAAATTTCCTGCGCCAAAACTTGATAGTCTTTATCTAAGGAATACTTCTTTATTACGAGCGGCTCTCTGTTTTGACCAGACATGGTCAAGTTAATCTCCGTTATCAAATTGTAAAACTTCAAAATAATCGCCCGCGAAAACGAAGCAACGCAGACAACAAACACGGTCGAACGAGAACAACAGTGGTGTGATCAGGCGATTACGAAGGAGGCGGGTCGTCTGCAAATAATATAGAATTACTCAGGCATGAACGAAATAGAGCGGGAGACCTCAACGTTACTTTATTCAACGAGTAACGACTTGATCAGAAGATGGCTAAAATTGAGTGAGTAACTTTATTCTGAGTTCTCTGTTTTTAAACAACATATATACTTGAAATGGCAGAAAAAGAATTGCCAACTTAGAATGCAACGTAAGACTACAATATGCGCGTTCGCATATCTTACGAACAAATGCGCGACGGTGTGGCTCATCGTGCCAAGCGTTAAGAATACGCTCGCCACCGCACCTCTAATTACTCTGCGTGGTTTCGCAGGTTCGAATCCCATGCAGGATGGTTGTGTGCGAGAGGATTGCTGGACTCCTCGCCGGGGTAGGGTGGTTCACGTAACCGCTGGTCGGTTACGGCTTCCTCCACCATCAAGTCCATGCATCCGAAAAACGAGTAACCAACTAATCCCATACCCGACATGGAATGGTAACCGGACGAGAGGCCGTGGTTCGCCATAAGGATTAGCCGTCTTATCGGCTTTCTCTCCCCCGGAATAAATATGTAAAATCCTATCCTAACAAAAACTAAGAGGTCACAGACGCTCGAATAAAAGTTGAAAAAACTCGAAACTGTCTCCTTTTATAGGCAGGGGGTTCCCAAAATTTTTCAGCTTGCACCACACTAATAACAAGATTAAAAAGTCGCGGCACACTTATTACAAATCAGTTTTATTAAATCCCTTATCCGAAAATATTATGCGTTGCGGCAGTAACTTGAGATTGAAACAATCGTGGGTCAATTGTAACAAGTCTTTATTGTTTTTAGCCTTTTATCTTTGTCAGCGCATAAAATTTATATTTGCAAAATCATGAAAATGCAAACGGAAAAAATATGTACAGTAGTCGTATATATTTACGGTTGTACTATATCGTAAATATATGACTATATATATTGCAAGGGTGGCCAACACTCCGATCGCAATCGCCACGTCTCGAGTAGTCGAATGCGTCTGATGTTGAGTAAATTTGCCAAAATTCCAAGCAAGCAAAGAATCGGACTTGAAGAAAATTGTAAATCAGATACCAAAGTTTGAGCATTTATGTAACATTTATGGTTTGAGATAATTCAATATTTGCTGTTTAGATAATACATGGAAACTCTTCAAGTTTTTTGCAGGAATTGAAATCACAGGAAAAATTAGACAGGCCCTAGGACAGGCATATTCACTGAACTGGATATTACATCACCTGTCGGTGGACAGAATAATAAATCTTTATACAGGGTGATACAAAAAACAGAATCCATACAATATGTTCCACTGAATTCCGTTTTTTGGGTGTCACCCTATATAAATGTGTGGTACCGAACTACACCCGTTGCTGATTGCAATGTAATAAAGTTCATGTTGCAGTGTTGATTATTGTAAAAGAATCTCGGGAATTTTGTGAAAATTCGCGGCACATTTCAGGACATTGGCGGCATACTAGTGTGCCGCGACTCACAGTTTGGGAAACCCTGGCGTAGAGTCTCATTTCAAAAGACATACTATATATAAAAAAATTACCTATTTACTTACTATTTCCCCGAAAATAGGACTGGGTCTCATTTCAATTTTCTTCCGAAAAATAACAGTAGGGCTTATTTTTGGGGTATGCCATATATTTTCATTTATTAAAAACAGAATAACAAACTAGGGAATTTCGAATATACAAAATATGATAAATAGATATTCATTTACTTATAAATAACACATTTTTATTCAAAATAACTGCAAAACATCGATTATCAATCATTTAAAACGTGAAGAAGAGATTTCTTGCTATTGACTCGGTCAAAAAAAAAAATTACGTTATTGACTAGGTCTTATTTTAAGGGAGTGCTTATATTAAAATTATATTTAAAATTCAGCCTAGGTCTTATTTTCAGGGTAGGTCTTATTTTCGGGGAAACACGGTAGCAATATATTGAATATTTCCACGCAAAAAATATATGGAAATACTCATTTTGTGATAAAGAAGGTTACCGTATTATTACAAAACATTATTTTCGTAAAGCGATAATAAAAAAAAAAACCTAATACTATCTTCTCAAAGTGTCTTTCCGCAAATTGGAGGCACAGTTCTTACAACTTCATGGCGGCTCCTGTCACGAACTAACTGCGGCGTCTCTTGCCTTGGTTTTATGGCCCTATTACAGGTATATTCACAAAGGCATGTACCAAATTTCAGTTCATCATGCGGAATTATATCTACTTAAACCTCGAACCTAACCCCAAATCCATCAAAACTGTATCCATATGGAAAATGTTCTAACTTACCCAAAGTTTTTCACCATCTGGGTCAGTCCTGCCATCACAGCCTACATGCCTTGGTTCATGGCAGCACAATTTTACCATATTTTACCCATTATGATTTTCAATTTTCTGCCGTGGTTCCATTGATTTGTGGCAGTCGAGAAGTCAGCCGCCATGGTTTGACCATAGCGGCCATGGTTTGGAAAACTCGCCCATTAAATAAACCCGCCATGGTTTTGCGGCAGCTTCAGACGCCACAAAATACGCAAAACTGCACTCGGCGAATTGGCTGTTAACTTGTCTGCTTGTAAACTGGTCGTAAGTTGGGTTGTTGTGTTGATATTATCTTACTGCTGTACTGTATTAGTTAACTGCTGAACGAAATAGAGGCCAGGAGCTCTGTCTGCGTAAATTGTCCTCATCACTCGATGTCACTGAACTTCTTAATTAAATTTGTATTTATGGTGTTGATGGGATTTTATAATTTTTCATGGATCAGAAATATGTAAGTATGGCACTAATTCTGGTATTAAAAGATAAAAAAAAATCACAGCACACTCATTGCAACACCACTGCACTAAGTTTTGAAATTATCATTGATTAGTGGCACCAGTCTTACTTCACTTCTTTATTCAAATTTCTGTCAGAGCAAAAAATAAAAATATGTTGAGTCCTATTTCATACGAGTCATGAAGATACAAATAAAAATATAATTTTGTTGACATTAAAACCATTGAATAAGACTTGTAAGGAAATATCGTTTATTAGTTATTTCTGTATTTACCGACAGTGAATAATTTTCTGAACTTAAGAAAATTTATGCTATATTCAATCAAACTAAACACAACTGCTTTCTTATTTATTCGGAAAGTAATGTGGAACTCCTTAGAAATCTTAATATCGAACACCAAGGAAATATATGACACCTCACTGCTCATCAACAACCGAACAAAATTACGAAATCAACGAAGTTTTGTGTATATGGGTATTAGTTTTTTGTCTGCTGGCAGGCAGAAGGGTGTACATTTTTGTTTTATTCATGTTTATAATATTCAATACCTTTTCTGATTATAGTTAGCATAGTACTTCAATTTTTATTTCACCCTGCTTGTTTGTGAAAATTTAATGAGAAAATATTTAGACTATACCCAAATACAAAATTTTCTCCAATTTCGACATATTAACAAATACAAATATTTTCAGCGGCTGATGTGTGAGAGTTGGGTTGAAAAGCGACCAGAAGTAAGCCAAGTCACCGTGTATGGGACAGCGTCCAGAAAACAAAGCATTAAATGGAAAACCAGGTTTGAGTCTTTGTATTTATACAAGACTTGTTACATTGCAATGTCCAGAGTCGGTGCGTGGCGCATCATGTTAAGCGTTAGGAATATGCTTGCTATCACACCCCCCTGATTACACTGAGTTGGTTTGCAGGTTCAAATCCCATCGAGATAATTACATGCGAGAGGGTTGGTATCTTAAATTTTGAAAACATAGGTTGAACTTTCTATATTGCACACCTTTTTGACTAATTTTAGAGAAATAACCCCACACTTTTTCTTAACTATCATTATCACATTCTGTATGAAACATAAATTTCATATTTTAGATATGCAATGCTTGTTGTCTCTTGTGAAACTCGATCAAGTGAATTAAAGTTTTATCAGAAGAAACCAAGGTCATGCACTGAAATCACAGATGGTAAGACAATACTAGCGAGTTCGACAAAAGAAAAAACTTTCACATGCCAATGCTCTTATTTCCTTTTAACTTGTTTTATTTATACATAAGCCCTCAATCTACATATTCTTTGTTTTCATAGAACCTGTAGTTGGGAAAGCTTCTCCATGAAACTTCATTTTTGTTTCTAGCATTGCTATTAGCAATTCATATATTCATTTTATCAAGGCAAAATTATCATTTAATGTTCAACAATAATTTTAGAACTCAAAGAATTCACGCTTGGCACTGGCCTGTCCCTTCTTGAATAATCAATATTCAGCTTAAAATAGGCAATAATTTTCTGATATTTTTTTACAATTACAGATGTTATAAGACTCAAACCATGGCAGTATATTGTTGATATACCTAGCTGGATTGTTGATAAAGGTAGATCCCATGTATTGAGGTTGAGATTATTACCAGAAAGCATTGTCCCGGGCCAACATTTCCGCTTACAAATCGCTTATCAATCTGCAGAAGAAGCAACAGCATGGATGAGATGTATACAGGTTTGTATCATGTTATTATTCTTTCTACCACATCTCTTAGATTTGAATTGTAGCTTCGTACTTATGAGTGACTTCTTTTCTAGAGCCTCATTCTGAGGGAAGATCTGAGACTTTTTTGAGAGGATAATGAAAATTTCACACATCTGATGATCATTATGTCATTTACATACTCGTTTTCTTATTTTTAAATTAAATTTTACATATTTTAAAGATTTTTAGTTTCTATTCAATATGACTTTACAGAGTTGTGTGCAAGAACCTAACAATACAATATTGTGCAATATTTTTTGAAATAGATTATAGCTGTTTAGTAGCGTGCGATTTCAATATCGATGAGAAAATGGAAATAAAACATATGTAGCCTACACATTAATATAATAAATATAGCAGTAGTGGTCTTTTATGATAAGTCAATTTTCATGCAGAAAATTTTTACTTTAATTCACAGGATTAAAATTGCCAATCAATTTTTGCATGATTTTTTTGCAATGTTTTCTTATTGAATTCACAGAACCAGACAAAGTTAACTTCAGGCATACAAGGCCATAGTTTTGGATTAGTGGCAGAAGAATGTTCTGCTACTGCTAGGATTGGTGTGGCTGGAAAACATTGTTTGTTATTTGTCAGTCCTGAGAAAGTTATACTAGCTCACAAGGTAGGTGTTTAAATAGCATTGAAATATTTGAAAAATGACAAATTTTTGTTTTATTTTTTTGAAGTAAGAAAAAGTGAAAATAAATTTGTTTAAAAAGTTCATGCTAAATTAGGTTGATAATATTGATATAAGAAGTAAATGAATCTAATTTTCAGCGAGATTAATATATTTGTTGTAATTGTTAGGTTATAAGCATAAATGAGATCCGGCATAACTTCACTATGTTAGCAATACATTACATGGGAATAAGACATGCAATGCCCAAGAGCCGTATAATATAATATTAGATAACACTTTTGCTCCACAATAATTTCTCAATTTTAAACATTTTTCATGAACTTTTTCAGACTGACAGATCTGTGGTTTGTGTTTGGCCTTTTGAAACAATAAGAAGTTATGCATCTGATGACGATAGGAGGTATTTAGCTTTATAATGATTGTGCTGAAATTATTATATTGATATTTGTGAAATAGTAGATATAATTCTCTTATGGTTTTTCAGTCATTGTATAATATAAGCTGTTGAGTCAAGCAGTTATTCAGTTTGTATCCCAACCAATTTCATGTTCATGGTAACAACTTAACCTTATACAAAATATACCATTTATTCACAAAACTAATTTTTATCATTTTTTTAGGCTAGTGATAGAAGCTGGCAGATGCGCTCCACTTGGTGATGGTGTGTATTCATTTCGTACAAGAGAAAATGATGATAATGTGATTTTTGATCTATTCGATCATTACACAAGCCAGCCTATGGACGAGGTAAGATTGTTTTATCATTACATTTTTGGTAAACTTGTAGCTTGTCTTTTTGGAATAGTTGGTTATTCTAGAATTTTCAAATGTTTCCTCCTGTCAACGAACTTCTGATTTCAATAAAAAAATGATGAATTTTTCAAAGAAAATTAATTTTTCAAATCTGAAGGGTAGTTTGAAATGGAAAATAAATGTTTTAATGTCAGAATGGAGGCACAGCGTTAGATTTATCGATGATGGCAATGCAGGGTAAAATCCTGGTTTCAAATCCCATGCTTACCAGTAGGCAATGTCAATCTGGTAAATTTCCAAACTATTAGTCGCTCTTCAATTAGCAGTGATTGTTTGTACAGTTTTATACATCATGTGAAAAAAATAAAGGGGAAATTCACTGACTAACATAATATGGCTCTGCATTTATACAATTCTGCATCTTAATATCAATGTTGAGTATGCTTATTTTTCCAGGTGAAAACACTAAAGAACAAAGTGAAAAGAAACAAATCAAATGCAACATTATCAGATCAAACTATATCATCTCCAGTAACAGTTCATCCATCTGCCAGTTCTTCTGGAAAAAGCAGGTTTTACTATATTTAACACAGATATCGCTCAAGCTTGCTTGCTTAAGATATGACCTTGGGTTTTATATTTTTATATTTATTTATTTTTGATGAATTTGTTACAAACATGAATGAAAATTTCTTTAGCAGGTCTATAACGAAAATGTATATATTTGTTGACGTACTATATATTTTTTTTAATTTGATGTATTTATTTTTCTTGCATTCTGAATAAGGCTCTGGACAAGCAGTGACTGCTAGGTATGGTGCAGTTTGAAAGTACGAGAAACCGGTTCGCCATTGCCTACCCAGTTTCCCCCTGGGTGAGGTGTTCTGCATGGGATTGGAACTTGAGATTTTGACCTGTAATGCCATCATAGTTCAATCTAGCGCTGTAACCGCTATGTCGCCTTGGTTTGATGTAACTATATAATCACAGTTTACTTTTTTATATTTTCAGAAGTAAAGTGAAACAAACACCATCACCGAGGTCTGAGCCAGAAGTGATTCCATTACTAACAACATGGTCAGATAACAGCACACCTGAGTACGGTGCTGTCCCTCCAGAAAAACCATTTCTCCCAGAAAACCGCAAAATTCTTCCTTTTGCACTCACAAAATCTACATCTGAGTTACGAGATAAACACTCAATCGCTCATCCACAATCAGGACGCCCTGTTAGCTACGCTGAAATAGTTGAAACTGCCATAAGTCGCAGAAAAGTGGAAAATGGTGAAAACAACAGAAGTAGTGTATCACAAGGATGTGACGATCTTGATTTGATCCTCCAGAGCTTAGAAGGCCCAAATAGTTCGAAAATGGATAAGTCAGTTTCTGAAGCTTGCTATGATCAACCAGCAACAAGTGAGGTTTTGGAAAAAAGAATGTCTGAAATTGTGGACATTCCAAACACAAACTTGACAGCAAAACTTGAACTGGCATATGAAGTAAATACTTTAAAATCTGATATTTTACTTGACGATTTGGAGCAGTATCACATGTCAGAGGAAAACACTACAATCGATCGACAAGATCTGATTCCTGAAAAGACAAAGTCTTCACTAAGCGAACAGAAAATGCAGAAACCAAAAGTTGCCCCAAAACCACCGTCTGTGAAAATACCAAAATCTGTTATCCATAGCTTTTCTACAAAGAGCTCGGAACCGTTGCCTGATAAACCATTCCCTCCATATGCTAAAATAGACCAAGACAAAAAACGAAAAAGTGGGATAGCTTAACTTGTACATGCTGCATCATTTTCAAAGGGGAATAGTTATTCTTTTTATATAGATTTTGTCAAACAAAATTCCACATTCACACAACTGAAATTGCATTCCATAAAATAACAATTACGGTACTATTTATTACCTTCACTGTTAGCTGATGAAAATTCATATTTATTTGGCTAAAAAATAACTGAAAACACCGCTTTAGAGCCACTGTGTATGTGTACAAAGGATTGCCTGATGATCATTAATTCACTACATTATTGACGAATAATATGATGTGCCTTTAGGTATGATAGTATAAATAAGTTGTGTGCTATTTAGCAGTGTTCTTCAGCCTCTTTCTCATCATAACCCACTTGGCATGGCCAAATTTTTGGCGACCTTTTGGAACTAAAATTTAATAATACAGAGAATAGAAAAAAAAGAAAAATTGACACTATTTTTAATAAGACTGATGTGTTACATATTCTCGCACAAAAGATCGAATCTCGGCTCTATTTTGGTGTTGGTAGGTCTCGGTACTGGTCCCTAACCATTCAAAATTGATCGATATTTTGTTTTAAAATAAGTTAGTGTCGAAAAAGGTTTTAACGCGACTTCCAGTTTGAAGAGCCCTGTTCTGTTCTATAATATGCTTTTGCAGCAAATCATTCGACCAGTATTAAGTGAACATTAATTTTATTTATATTGAATCCCCTGTTGTGTGGGTTTGGTTGCTGTATTTATGGACAGACAATTGGACCAAAATTTTTTATCAGCCTTGCTTTATTTGACCAAATGATTTTTGTGTATATTATCTATATTACAAATACAATGCAGTATACTGTAATTATTATTCATATTTTTATCTTTTGATCCGAATATTGCTATTTTTATAACAATCATTCCAATATTTTCTATAAAGTATTTTACACAAATCATTCATTCAATATGGTGCTTCATTTAAATATTCATTGATCGAAATCATTCTTTAAGTGCTTTAAAGTTTCTAGCCTTAGGCTTTTTTGGCGCATGATTTATCAGCTTGAAATTTAATTATACATTTGTAATTTGATGATTGTTTACCTCTTGTGTTTCTGTATCACAGCAATGCCACAGTATTATTGCCTTAAGAATATTGATTCGTTTTTTCCATGTTTTGTTGTATATGACTATACTTATATCCTAAAAATGCATCTTGATCAGCCATATTTGAAATATAAAATTACATTTGTATTGTGTTTTGTGGCCGATTGGAGCACAAGATAATTAGAATGAATCTAGCAAACAATAAAAGATTGCAAGGTTGAAACTGATTAAGGGGTTGGCCTGTGATTAATGCACTGGTCATATGAATCTCGGATGAAGTTGAGAATCTAGTGACCCAAGCATATGGCCTCTACTAACTGTTCCAGGGATTCAGTGATATTGTTCGTCAACGCTAGAACATTTTCAACAAAGTTTACATTGCATTATCAGTAACAAGCCGGTTCATGGTTTGCACTGTAGGATGTTTTCATTTCTGTTGAACTGTTTAGGGCCAAGATTTTGATCTATTTATTCATCTTTGTTGCCCCTCGGCGTTGTAGGAAACCTCAGAGGTCATACCAAAATTTGTGGTTCGCGTACCAGGCACCGCCCATCACATACCCTGTTAGAAAAGAACTATTTTCAACTAGCCATAAGCCCAAAACAATTGCTAAAAGCTGCCTCCATGCCACATTGTTTACATTAACCAATATAGCAGTATTGACATTTTCAGGAAATGAAGCTATTATGCCTAGTAATAATTGTCCATCTGGTATGTGTGATACAGTCGAATTCATCCATAACTGACTAGCGGTCAACTGTATACACTACCAGTTAATTGTATTGAATTTTTTACCTGAATTATTCCATGATGTATCGGGCATATTTATCTCGCCATCAACCTGGCGTATATATAGTTATTGGTGCGACAAGCAAGTGTGACTTTCTGTTTTCACAATAAAACCACATTTAACATGGTGAATTGAGATCCGTAGATTTTTATTTAAAACACTAAAATTATCTAGAGTCGAGCCTCTCTTAAATGGTTACCATGGCCGAGATTGGGAATACTAGGATACCCCAAAGAGTTGACTGGTATATTTCCCCGACAAAATACCACAAATCATTTCAACATATATGGTGAATTTATTTTCATGATATATATAGAATTTCAACCATTAATGAACGTACGCTGGTACATAGTATAATAAACAAAAATGGATATTAAGCGAAATACATTGTCCTACTGAAACTCAGAATAAATTTCTCTAAATAAAAATAATAATCAATAAATTAGTGTAGTTGCGGCAGTAGCAGTTAAAGCGTGGTGGTCACTTCAAAACAACAATGAATAATTAATAATCTAACCTAACGTTTGATGGGCAGTGACCAGAGTGTATGTTGTTAAACCTGCTGCAATAAGTTGCACTGAAATTAATCGTATAATATTGTAATGTTTCTTCATGTCCTCACAATACCAATAAACCAGAAAAAAATTGAAGAACAGAGTATGCTGCTTGCCACAGAACAGTTCAATATTGACCAGTCCATCCACATATTCTGATCATATTTTTTGAAGTATTAGTAATAAGTGACCCAGAAAATTTATCTCTGATAAAAGTATTATTATTTTTTCAAAAGATTCATTTTTGTAACAAAAAAATCAATATCCTATTCAATGTATTCACAAATAATTTGCACATTTTTGAAATTATCCCCTAAATAGGAACGCTCCAACATATAATTCTGAGTTGGCCATATACACAAATTTTGATATTTTGGGTCAACAAAGCAAAAAATGGAGTTTTTAGAGATATCAAAAAAGTACAACAACCATTATGCTGAAATCAAAGGTATTCAGTTCTTTAATAAGAATCAAAGAATGGTTATGTTTTGAGATACGCCGATTGATTTTTTTTGTGAATGTGTGGTGTTGTAGCAAATAATGACCAAATAGTTGAAAACAGTTGAAGATGGCTGAATCGTGAGCTGTTTGAAATTATAGGACATTTTTTCTATATATGTAGTTTCCATAAAGCAGTGGTCCCCAACCTTTTATGGCTCGTGGCCCCTTTTGGAGGCTTTAGCACTCATGGCCCCTTTTGGAGGCTTTAGCATTCATGGCCCCCCTGTTTGTCATTACAACAGCATCTATAGTGTTATTTTCACTGGTAGACTCCAAATCCCATTGTGTTCAATTAATTCATGCTCAACAGAGTGAAAACATGCAGTGAAATAACCTTACATTGAAACTGGGGAAAACGGTGAGCTTTCTTGTAAAGGGAAAAGTGAAATCTGTTACATGCCCAGCATTGTGGAATCGCTGCCATAAAGTATTATTAGAAATTTCTTCAATTCTTTGTCCGAGCTAATTATCATGCTGTGTTTCGACCAGAGTTGTACGAGATTCTGTGCACAATGGAGATCAAATAATATACTAATGGAACTTTTGGATTACGCGCAAAAATATTTACACAATTTGCGCACTGCGCAATTTTAAATGCGATCAAAAAATTAGCATTACAAAAATATGTGGCGCAACATCATATATATGAATCTCAAAAAAAGAGAAAAACAAAACAAAAACGCGAAGCTATAAAAAATGAAACGAAACACCTATATACAATGCATCATTCACCCAGTAATCACATTTCAACCATAATTGGTCACGTCAGAACTCTCAAAGACAAAAATGACTTTGTCAAATCATATGTGACCAGCTATTGTGATCCCTTCCTCTAAACCAGGGGTCGGCAAACTTTTGTCGCTCGCGGGCCAAAATTAAGGGTTGCAAGTCATTGGCGGGCTGCACATATTTTTAGAAAGTTGAAAACCGAACGGATGATACTTTTTATAATAAAAATTAAGCAGTGATACATCTCTCGAAAAGAATATATGTTTATTTCCCCATTGCATTGCATCTCGAAACATTTCATTTGAATATTTTCGATGCCATTGAAACCTTTGCACTCAGCATCAACTTTTCTGCGTTTTGTTGCCATTTGTCTAATTATAATTAAATTATAGGCTAATTAAACGAGTAATTGTGAATTATATACTTATTAGATTATAATATAATTTAGTCTACACGTGTCCCACAATAAATTCTGTTGAAAAGAATATAACCGTCATAGCAGCTGTTTTGTTACTATTATACAGTGAAGCATCGCGGGCCGAATTATATTACTCTGGCCAAATCCGGCCCGTGGGCCGTAGTTTGCCGACCCCTGCTCTAAAAAACTATATCTAATGAGGTGATAGATATAAATTTACATACCGTGAGTTGAAGCATAAAAGTCCAGCTTCGGGTGGCATATGTAAACACTTCTGGTGTATGAGAAAAAATAACATAAAAATTCACCAACGAATTTCTATAATTTCAATACAGATTGGATACACATGGCATTCTTGTATAACTACTCAACAATGATACCATTCGAATAAATGGCGCTCCAGAAGTGTGTGTACCAATATGGAGGTAACTAATTTTGTTCGCCTATATTAAATGAAGTTGTGTAAAGGGAATGAAACCTATGGGTAGGGGGATATTCACTTGGCTAACATAGACTGTTCCCAAACTAGTAATAGAACTGGAATAAAGAAAATCAGAATAAAACGATGGCCTAACCCTAACCGAGTACACACACTACGGGTGTACCAAATAAATTAATTAGGTTATATCCCACTATAATAAATTAATTAAGCATTGTTTTATGAAAAACTTTTCAACCAAAAACGGTGTTATCAGCTTTTGTGGCAGCTGAATTTTTTAATCAAATAATTAAATCATGTCCATCTTTAATTGAATATCCCTTAGAGACCGGCTTAATTCTAACTGAAATAGAATAGTTTCTTCCTCCAAATTAGGTTTCTTGAATTACACCACATTATCCCACCTTTAAGACTTCATGGTAAGAAATCAATGTAACACCAAAATAGCATTAATCTTGGTGAACCTAAAAGCTTCTTTAGGGATTAGAAGTGACAGAAATCAATACGTCAAAGACACTATGCCTAGATTCATCGATGTGTTAAATGTTAATTGCCAATACCAGATGGCAATTCTGCTAATAGGTTAGTAACACTGCCAAGGGAACTGTCTAATAACAAGATAATTTTCCTATCTAGAACCACATAGATTAAAAAAAAGAAGAAGATAACCTGTTTCAGAATTTAAGAATATCACCTATAACATAATCAATGGATGGATAGAACAGGCAGCTAATCAAATTTTAAAATTTGGTATTTCTATATCCAAATAGATTCAATTTTTCCAGATCCTGTTTTGCAATGAATTTCAAAGTAAATTCCCGATTTCAATATACCAGTGACATCAATGAAAAAATTGCATGAAAACACAACAACTTTAATGAACCTAATTTGTGACTAGGAGGTTTTAACTTCCAAGTGGGGAATTTTTCAGCCGTTAATAGCTCATTTAGACTATTTTGCTGACAGAGGTATAAAATATACAATATTGATAAGGACGAAGATACTTAGAAGAACTTGAACCTATTTAGACAAATTCACAATATCTTCAATGGCTTCTTTTAATGGAGCCTCTATATAAAAAATCATAAAGACATATTTAAAAACGATAGGTCTTTGAGATAAAAAGTAATTAACACCATAATGATAAACATAGTGATAGGTCTCGAGTGATAATAAGTGACACCTTTGCCGCAATTACAAAGTCTTCTAAATTTGTGCAACATTAGTAATAATAATATTGATATTCGCCACAAACTCACATTATGACACAACAATCAGGTTTAGTTTTACGAATAACTAAAGTGTCATCATTTACGAGGTTTTCAGTTGGCAATAACCCATAAGGATGTGATCCTGGTATTGTCTTCAATTTTGTGTGACTGGTCGTGCCGTTTTCAACCCATTTTTTCCTGATGGTTGAACTTGTGGGGGAAGTTTTACTCCCCCCCTTTCGTCGAAAAATGTTGTCCGTTGAAAGATGTGGAAAAAAAGTCATTCTAATGCGACCCATTTTCGTTGGTGTCGGCGGGTTACTCTCTTCTATATATTTATTGAAGTTGCCTTGGATACTATCTGCAGAAGTAGAACTGGAAGTACGCTTTTTGTGTTTGAAATATTTCATGTTTTGCCCGTGTCGAGATAACGAACCATTTATGGATTCTTCCACTTCGTCCATTGGCGATAAAATCAATTCGTTAACTGGATCAACAGCGTATTTACTTGTGCTGCAAGTCGACGATGCTAAACTAATATTACTCCTTTTTATATTTGATTCTTTCATTTCTGTAGCTAAATAAGTAACTGGTTCAATTGACGCCATTTGGGACTCTGGAATGCATGGCTGTATAGAAACAACTGGTTGCACCAAAGCGGGAATACATTGTCGTTTACGACTTGGACCGTGAGTAATATAAGGTCCGCAAGATGAGGCGCGAGGGTTGTTTAAATTATTTCGTACATAGCAACATGGCCTTGGTAACGAAGTTGATCTACTTTGTCGTTTATTTGGTTTCAACTTTGAACCGCGACCATGTATACGTTCTTGAGTGACATTTCCTTCACTGTGAGGTCGATGCAATGAACACGGACTGCTGCTGAGTAAACGAGAGCTTGCGTTGCTTGGAACAATGATCGATAACGAGCCAATAGAAGAAGAAGATGAAGAGTTAGGAATACCAGTGTGCCTGAGGTTATTCCAACGAAGTACGAGTCCTGTGTCCGACATAGTTGATCTGCTGTTTTTCCTTACGCGATGTCCTGATAACATTCTACCACGGCGAAAACCGAGACTTAAGCTTGAGCTGCTGCTGCGTGCACTGCTGGTTTGACTACTGTTGTAATTTGACTGGTTCGATTCCGCACTTTTGCTTCTTTTTTCCGGGATGTTGCAAATGTGATTGCAGGGTTGAGGTTGTTGCTTTTTTCCATTTCTACCTCGGAAATTATTGAGAACGTTATCATTTGATGAACTGCTTAATGGAATTAATATATTCGGAGTGATACACCTAAAAAAAGCTCTTTCCTGTATAATTTCAGCACATGATGAATTATTGAAGTTGATATTATCAGGTTCGCTTGGTTGTACTTCGTTACCGTTATGCTGAGTGCCGCTAGTACTTCCCTGATTCGCATTATTATTCGATTCGTCATTTTCATTGGAGCTCAAACCAGCAGGTCCACTGTTTCTTCTAGCTCCCCATGTATTACCACGACCACCAGATCCACTTCCATCCCTATCTCCGCTAGAGTCACGCCGTCTTCGATGTAGACTACCCAAAACAGCATGAAGATTCGTTCGACTTGTTCTCCTGCTCTCACTATCGTCATCACTCGTCTCTGATCCACTCGATTTATGACTTCCCCTCCTCCTGCCTCGGCCTGAAAAAAAAATACATTTGTCAGATGAAATAAGGCATAGCTGCAATTTTATGTCGTAGGAAACATGGCTGTTGAAATAGAACCTGACACATTTTTATTAGAAATGAAGTCTGAATTTCAGTCTTCAATGTCAGGATAAAAAAGCATTGACTTGAATAAGCAATCTTGAAATACAATTAAGAAAGGCTGCAAATGCCAAGGTTTTGTGGTCAAAATTTGGATTTTTTGGATTTGGGAGTTCGAGTCCGCAATTGGAAATTGGAATTCGTTGTTTTGTGATAGAAAGCATTATCATTGTCAATGGATACCTGCATTTTTTCAAGTCACCAAATGTACAATTTAGATATATCCTAGTATGGCCTAACCCTGACCTGGTACACATAAGACAATCCGGTGTCCACCATCTTGGTCACATACTTCTGGAGTACCAAAATATGATTTATCAAGATTTCTTAAGATTTATGTAAGCGACATTAAACTATAGTGTTCATAATATGCTATTCATGATTTCTAAAATAATATGTGGCAAATTTTATATAGTAAATTTTCAGCATAAAAAGCAAAGTATCGCTTTCAGCACCTCAAGTTACTTAGCAGAACATGAAGAGGTGCTTGAAAACAAAAGCTTCGATGAGTAGTCATGATGAGCCTTAATTAAGGTTTTTAAGCATTTTAAAAATCTCAAGTAGAATACTTCATGAAGCTGAGGTTAGTATAAAACCACTAAAAAGCCTAAAAAATGTACAAGTTCAATTTTATAGTTTACTCGTAATTATAATATAAATATACTTATAAAAGGACAGTAGTTTGTTATCCTGTATATAGAAAATAAAGACAGCAGTTTGTATTCTTTATCGTTTTTTTTCCTTTAAAAATAATACGTCTTGAACATCACAACATGTTCCATCAATTTCAAGTTTGGATTGGTGACTGAATTGGAATGAACTATATTTTTATTTTCAATATTACGGTAAGTATTTCATTTATTTATGTAAAATTTAGTCGGTTTCCCAAACTGGGCCCTCGCCTCCTTTAGGAGTCACAAGAAAAAGCCTTTGTTAGCTTCCTTTGGCAATGACCGCACCTATTTAAAGTCAAATACTGTAATGCATTTAATAATTTACTGAAAAGCAGGGATGGGGCTCACTGGAATGAGGATAGGACTGATGAGGAATCTGAAAAGTAATTGATCACCGTCCTAGGCTGTGAAGATGCCAAGTCTACTGTCCACTGTAGCTTTTTATTGATTGATTGGCGGATTACAGAGCAATATTTTAAGTTCAACAAATGAAATATTCAACTAAAATCTCGACCAATTACATCTTCTTTAAATTCACTATTTTAATTTTCGTATCACGTTTTATCCTGACAGTGAAAATGTTACTTGCGATTAATCTCAATAATCTAAATATGATGATAAATTTCCATTCATGGTTTTGAATGATAGTAAGCAAGTATCGTGGTTTAAAATGTCAGATAAAGCATGTCGAACATGATAGTGGCTTTTGCCTGATTGTTTTCTATTAATTATTCATCGTATACATTATCTACGTTCATGAAAAATAAAAAGACAAGAGGGCAAATGCAAGAACCCAGGTCACTTAAATCGATTAATAAAAATGACCGTCTTCGATCAGTTACCTTTATCGGAATATTCATTAGAGTAAAAATGTTTTAGGTAAAGAAATATTACTAACAATTCCAAGAAATATCACATTGTTTGATATCTGTATGAAAAACGAGAGTGCAATGCCTAATCTATGACACGAAGGTCAAATGACTAACATGGACAATATGGTTCCATCGAAATTCCAGCCAATGTTAAAAGAATTGCACTGAATGGCATATGAAGGTCCATAAATTATGAAACCGGTGACTGGTGAAAATGTTGCCAAGTAGGACATATAGAAATTTGAAAATATTCTGTTGGTCCACTTGACCAATAAGAGTCAAGCATTAAAACCCCCAATATGATAAAATATTGTGACTCATTATCAGTTCGAATACTTTTATTCTGGAAATATTTTATTGTAAATAAATCAAATTAATTTATTGCAATAGTGTTTGAACTCTAATTAACATCAGTTTATAAGTAAAACAGTATTGAATTACATTTTTATTTACTTGAGACACAACAGGGAAATTAGGAATTCTGTAACCCTTGTGTTTTTTTAGCATCAGACATTTACGGGCAAATCATGAAAAATATGTTTGTTTATTTATGGACTATTATTGGAGCATGCCATAGGTAATACTATAGGGTTTAAAAACAAAAATGGCCCTTTGAAACTGCTAAGTCCTAACTCTGGATTTGAGTAAGGCATGATTTATTGTCACTTCTTCACAATGGATTTTATCAAAAAAATCTTTATAAACAAAATTTGATATAATTTTTGGCTTACTATATATGAATGTATATTTTCAGTCAATAATCATATTTTGCTTCACAAATTTCTCAAAAATTCATACAGTCAATGAAATTTCGTCAACCAAAAATTTAGCATTGTAACTTATTGGCAATATTTTTAATATTATTTATACAAGTTGTTAAAAAAACACTCGTTTCAAACAAATTTACCAAGTATAGAAGATTTGAACTCAAAAAGTAAAATATGGCATTTCAGATTACATATATACTTAAGGTAATATGGTAACCTAATACCATTGTATTGCAACAGTTCCCAGTATTAGACAACTATATGACATATCTTAAATGAAAAGAGTATGACATAAACGGCGGAGTCAAATTACAATAATAGCTCAACAATTACGTAGATCGGTTTATAAAAGCACATGTTGCACGTGTGTCATGTGTGGATCAACACATACACCTACGCTTCTCGTCAGCAAATCTAATGCCATGCCATTTATAGACCTTATTAAGTAAATTGCCGAACAGAGATTAATGCAAAATAATTTTCACAGTTTCCCTTGAGGCAAGGTTAAAGAGCTGATATATGGGTGTGCAATTTATTTCGGTGTAATTCTCATTATTTGATCTGTACTAAATAAAGATCATAAATATAAACATATTGATTTTGAATTTATCATTATCGTTTTAAACAGATAGAATCTTAACACATTTGAAAAACCAATATCAAATTTCAACTGCTTCAGATTTGGATATTATCAAGAATTACAAAAAGCGAATCATTTACTAATGGGGATACATTCTGAAAAAAAGATACTTGGTGAAATAAACATTGAAAGAGAAAACATGAAGCTCTTTGCTGTTTATCAATTATTTTTAAAATGTGGAACATGAAATTTTATTGGGCGTCCTGAAAACTCAATTAATTTTTCAAATTAAGTGTTTTGCAATATTCTTAAACTAAAATTTCTTCAAATATATATAATATGGGTAGTGGGCATCCCAGATTACTATATTATATAACTTTATTATTCACTTTATCCTAACCCGATAAAATTATTCACGAATTTCTGTGTAAATTATTCAACCCCCAAAGGGTAGTGTTGGCACCAGTTTGTATAATGAAGAAATTCGTCATTGATCATTCATAAATTCTTTGCAAATTAGGAATTGATTAAAATAATAAGCAATTAAAATTTGGTATATTTTTGTATTAGGGAGAATACAATAGAATAAAATGAAATTTCAATTTTTTCATACTTAATTTTGATCACAAAGAGTACAGAATATCATTTCCATACACACAATTCAAATTGAGATTTTTGCTCTTATCATAATACATATAGTTACACTAAGTTTGCTTTATTGAATGCTTGGTGCAGTTTGCATTGTATTTAATTTAATAATATGATTCTGTACTTTTGTTTTCATAAATTTTTGACTTTAGATCGTTCAAGCATACTTGTGAGTAAGGTCACATACCAGATGTGCAAACACTGTTAAATCAGCCAAAAACAATATTCTTTCAGTGGTTCGTGTAGTTAGATTAATAATACTCATTCTAGATATAAAATAAAGCGAGTAAATTATACTCTTTTTAATTAAAATTATATAAGAGGGCTTCATTTAATATTGAATTAACAAAATAGAAACCTATTTAAAGTTTATCTGCAGTTACACTTTTCTGTGACGCCAAATTACTGCCTTATGAATATAAAATATTTGTACAAATTTCTATGTTGAACATTTGCACGATTTAAGAAATTTACTAATATTTAAGAAATATTTAATTAATATTCAAAAGTGAGTAATTCATAGAATATATATTGAATCAAAATGGCGAATAGGTTTTGACAATTTCTGGTTCAGTGACAGGCCAAAGCCTAATAATCTACTAAAGTTGGTTTAGTCTAAATTGGTTATCCTAACAAGGAAGGAATAGGTGTCTATATATTGGTTTTGAATTTGTTAATGCAGGAAAGTTAATGTAAACAATGTTCTGCAAACAATTTGTTCTGTATTTTTTACAACTTTTGGATGATAAACGTTATAGGTTAGACTTGAATTGCTGAAAATATTAGTTTTTATATGATGAAAATATTCTGAATTAATCCTAAAATTGAGACTTATCATCATCAAATACAAATAATTTCAATTGTTTCCTGTTATCGCTCAAGTAGCGGGATTAGGGACTTCACTTGCTTAAAAAAAAATTTTTTATATGATGAAAATATTCCCGAACTGTTCCTAAAATCGAGACTTAATGTTATCGAATAGAAATAATTTCAATCGTTTCCCTGTTATCGATTAGGTAGCGGGATTAGGCTACATTTTAATTTCAGAATTTCATTTACATCAAAGGCAAATTTCAATTTCAAGTTTGGGAGAAAAGCGAAACCCCAAGGGATCAGCCAAGTGTGAAATTCAATAATACCATTTGTATTTTCAATCTGAAACTTCTACTGACATATTTAAGCAATGTGCGCTAGGTCACGTTCTAGTTCACTGATCAGTAATAATAGAAGGATTAAAATCACTTTACCTTACCTTGTGTGTAGATGTATTTATAGGCATTGCGGACAATCATTGTCATGATTGTATTTATTGTCATTAAGATTTACTACTCGTACAAATACTTAGGTCAACATATTGTCAATGGTAAGACTGATGGATTAATAAGAATTTTATATAAACAATGAGATATAATAATAAGATGATAATGATGATAGATAGAACCACATACAGATTTTAAACAGTATTCCAAACGATATATAGTAAGTATTCATTTCCGAATATTTTGACTAATTTTTTTACATTTAAAATGTTTTACTTGCGTTAACGAACTATAACTGAACTATGTATGTCTGAAAAAGTCTGACCTTGGTCAGACGAAACGTTACAGAAATATAATTGTGTTAGTGTGCAGCAATACTCTTGAATCACTGAGGACAAAATGTTTTAATTTTGATTAATCTGAATGTATTAATATGCAGTTACAAATGTCATACATGAAAATTCATGATTTCACAAAAATATCACGTTTTTAGTAAAAAAATTTAAAAACCCATAAATTAAAATTTTCTAAATATTACCGGTAACTGAAAAATGCTTTCCAAATTTTGTATGAATCAAAGTGACCTCCTTAGTTTATAAAGTCAGTTATTAAAGAAAAATTCTTTGAACCAAAACACACCTGTAAAGCTGGCAATTTCAGTATGTAAGTTGTTTTGAAAATCAAAATTTTCAAATAGCTTCAAAAGAAATAAGTTCACTACTAAGAATTATTGACTATTAGAAAAATCGGAATGATCTGAAAAATTTCATAGATTGAAAACAATTTGGTTCAAATTACATTTTCATACTATATAAATAAGTTCATGCAGGGCCAAACATAGGTGTGTTTCAGACCCGTTTTATATCACATTCGCTATTAAAACAATCGATATAACAAAATCATTACCGAATTCTTTTAAAATATAGTCATGTCTGCTTTGCCAACATTGAAGGCCATTTTGTGTTACAAAAACTAACGGCAAATAATTACTTTAAGCTGTGCTTGAATTCAATTGTGGCGTAACATAATTTGATTTGTAACCTTAGGCAAGTTCAAATGAGTTTAAGTTTAAAATTGGGGTCCATTAGTAGTAAACTAATAATTATTCTACCGTGAAATGTTAGACCTGATCTATGTCTAAAAATAGTAATATTTATCTGTGGTAATAGCTGGTTATCTATAATTATCTATGCTGACATTTCCTATCTTAATATCAAATCGAGAACGAATTATTATAATGTGAAAGGTTAATGGCCAAACACTTTTACTCTCTTTTTCATCAAAGATACTGAATGTACTTCCTAAAGAAGTTTTACCTTTTTCTTGAGAAATTCAAAATCTCAAAGCAAGGCCATGTGTACTCACTCTAATTGAGTAAAATTGACTGATCTCTGATTGAAATTACGAGATACTACCGAGTCATTTTGATATTAAAATTATTGAGAGAATTTTACTGTTATAAGTATTTTATTTGTTACATCATTTATGAAAAAAATATATTATGGTATTTTATTAGGAATGCTAGTATTTAAAATTGTTTTAAAAAAAAAAACGATTTTCATGCCATCAATGCTATTAAAAAAGTGTTATAAGAATCAAAATAGTAAAGTTATTAATTTTCCATTTTACAATCAAATCATTGCTGTAAATCGACCATTAGTCTGAGTGAATTCTAAAACACTAAACAATTGACGATCTTTATCTAATGGTTATGATAAATAAACTTGCATCAGAAATAAAATATTTATTCACAAAATGAGGCTTTCGTGGATTATATTTTTGATTATTCAATTACAAAGGTCCCAGTTGAATGCAAATTAGATTGTTGAAAGGCAAAAAGGTATCAAAAGTGCCGTTGACATTTCAGAATCGTGTAGCTCTGACAACCGAAATCGACCACATTATTAAATTGGAGAGAAAATTTGAAATTCAATTTCATTGAAATATTATACAGTCGATTCATGTTTGGTTATTTTAGATGCTTCAAAGTACGAATAGTGAATAATTTAAAACCTGCTTGAAAATATCTGCAATGGAATGTTGACATTTGGATTTGTTAACAAGAAGAAAAGTGGATAGTGACAACCACGAAATGATCCCTTGCAAAAATGGATAATTGATAATAATATATTGAAATTGCGCATATTCAAACAGCCTGTAAGTCTTTGTAATGGGTATTCATTTTCATAACTTGAACTGTTCAATCATTCAGCAAATAATGATACCGGTATATGCCAATTTTACTGCATGAATGACGGCGAAAAAAATTTAGGAATATGGTTTTCGAAAAGGAAAATTTTTGATTCAACCAATTTCATTTGATCTTAAATATACTTCGCCTTCTTAGCAGGTAATGATATCAAGATAAACTGTTTCTAAAAATTCTGTAACCCTCTGCACATATTTCGTAACAATTTTACATGATTAGAAGTGTTCCACTTTATTGAAATAAAACAGAAGAATTTATGATAAAATATTAGGTCCCATAGGATTCGAGATAAAATTTAAAAAAAAAATCAAAACGATATCCTTCCTTCGACTTCGTCTTTAATAAGTAGCAAAACATTGAAATTGATTGGTCCAATAGTTATATAAGAAAGATTTTTTCTCAGTGAAAACAATAAGAAGGATTTAACAAAACGGTCAATGGCTTCATTTTGTGTCCAAGAATAGCCAATTAATGATATTCAGATCAAAGCAAATATTGGAATAGAGGAAAAACATTCAACATTTAACACAAAAAAATCCAAATATGAACCACTTTGCCAGCCATGATGGCAATTTGTCAATATTTATAAATTGAATTTTCAATGATGTATGTATTGACTAGTCTGAAATGGCTGGTTTGTACCAGACTTATTTTTTTAAGTTTGGTTTTATGTTTAGAATTACAATTTACAACGACAGTAGAACAAAAATTTGTTTGTAACCAACAAAAAAGTTTTTTTTTATTGGTGACTTCTACGAAACTAGGCAAGAGTTATAATGAAACTATTTGATTTTGTCAACCATTAAGGACATTCCATATTTTACAATGTTTTTTTAGTAAAGACATAATATTCCTTTAAGTAGAGAAAGATACATTCTAACACAACTGACTTTTTCCGATATATCTTTCTTAAGCAAACTTTTTGAAGGCATTCTTTTGTTTACATAGAGAAGGAACGTCAGCACTCGAAAAATATTATAATTGAAAATGTGTGTACCGGCGTCGTCGATGAATGCTCGTTTATTTTAATTGACACATCAATCTTACATTGCGTGCCAGATAGTAGAAACAGTGAACGCACACAACAACATATGTGATAAAAACGTCACACTTACATTAGTAAGACGGTAGCCAATTATATCAAACTCACTTCGAAATAACAACCCTTGTATAATAAGTAAACATCATGATTTACAGAATTTTAACTTAACTGGTAAATAAAATAAAATTCATGATGTAAGATTGAAATAAATGTGGTCATTTAGATGTAGTTTGATTTGATTGAGTTTTATATGTTCAAAGATATTTATTCAATATATAAGAAATTGAAAGAGTGCATATTGGAGGTGGTGCATATTGGAGTGAAGTGAATTCTACACAAGGTCCAAAAATATTGAACTATTATATTAACTTTGGATTATAACACACAAATACTTGATATCGTAATGAGACATTGAATAATTTTAGTTCTTGTTATCTGTGGAGGACAGATGGAATTGTAATAAGCAATGATTTGCCAAAATTGCCCTTAATTCAAAATAAGAGTAATTTGGGAGCCACATAAGTTCAACTCTGAAATTGTAATTTTTAATCAAAAATGCCCTCTTTCCAGATATTATCAATTTGGTATTCAGTCAGTTTACAGCGAATGCAGCATGGTCTATGTTGCTTTAAAATTCAATTATGACAAAATGTGATTGATCAACTAACATCAAGCTGTACAGTAGTAAACTCGGTACCAAAATAACATGATTGATCAGCGGTATTTTAGACGCATGGAAAAGGTCAAAAGCTCATGTGCGTAATTTGGAGAATAGCGTGGCGATTTTGAACCCAAAGAGTGACAGTTCAAAGGCTTTGCACGCCCCTCAGTCATTTGATGAATTTTATACAAGTTAAATAGTTGGCCTTTTCGTAATATAGATTTAAAGATTATACCATCTTCGGATAGAAATATTTTATATATTGCTCATTATACATAAAATAAATTCCAAAATATGAAAAATACAAAAAAAAAATATGATGACAGGTTGCAAAACATTTTGAACATGATCAGAATTTAGATTTAGTTGCCTGCGCAGAAGTTACCTCCGACAATAAACATATTTGAGAACAACTTGAACCAAAATTCAATAGTAATCATAATCTAATTTACAAATACAGAAAACTGAACAATGTTCATTGATTTCTATCGAAAGAACCATTGCGAAAAGGTGGGCCCATAATGACAAGACAATAGTATGTAAATAATTTTCTTTTGGCAATATGGATAAATAAATAACATATTACAGCATTATCATATTATGGTAATTGAATCGATTCGCTGAAATTATTCAATCAATAGCAAGCTTATTAATAAATATTTAAAAGGGGTAATTAATATTCAACTACAATTTGATATACGGTAGAATTTATATTTTCATATAATACTTAATACAATATATCAACGTAATAAAATTTTTGCATTGACTGACCTGTTCTAGTGAATGTAGACTGTGCATCCATATGTAATTCTGGAACGACATCTTCTGAACTTGGTCTGTCTTCAACATCGAAAACCTCAGATTCAATCATCTCTGCATCACGATGAGATAAATCGTGTTGTGTAGGTCTGAAACATAAGAAATATTATTGCTTCTATGTTGACCAAATGGATAAGCCACGTTTTTCCTTTATATAGTCATGCTATATTTTCATTCATGTTCATTTTAATTTTTGTTTACTGTGCATTCAATGCTAAAAACATTGTTTTTGCTTCTGTACATAGGGAGGCAAGGCTTTACTGGGAAATATGCAATATTGTTGAGATAAAAGAAATAAAAATAAAAAAGGATGTACATATTCAATAACTTTTAATTGTATTTGATATTCTATATTTTAATTGTGTCTATTGTAAAGGAGAATAATGTTATATTACGCGTTAAAATTAGTATATTTTCTAGTCTAAAATATAATCAATGGAGTACTTTTCTGTAGTTGTGTGCCTTCTTCTTTGAGGTTGTTTGTTGTTTTGCCTGAGATGAGAAGCTGCAGCATTATTTGCTGATAAATCTGTAGTTTCTGATTCATTTTCTTCACAAATTTCATTCAATACCGGTGCACTCTTCCGTTTTTTCAACTGTTTCCTGTTGCCTTTTGTTTGCAATGTAGTCCGTTGCAAGCTGCTTTAATGTATTAGAAACACAATATCACAATGGGGAACAGAACAGGATAGAATTTTTCCTATTTAAGTTGGGGGAGGGAAAAGGGTACTCCCGTAGTATGTGCAACAAGATGGCGGACACCGGAGCGTAGTATGTGTATCGGGTTGGGCCATAATTTCAGGTACAAATACTACGGGAGTCACTTGGCTAGTCCCCGAACTCAAAATGGAACTAAAATAAGGAAAATTGGAATAAAATTATGGCCTAACCCTAACCCGGTACACATACTATGTTCAGGTGTCCCCAATCTCGTTGCACATACTACAGGAGCACCGAGAAAAGAGCCTTTCGTGTGACATATCCCAAATAAATTGAAAAGAAAATACCGAATAATATATATTATTTACTAATATTGTGTATTGAACTTTTTCCTTATCTAAATCCTACTTTGAATATGTATGTAGCTGAGGATGCTTGAACAAGATGGTATAAGTTGACCCCAAAAAAACAGAACCCAGGACATTCGAAAGTTTGGAACATAACATAGCGAAAACATAACTTTTGTGCAAACTGTCCTTGATTACAGAAACTTTTGGGTACAATCATACACAAACAGAAACAGAAGTTCAACAAGTGATGAATACAACAAGGTGCTTCATTTTCTCAGAAGTAACTAAGGAATGTATGGGTTCTGCCATTTGGAGTCACCCTGTATTAGAGGAATAAATATGAATTAATACCGAAAACCTTATTATATACCACATGTTACAATAGGATTCAAAATGTTTTTCTTACTGTGCTACTAGTTGTACAGGGTTGATAATTCTTGCACAAGTTATGTCTTCATCTTCTTGCTTTCCTAATGCAAAATCGTCCTCATCATCTGTAGTATTTTGAGATCGACTTCGCTCTTCTTCCTCAATTAGCATATCCATGCCGCCTTTCGCGACACTGAAGCCATGCCGCGGTGTGATGGTGAGGTGCTCTCTTGGGAAAGGAGGACTCATCTTCTTATCTCCTTTATTGTGAAGATGTGAGTGACTTGGAAAGTAGAGGCTTGAGTTGGACGAGGCGGGAGAAGAATCTTCCGCAATGTCACTCTCGCTGTGAGTGGCAAGACAGGGCGCGTGTACTGTCGTTTGAAATTGTGGTAAAAATGCTTGGAGAGGGGGAGAGGAAGCTCGAGCATTATTATTAGATTTAGGTGTAGGTAACATTTCAGCGTTCTGAGGTAGAAATAGATTGTTATTGCTCACTGATGGTGGTATGTGTACCGGCACCTCTTTGTCGGATTTTAGATCCATGTAATTTTGTAAATCCAAGCTTCTATGAGCTAATAAATAATAGGTTGAAGTTATGTGGTTGTATTTATCTTCGTTTATCGCTTGTTCAATCTCGGCATGGTCCCCAACAAGTTTTCCTGTTGAAAACACAAAACATCGCTACACCAATAGGTCCAAGCTTGTTCTGTACTAGTTTAAAGAGGCACCAACTATTTATGAAGAAAAGGAAAAACATGCATTGTAAAATCTTTTCTTTATTTAATATCGGACAACAGATACAGATATTAAAATAGTTTATTATTCTGTCTTCCGATATAGAGCTTGTTTAAAAATTCAAATTTAGATTTCATTTCAAAAAACGGCCATTTCGAATTTTGTTAATGGTTACAGATATCGCATTGGGGTTATGTGAGACAAACTACACATCCTACGTCTATGGCTTTGTGGTGGCAGATTCTAACTTATCTATAACACACGGATGCTATAGCACAAATAAAGATGACTATCCGATAAGATTCAATAACCTTGTTACACAAAACATCACAAAAATTCATTTGTGTTTGTGTTAGTATGCGACAGAAGAGCATGCTTTGTTTGATAAGTCCTTGAATAAGACATGAATAATATTTTATAACTGCAGTCTAACATACCTTCTATCATTCTATCTATAATATGTTCATGCAGATCTTCCGAAATCAAATCTCTTGTGAGAACAGGCGTGGAATCAAAAACATCATCTTTTAATGTTGTACAATCTTTTAACCATGGATGATTTCTGATATCCTCTAATTTCATTCTCTCGCCGGGCTCCCTGGAACAATAAAAATATTAATAGAACTAACAAAAAACAAAGACTATGGCTTGACCGAATAAATTCTGATTTTTGATAGAATTTAAAAAAAATATATAGTTATATAATATATATATAAAATATAGGAAAATTGTAAAATAAATTAAAACTACTAATTTATAAATCGCAATTAAAAAATGAATAATTTTCTGAATATTCCAAATATATTCTAAGATAATATTTTTGAATATGAAATAAATAATACATTATAAATTGGGACATGTTGGTAAGATAACATGTAGAAGCAAATGTATATTCAATGAGTTTGGGTTAAGAAATGCCGAGAAGTTAAGATAAATAATAATAAATGGTTTGGTTGGTTCTTAATTCATAGACTCAACTTAACACTGTGAAACTGATTAGTCACAATTATAATTTTCAGACGAAACCATTCTAATTTTATTAGTAAAAATCGACAACTTAAATTATTCAAATATTCGATTTCTTATGTACATCCTTTATTGAACAGTGCAAAAATTCAAGAAGTTTTTAAATAATTTGAATATTCGACTCAAAATCAGTGAATTTAATAAAGTACAACAGCTGGTATTACATGTTGATATATTGATAATTATAAAAATGGCGACAACCATGTATTAGATATACAGTGGAGTGGGCATTCACAGTAGTAATTTCAAAAAGACTTGTCTGGATTGAAATTAAATAATAAGGTAACCATAATTAACGCCATTCAACGCAGTAGGTAATCAATATGGAAAACCAATCAGGCCTTCAAAGCTATATATAGAAAGAATTGACTAACCTAATTATCATGCTTTTGATAAGATCACCACAATCTTTATTAACATGATCCAATACTTTATATTTACAATCCATAATATTAGTCAATGTTTCGCTGTCATTTGCTTCATTGAATGGGGCTTCGCCACAAACAAGCATATATAAAATAACACCTAAAACATACAGAAAAATACATCAATAAAATAGAACATTATATTGCCAATTTCCTAATTTCTACAAAGAATTATAGCATATTTCCTATGATAATAAAATATGTTTTAGTATCATCTAAACGGCTTGTTATTGTAAGCATTTCCTCCATAATATGGCTTTGAATTATTAGAATTTAAACTTATTTGCACATGGCATTTCATTGTAACATACCTCATAATGTATTAGGAAATATCTATTTTGGAATTTAGGTTAGGACTTTCATATTTATCAAGGTGGAGGAAGGCAGACAAGATCGCCTAACGATAATGGAATCAATATGTCTGGCTACCTGTCCGTGTCAGGTATGGGAATAGGTAATTATTTATTCATTTCAGATGCATGGATTTAACAGTGGAGGAGGCGGTAAGAGACGAGCAGTTATGTGAACCAAAGTGCCCAAGATAGAGAAGAGAACAACAATTCTCTCACACACACATAACTATACCCATGAAATCAAACCTAAAGACCAGCACAGGGTAATCAGAGGTGTAATGTCAAACATTTTCTTAACACTTAGCATTTTGAGCTGAATGTCAAGTCCGATGATTTTATACATCACAAATTGTCAATTGATTAGTTATATATAGAGCAGGTATTTAACCAGTGATTAGTTCAAATATAAATATATTTCTGTCATAAAATAATATGGGATCAAATACTATGAAAGATATTGTTTGGACATCGTAACCATACCTAGACTCCAGACATCCACAGCAGGGGCATCATATTCTTCACCAAGAAGTATTTCTGGTGCAGAATACGCAAGAGAACCACAAGAAGTTGATAATTTTTTTCCAGGGTCGTATCGATTACTGAATCCAAAATCTGTGAGTTTAACGAGTCCTTGACTTTCGAAAAAAACTACATTTTCTGGTTTCAAATCTCTGTGAACCACATGCATCTTATGGCAATAGGATATTGCGCAAAGGATCTAAAAACAAATCAAAATAACTTCAAAATCAAAAATAGTGTTTCATTCTCTATTATAGAATTTATGGAATAAATATACCGGTATAAGATTTGTCGAAAAGAGAACCTACAGTTAGTTAATTCAATCTTAGTCTTATCAATAAGTCGACAGTTACAAGGGGCAGTGACATAAAGTGATTGAAAATTCGTTATTAATAAGTCGACAGTCACAGAGGGCAGTGACATAAAGTGATTGAAAACTTGATGCTTGATGGACATTGAACAAGAACAGATGGGTGTAAATTGAAACAAAATGTATTCCATAGCCAGTGATCAATATTTCATTCTGGATGTGACAAATTGGATAGGCTGATAGGCAAAAAACATGCCAGCCCATACACACAAATATAAAATCCATATGCATATCAGTGCTTGTTTTGGTAGTTTTTATTATAGAAGCAAGTGTGTAAAACACCTCACAAAAATATCTATTTCACAATTATGTTGTGTGCATTTATGTATATGTAAAAAAAGAAAAACTATGAACCGAATAATTTAATATATTTTGCAAAAATAAAATAAATTTACATTTAAAATTGTGGTAAATTTATCATTATTTGCCGTGTGAACATGACAACTCATAGAGCAAGAGAGTTTAAGAGGTACAACAAGAGTAATTTTTTTTTTTACAAAATTTACCTGTGCAAAATATTCTTTCGCTTGCTCTTCATCGAGTCCTTGATCATGTCTCATGATATAATCATACATATCTCCTCCATCACCAAGTTCTAATATCAGATAAAGCTTTGAAGATGTTTCGATCACTTCATATAATCGTACCTGTTGAAAAAAATCGCAAAATTTAACAAGAATTTGTAATAATATGAGAAAACATGGATACAACTTTTTAAAAACATCACCAGTCAGATGTTCAATTCTATACTGTAGTAAGTATATTTTCATATTTGAATAGTCTTCGGTGTCAGCTATTTTAATAATACCCTATTTATTAAGATATTTTGCAAGACCTACTCAAATGTTCTTTTATATATTTTACATAAGTTAATGTATATTGCTCTTAATAAATCAATATCATGAAATGAAATCAAGAATTTCAATCAAATATATTTATATAACTAATGCTTTGAATACAAAAATGCGTTTCGGCGAGAAAGTGAAATTTACATACAAAACACATTTCGCTAAATTTAGGAGATTATGAATTACAAAACATGACGTGTAGATACCAGAAAGAGACATACCGTCTGGCTTTAAATTTCATAGATCTTATATGTTATTACAAGACAGGGCTTAACATGGCACAATAATATTGCAATTGCTTTTATAACCGCTATCACAGCATAGGAGACATGACTGACTATACTATCTAAAGAAACAATGATTATTTTGGCAAGAGTTGAAGTGAGTGATCCCCGGTATTGAATGAATAGGCAATGCTATTTTAAACATGATTAGTCAGTAGATATTGGCTGTTTCATCTGAATTCTTTGTGACATCAACACCTTGAAATTTTGAAAGGTACAACAAAATTTGTAGAATATTTTTGAGTAGTATTCAAATTAGTAGGAAATTCCAACATAATATTTCAAAATAATTGTAAATTTATATTTTCTGTTTCATTATTCAACAAATGATAATTTTGATAAGAAAACTTCTGAGACTATAAATAAGGCTGGAGTTATCTGAAACAGAATTTCAAAACTCAATGAGCAAAAATCGAAATCCAGAAACTGTATTTTCTTTGTAAAATATCAGGAATAGTGTCTGCTATTTTGAAAGTAAGTTGGCATGATTATGTCAAATTTATCAACTAAAATTAGATATAAACATTGATACTACTGCAAAATGAATGCAATATCATTATTTAAAATTGAAAAATAAGGTACCAAATTCGAAGATGGTTGACTAATCAGGTAACTTTGACGTAAAAAACATGAATAAAAGCCATATTTAACAATAAATCTTACACTCTGATCAAAGCTGGAGTATGAAAGCATAAGCATTGATTATTATACTCATACTTTGCTTTTAGGTAAAAACAATCTTCATCATTAAATAACCATTATAATATCAAATTGGATGGTTATAGTTTTGTATCAAAAATGTTTATATATATACAATATTAAAAAATAAAAATTCTTCTTAAATTACAGGTAACAATCAATCATCAGATAACACAAAGCAGGTAGTTTTTCTTCAGCTCACAATTGGTAAACCATTACAATTTATTGTAAAATTACTAATCGGCATGAAGTAGGTGTGTTATGGGTGTGACACATATAATTTTCTTTCATTTAAATAGCCTAAAGGCTAAACCAGACTTATCCATTGAAGCATTCGATCAATATCTGACTTCAGTTAAGAGGCACCATGCAAAAGTTGAATACGTCATCATGAAGGTGACTACAGTGGTTTCAGACGAAGAGTACACCCAAATATAATTCCATGGTACATTTGTATAAATTATTTTGCTTTGATTAATAGGCAAATTGTTTCTAAATCGAATGAAATTCTCAACTCATAAATCATAATTACCATGAATGAGGTATAATAGTAATGCTGATAATATCTACGAGGTGAATTTTGTCACATTATATATTAGTACAAAATGTGAAGTATTTGATAATGATAAAATACACATAAGTGAACATGATATTCTTGGTGATATTGGAAAAATAGTATAAAACAATTCAAACTAAATTCCCCACTAAAATAACAGCCAAACCAGGGTATTCCATCCAAACTTGCACCAAATTATAGAAATAATTTCCCCTGGTAGTACATCATGAAAAATACAACCTAGATAAGATTTATTGTGCGTGTATATAGTGTTTTAAAATTGTGAAACTAAAATTTCATATGAATTTAAAATTTATCTATGAATGCAAAGTCAACCAAGTAAGATATTAAATATTTCTTGTTTGAATTTGTGCAGCAATCAGGATTTGGTCAATTACCAGCCAAAATGTGACAATTGGCAAAATCCAATTTAAACACAATATAGTAAGTGCCGTGATGAAAATTCGAATGTGGTGAACAATTTTTTAGAAAAAGTATATTTGATAATTAGATGCCATGTATAAAGCTTTATAAGAGGGTGCATCATAGGATAGGCTAACCTTCCATTAACTTTGGACTGAACAGATCAATTCTTAACACATTTTTCTTTCATCACCAATTAAATATAAAAATGATATACCGGTACTATGTAATATGTATAACAAGCACTGCTAAAAATTGCACACTAATAGCTTTGCAAAAAAATTTGTCAGGACGATAAAAATATGACAACAGTAAATGCAATGTTGGTGAAAAGAAATAAATACTACATAGGAGCATAGACTATGTCAACACCATAACAAAGCAAATATGATAATGAACTGCATGTAGTCCACAATATTGCCTTTTTTAATCTAACCGTGAATAAAAAAGGTATTTGAGATTAAAGGACCTGACTGTTTTGCTTAGTAATGCTTGCTTTTGTGGGTTAATCAGAACTAGTTGTAACGATAGCCGCATCAAATTAGAAAAAATATTTACCGTAACTGAAACCACAGTCTTCTTTTATGGATAATACTGTCATTGATTTTGAGACTCATAAAAGTATTCAATTTTTAGTGAGTACTGTTAATAAGTATGAAGAGGTTGCATTGATAGAAGAATATGCCAAAACATGTATAGAAGCCTCACTCAAGCATAGACTTTCCATTAGACTCTTATAAGAAAATGTACTCACAACATTAGGATGCTGAACAAGTTTCATGCATGTAACTTCATGATAAAGATGATCCTTTGATGTTTGATCCAGGGTGGTTTTATCGATGACTTTGATAGCAACATTTTCACCAGTGAACACATGCTGGGCTAGCCTGACCACTGCGAAATGTCCCCGTCCCAATGTTTTCTTTAGTTCATATAGTCCTGCAAGTTTATGATGACCACCATGATGCGACCATGATTTCTCAGCCATGTTGAGTTTTCACCAAATAAATAATTTGGGCCATTACAATTTAAATCATTTTTAGGATTTATTTACTGGCTGAAAAATAAACATTTGAACATCAAATTTAGTCAAAACAACAATGAAACACAAACAACTGACGAGGAGAAAGAATAAAAACCAGGCTAATCCTAAAAAATATTTATTATACAAAATATCAACAAATAATACCAAAATTGTGATAGTTTTTCATACAAAGCTATACAATAGACGAAATGTTTTCATGATTGTCTTGACAGAGTAAATTCAGGATATTTCTAATCCTTGCGATATTTTTTTGCAGATTGCACTAAGCTCGATATCGATAGCCAACATATATTATCTTACACATGGCAATAAGCTCTATATAGCTTACATATTTGCAGAAGGCACCAAGATGTGTATTGCAACTATAGGACTTTACAAAAAAAGATTTTGACAGGTCAAGACAATAGACATTTAGACAATTCAGCCAGAAACAATTTACCAAATCCAATATTTCAGTTTAGCATTAAAAAATTGGGAACCAATAATTCCAGATATAGTAGCTTCATCATGACTAATAACATGAACATACTATACTGAAATTTATTCAGAAAAATCACAATTGAAAGTAATGCTAAAATGACCTGTACTATATATTAATGAGTTAATCCTGAAATTGAATAAACATGAACTGTGTGTAATAAACATGTATAACCCTTAACCTTTCTATAACCGGTACAAAGTGTTAATGAAGCTAATAATCTATTACTATAATTCTACACCTACTCGAAAACATCAATAATCTAAACATTCAAAGGCTAAATGGTTCTCAACCTTTTTTCTTTACAGGGCCATTTTCATTGCACAAAATTTCTGCGGCCCAGTAGCTTTATCATGCAAGGGAAAAATTACAAGAAAAACAGTCGAGAACCAGTGATCTGGAAGATTTTTTGAAAAACAACATGTGTTAAATTTAAATAAAATACAATTTTATGACAAATTAAATGAAAAATCTTATAATAATAACATTCAAAATCATGCTTAAACCCTGTGTAAAATAACATTAACATTCTTTATTAATTCGAAGGGTATGTCCACACAGACTTTTTTTTCCTGTAATATGATAATGGCAAGGCTTGAAAATTTTTCTCTTTTAGAAAATCATCAACTGCTTTAACTGATTCATTGATAACACGCTTCGTTTTATAGTCAAAAGGATCAGTATCTGTTTTATACTTTTCTGATCTTTTAAAATTCCCTTGTATTTCTATAGCTGTACATATCAATCTTTTTTCAAGTCTATCTGAATTGCCAGTCAAGTTCTGAGGCAAAAACTCAGCTATTCGTCTAACTTGCCTCATTGTATCATTAATAAGGTCTTCAAAATAAATAAGAAGTACAGGTTTTTCCTTTGCCTTCTCTAAAAGAACCATAGGCAAGATTTGCCAATGAAGTATTTCTTCCATGACAAACGTATGAAAGTTATCTTCTGTGTAATATACAGAATGCAGACTAGCTTTTCGACTTCCCATTACTACACTCGCATAAGCTGACTTCAATGCATGATAAGGATCTCGGATGATTAATATTATTCTCTCATAAGTTATATCAACTCGATAAATAAAGTTCCTGAACATGGCATAATTCACAGCTGTACGACCAGCAGAAACAGGCATTTTTTCACCAATCATACCATCTTCGTATGCCCCATGTTCCTCACCATGATTGCCTGTATAATACCCTGTAACTACTTCAATAAGGTGACGTAGCCATGTTGTTCCAGAGCCAGCGAAACCAGTAACAGATATCATTTTATCAGCTGGATAGTTATAGAGAAATTTACGATGTGTACATTGGTTATCCCAAGATGATGTTTTATATAAAGGAACGAGTTGACCACTTATCAAATTCTTATCATTGCATAGAATTTTACTCGCAATGACATCTTCAGCGTGCTCAAACGTAGTGAAAATATAAGAGCATATACATGCACTATATCGTAAAACAGGGATTGCAATTGTGTACTTGAACATTTCACACTGTAATACACATTGTTGTCCTGTCATACCAGTCATATACCACACTGAACTATGATTATGAAGATTATATGGCATTTCTAAGCACCCAATGCGGGAACTTTCCAAAATATTGCTTTTGAAACCATCACCACAAGACTCTGTATATATGTCCAGCTTGTAAATGTGAATGCTACCATCTGACTTACAATTATTAGCAAGTTCTATTGAGCAATCGGTATTACATGTTGAATTAGATACAAATTTATCCAATGTTCTTCCACAGTAACATTGGTTATTTATTAATCCAGAATATTTTGTATATTCCATATAGCATTTGTGAAGACATCTTTCATGAGTTATTGGATATTTCAAGTTAGTTTTTGGATAAGTTGGAATCAACATAAAGCATCCTATATCCTGAACATTACATCTGTTTTTTACATTCAATGGCATCATCGTCTCAGCAATATTCAACCATGTTGGACTATCTTCGGCCCTCACAATCAGGAGTTGAATGGAAAAAACAAGCCAGATTTCAGGTTTCATTTTTCAAATTTTATGAGGCAAGTTTAAATTAAACTATTGTCAAGGAAATAAGTTGATAGAAAATGGGTAAGCAAAATCAAATAAAAACAACAAAAAAGATAGACACAAGATATAGCTAGTCTGGGTAAGAAACAACCAAGAGAAAGTCATGTTTTCTAGCGCATTATAAATTAAATTATTGCTATTAAAATCCTGAAATTTTGTTAAATTACTTCATTTGTCTGTTTGTAGTATTTTGGAACTTCTGATTATCTAACCCCAAACTTAGGATAGGCATGCTAGGCCTATACTGCTATAGGAATAAAAATATCATAGAATTAAGATTGTTTAGTTGTTGCATCTTCCTATAGTGGTGGTAGCACAACGTTATCACTAGAAAATATCAACTAATTATCTTGAACTAATAGCAGAATCTCTAGTTTCAGAGTTTGCAGTTTCATGTCTAACTTAAATCAGTAAATGGAAGAGATTGAGATTAGGGTTCGTGGGCGGCTAACCAGAATTAAATTTGAACCAATACCTTGTTTAAATTAACGTATTCCTCCGTTGTGAGAATCTTGTTTCCGTATTATGGAATCTAAACACTTCAGCACACAGCACTTACTTCCTTAACATTGCCTTCGTTAATTCAGTAATTTCTGGGAGCCTTTCGCCCTTACCTGTCCACAGCCGGGGACGATATTCTCTTCACTTGCTCAATAGCGCCACCCTGGAACTGCGTGCTAACCGGTGCTAATAGCCCACTTTCTGGTGCTGTGAACTGATTTTTTTTGTGCCGAATTGAATTCCAGAGCCAATATGGAATTATTTAATTATATATATATAATTCTTATTAGCTCGTCTCCTCCAAGATAAATATGTAAATCTAATTTCATGCTTCTCTATTTTCTCGAACTATTCTGCGATTTCAACGATTCATTCCCTAAAATTGTATATGTCCCTGATTCCAATAGGTTCGGCAGTTTTTTTTGTTAATTTAATGCAACCATTAAAAAAAGATTAAGTTCTGTCCCAGAACACAATTAGTCATTACTTTTACTACGATATAACAACTCTCGCCATCTTGTCCCTAAAAATGTTGCGTATTTCAGTTCTCAATGTTCGTGCAGTTAATGAGTTCATACGATTTTTTCAGGCCTCTTTCACATCACAGGTATGGGGCGTACATGACTGTATGCCTAATCCATAAACTAAAATAAATCTAATCTTCAAATGGTATTCTACAAATCACAACATGGAAAATGACTTGCGATGGACAACATAACTTGGAATATCGAAATCGAACTGGAATATCAAAATTGGACTAACGATGTAAAAATGGGTATTGGATAATATGTTTGTGTTTGTATTTATTTATTTTTTTATCATTGTGGATGTATAATTTTTTTGCCTTCATGATTTTTCTATGCAAATGTTTATTTCTGGGAATGGGATCAAATCAAATTTGGATGGGAACTAATCAACTATTAATTCGATCAATTGGCAAAAAAAAAAAAAAGTATGGGGCGCTTTTTTTGTCGTGTTCCCAGTTCGTCAATCCTTTTTATACGCGGTGTCGATACTTCACACTTGGTATTGGTTTTCTGAGATGATATACAAATTTCATGTATATATATTGCTACGCCCGTGTTCAATTTAACTGGTGATTGCAATGGCAATATATGCTTTCTCCTTCATTATATTTATAAACTGTTATGTAATGGGATCATATTGACTTACTAAAAATGGTGGTTTCTAAAAATAACAACTACCTCATAGTGAATGAAACAAGTATAAAATCATTTTCTATTTATAAACAAACATAATAAAGCATGAAAAAAAAAATAAAATAAAAACACAATTCAGGATAACCGAAATGACGCTACGGTCTATATGTCTGCAGTACAATAGCCATTAAGTGCTGAAATGCTGAAAACAAATGGCAATGATTATAGCTAATTGATTGTAAATAGTTTAAATGTCAGAACAGTGATTTAATACAGTACATGCATCATTCTTTGAATCAGCGACTCTCCCAATACTGTAATATTATTTTTATGCAGTACTGTTCTCATCGCATAGTGTGAACTTTAAAAAAGCAGTTACAAAAGCAAAATTATACAAATAACTTATCAAGATTGAAAGAAACGCACTGAGCTTAAATCAATGTTAATTTATTATTATGCTCGTAGACAATTATCGTACCTGTGTGGTATACTATAAGCATGATTAGTAGGATACAGATATGTAAAACCAAACGAAGCAAGAGTAGTAGTGACAATGTAATCATAAAACACTTTGATATAGTGAGAAGGAAGGAGATGTTCCCAAATAATAATGCCACATTCTCTTAATACTCATCTGTATATTTATCTTAATAAGCAGCATTTTCTCAAGCTCGAAGAATGAAAGACTACATGTGGAATGTGTAGTTGTCGTTCATTCACGGTATACAGTAAGTTTGCTGAAGATTCGTCCTCTCCCTTGTCAGTATTGGCTTGAATTTGTTCGAGTTTTGAGTCAGTCGATATCTGGTTAGATCTCTTGTACGAGATTAAGCTCTTAGTGGTTGCTCAAAACTACAGTATCAGTACCCCGTGATCAAACTTGCATAGCAAAGACATTCAGCAATCACCGTGAAACGTTAAGCAAAGCATGATTATTACTCTGAAATAATTACCGCGATTATGTGTTGGAACGATTTATTTTCAAAACAACAACTAAATATGAATCAATTCAGTATGTAATCAATTAAAGAAATACATTGCTTGACATATATATGGTGTGATGAGCAGGCCCATGACAAAAAAATTAATGAGGGCCAAAAAAGCTTCTGGAAATGTTAAAGTGCAAAAAAAGGTTGAATGCTTAATATATCTAATAACAGTCTGTCAATGTTCTTTACTGAAAATCACCAGCTCGAGGTAGCTCAGAATTTTGCTCGTTCGCCACCGAATCCTCTAGCTTCGAACTTTGCTCCTTCCTCATTCTCACTAAGATCACAGTGATTGCTATGAAAACGACACCGACAAACTGAAAAAAATGGTTGAAAATACTCATAAATACCGTCTTATTTTCACTATTTTTATTTCTAATATCGTCCAGGGTCGGGAAATGCATATTTTGTGTTTGCGAAAACTCGATGTTCTCAAAATATACATCCATTTCAATTTAGCAGACATTTTGTTTCATTGGTAACTGATAACATTGTTTGTTCTAGATTCGAATTCGGTGTGTTCACGACTTGCCTGTCAGTGATCACTGCCACCGATCTGTAACTGGCAAGGCTGTTACAACAAAGGAACTACAAAAACTTTCATTAATTTTACTTTCTCTGCTGCCATGAGCATTGTTACGTTCCGTGACATGTGACTTCTCAAATATGCTCTGCAAGTTCCCGTTTCACCGCATTCTGTACTCGATACTAAACATGCACTATCGAGAGCTTGGGCAAACAGCAAACGACCAAGTAGTCTTCCGAAGATAATATGTGTAACTTTCTGAGAAGTAAAAATAAAAAATTCTGTTATTAATGACGCGGAGACTTATGTTGGACCTTCTATCGGGTTCAAGATCATCTTTGATTATTAGTTTTTAAATACCACTCTATCAGGATGTCATAGATAAATAGAATGATTAATATTGAAATTAAAAGTGTATTTGTTTTAGCAGTTTCTTGGGGATAGTCAACCACTCTTCTCGTGCATGAATGAATAAGCAATTGGGATTTCTAAAGCAACGAGAATAAAACGAATCCTTCATTTTTATTCATTCATTATTTGATTAAATCTGTACAGAATGCAGTGCAAGAACATTGTGTTGGAGTATTTTTATGGCGCAATTTATTAAGCAATTTATGACGATCTTCGTAATCGCGTTGCGTTCTGGTTAAAAATTATCGAATGTCACTATTCTCAGTGGTTCTGTGTTTTCCTGTCATTTATGAGATTCTATTGTGCCCATGGCAACTTGAGTTTGGTTTCTCATAATAGGGTATTTTTTCATACGTAAATTTTCATACGTAAATTTAAGCATGAAGTGCAAACCTACCTGAATACTGAACGCCAATGTTCTCTCGTCAAATCTAACAGAACGTATTGTAGCTTGTTCTCCTGGTATTACAGTGAGATATCCAGCAAGAAAACTTACACCCACAATGATTAATATTGCGTTTAAGTTTGTGCATGAATTATGAGGACATTTATCTGCAGAAACATCAGCTAGGTTGAAGTCATTTAGACACCGACAGTTGACAAAGTGCTGTAAAAAAACACAATCTTTTACTTGTATGTTTCAATTTCAGCTGCATATGGGAATGCAGAATAAACGTCTACAGACAGACCTCGTAGCAACCACTGTGAAAAATGAACTCAAAACAATAATATGCTTGAAGTTGTATAAAAGGAAAGTAAAAACTATACTATTAGTAAAAATTCAAACTCGGATGAAGTCAATAGCATCAGTCTTATTTAACCTTCCCCAAAAAGATTAAGCAACGGAATTTATAAATTAATATATTTATATATATGTATATATACCGTCAATATCGGCTCATACCAGAACCGTGTTGCAAAGCCTGACGAAATGCATGCAACCTAATATAATTTGAAGTTCAAAGTTTTTTAGGTTTTGGTATTTGTATTGGCATTATATTCATGTACTTCTACAGATTACTCCTTAGAGACCTTACCGTTTCATTCGTTTGTGCCATACACCCTGCATGACAAGGTGAAAAGTATGTTACTCCGTTATCGTCACAGACGGGGTTGAATCGATCAGTGTTACATTGACAACCAGAATTGCATGATGTTAATATCGACATTTCCACAGTACTAGAATTCTGCTTATGAGGTATAACAGTGGCTCCAACAAATTCTGATTTGAAATTTAAAAAGGATATTTTATTACAAAAGTCCATGCACCCGTAGTTGTCAGAAGATTCTCATATTGAACAGTTAAAACACTAACAGTGTAACAGTCAAAGCGCAATTTTTCTCTAATTTAAAGTATGATATCTCAATGAATGTAAAGCCAAGTCAACAAGCAAATCTGACATCTTTTGTTAATAGGACAAAAGTGACTTTTGCGAAGGTATATATATCGCTCATAAAATCAGAGAAATTTTAATAATCGGGATTCATCGGTTACGGCGGAAAAAACTACCTTTTTCTGTACATTGCATGTACAATCCAAAAACGAAAGCAAATGATACGATACTGCATGCCAATATGAATTGAAGTATCCCACGTAATTTGAGTTGAAACTTGGTCACTACTAGTCCACCAATAACATAACCTATGACAGTAGTTGCTATTGCCAAAGCACCTGTAAATACACAAAATATATAAAACTTGAATATTTTCTCTACAATTCAATTTAGTAATATAAAAGATAATTGAACAAATATAATAATGACACGTTTGATCTGAAATATACCAAGACGTCAAAAGATTTATCCCTTTTACCTTAGCGATTTTAAAAATATTCGTTTAGAAGACGCGATCGAATCGTACAAAACTTTAGGACTTGACAAGTAGCCTAGCTACAGTTCCGCCTATGTATCGAGATAAGTTGCATTCAATTTCTGATTTGCAAAGTTGATACCCACGAAACAAAGCCCATGTTATTTCATTTTCAGTTCCTTTTTGTTTTGTTTTTCACAGAGATTTGATTACCAATGTCTTTCGACTGCTGGTAACTTTAATGTAAAAGAGGCATTGATCGACGTACTAATTGCATCGTGTATTGTATAAAAAAAAATTAATGAAAGTCAACACCAAATGTACTACTTTATTTTGTCAAAATTTTGCATCCAATGTCAGGATGATTTCAGAATAATGAAAGGCAAAAACATAAAAAATGAGTTTATAAAAAAAAAATTGGAACCTACCAAGATAGTAAGCAGATGTTGTTTCCGGTAATCCAAGAAGTTCTACGCCAAGTTTAATCGAATATGTCATAAATCCAAATATAAGTGCTTGGTGTACCATGGTCGCTATTGTTATGCAAATGAACATTTTGTTTGTTGCTAAAGCTAACAATCTAAGAAAAGAAAAGATACTTTCCTATAAAATTGAGTTTTTTATGTGGTATGTTAAATTCCTATGCAAAATAATTAGTTTCAAATTGGATGCATTGATATGATCATGAAAACTTGGCTGCTCGGTCCAGACATTGCCACGCATCAACTTTTAATATATGCCAGTTGATGTTTAGTTAGACCAAGTCTTTTGATTAATTATTCTAAAACGCGAAAAAAGGTGATTATCACTGAAATCTAGTTCGACTGCGACTCGAAGGTCTGGTTCAAAATTTCTTTCTTCAATTAACTTTGCATAATCCAATTATTTTATAAAAATACAAAACACGTTCTACCATGCCATTGTAAAAAAAACATTGAAAAAAATCGGGAAATTCAGTATCTTGCCTTCTTCCCAATCGTATATTAACTTTCTTTTTTGTGCTTTTATCCTGGCGTTGTTCTCTGTTTTTCCTAACATCATCCGTGTTCGGCAAATACTTTGGGAGCAACATTACAGGAAGAGAGAAAATCAATAATCCTATGCCTGCTGCAATGTATCCGATCCACCATGCCCCAACCCAAAGAGAACTTGACGTGTCGATGGGAATGCTGAAATATGACATGTTTCATGTTTAATTATAATAAAAAAAAAAACAGACAAGAAAGTGTACTTGAATATAGCACTTATTTTATCGTTGCAAAAGTTTGCGAGCGAGTCAAATATGTGAATTGACTATGGTACAATCGTATTCAGCTCATTTAACAAATTTCAATAGTAAGCAAAAATTTCAAGTATGCCATGCAGAAAATATAATACGTCCATAATTCTGGAATAATAAACTGGTAAATTAACTGTTTCCATACCCCAATTGGACCGGCTATTTCACAAGAAACCATACGGCATATTTCACAAGAAAAAATACGATACCGTATGTCATTGAACTAGACTGTATTATTGCAAAACATTTGATATATACAGTGTTTATGGGGCCGTGTCAAACAAATACATAATGTTCGTATAGCCCAGTAGTTCTCAAACTTTTTAAAAAAATTATGCATAATGGTCGCCTTGCAATTTTTCTGGTGACTCGCGGTCCACTAAAAAAATGAAAGCAAATAGCAACGCGGTATATCAAGCATTCGTCTATTGAATGGCATTAAAATAGTTTAATGAGATGGGTGCGCCTTCTTGGCTCTCACTGGTTCTTCTACCTTGGGTTCTGTTTTGGATAATGCAACTCTCATATCGTGTATCACGTCCATTCTGTTTCAACATTTTGTTATAATAGCGTGTAACGTAGGAAAAGCTACTGCACACTCGTAAATTGTTGCAAATGGTATGAGGATTTTTAGTGCCATCGTGATAGTACGGTGCCACTGTGGTCTTTTTTTTCCTCCAGAACTTATCACAGCAAAACCGAATCGTCATATTTAAATTTATTTTTTTTTGTCGGGGGGATGGCTTCGGGCATTTTTAAATTACCCCGAGAAAATTTACAATCAGATGCACACGCCTTCCATATATGCTCCGATTTACGGTACTTGCCACGTTCAAGAACGTTGGTTACGTAATAATGTCTTCGGTAGAGCCAGTCGTGCTTTGGATAAACACTGTAAAGCATGACATCAAAATTTTACTTCAAATCAAAGTGCGAGGTGAAAGTTGTCTCGCGGTCCCCCTAAAATCGCTTCGCGGACCCCTAAGCGACCGCGGACCCCAGTTTGAGAACCAATGGTATAGACTAACCAAATTGAGGTTTATATATAAAACCATATTTTATACTCTGAGGCATAATATTCTGAAGCAAGCATTCGTGCACAGAATTCATTACGTGATATTTTGCAACGATATTTACCTCTTATTTGGAATTGTGAATAATTCTAACGTGAGTCCTCCAAGAAGATAACCAAATGCAGGACCGAAAGCTCCGAGGGCAGCATAAATACCTGAAGTCAATAAAGTATAACTTTATGAGGGTATGGTGCAACATAGTAGGTGAGTTCATATCGATTTCATAGCCAAAAATAGCAAACACAAATTGTAATTATTCTCAATAAAAATACGTACATAATTACAGCACGGAATTTATGAAGTAATAGACACGTGTTTGATTCCCCACATCCAAATCATTTTCGTGATAAATAATACTAATAAACGTACCATTGTATAGTGCAGAATAAACTTGTTTTACATTTTCATCTAAAAATGTTGTTCCCAACACCCCAACGTTCTCGGATCCAATTCCACAGAAAAACATTCCTAACATGAAAATATATCTAAAATGAGAAATGTATTATGTACATAAATTGATCAAATAATCGCCAAAAGGGAGTTCAAAATAGGGTCAGGCTATAAATAAAAAAAAGAAAGAAACAAGAATAAAGAAGTAGAGAGGGTATAAATGAGGATTATATTGATTTAATAAATTAATTGTTCAAACATCGAATTAAAAAATTCTTCTGGTGTACACTCGAAAATATATTGTTGTAAGCGGTCCGAATTCTGAATATTGTTTCAACGCATGTTCAAATAAACTTGAGATTAGACGATGACGTTGTTAGTGACTTCGTATCATTTTTACTTCGATACAACGCGTAATTTCTATAACATCCCTTTGAGTTATTGGCACTGTACAATCATAACACTAGAATTCTACAGTCCTTGGATTTCACTTCATTATTATTATAATATCTTGGGCTGAAATAGCATATTTTTCTCACTCGTTGATAATTTTATATATTCATTTCCCTTACTTGCTATCAAAGGTTAATTTATGTGGTATCTGCCAGACCATGTTGAAAAATTGACAGTAAATTACGGATAGGTATATGGAAACGATAGTTATTGACGACAATTGTAACGATTTTTTTCTCGTACTAAATTTAGCAACAGAAATAGCCCTTCTAAGCAGAATACGCATAGCAAAGTAGCAAATTTCCTGTGGATATAAAACTCGTAGCAGAAATTTATCCAACGCACGAAATAAACTAAGAAAAATTATTTTATTGATATGCTTTTAAAATTTTCTAATGCTCGATAAAAATGACTTGATTCGTTACACCCTTTTCAACTATTCTGACCACCAAAAAAATGTGGATTTTTTCAGTTACCTGTAATTCCTAATTGGTGAGGTACTACATTCCACTTCAGTTACGTTGCCGCAATAATTTTTAACTTCCTCTCCAACTGTATACTCTGGTATAATGAAATGTGGCAACAGAAAAATAAAACAGCCAATTCCAGAGACAAAAACCCCTCTTCCCATCCATTGTGCTTTGTGGAGGTTTTCACCGAAAAATCCAGCAGCAATAAGACCAACACATGCGCCCACGTCGATCATCACACCTATGATGCCAGATTCAGTTGTTCTAAGCTGAAATCTGTAAAATGAAACGAAATCTGTCAGTATGAGATTCCGCATGAGAATTTGACCATTGACCATACATACTTCTTGAACTACAGGAAATTTGAAATTAATTTGTCTATGAGATGAAGCGAAAAGGTCATTTTTTTAATCACTTAAACAACAATCAGTACAACTACAATTTAGCAAAGGTGCATAGGTCATTTCGTGTCCAAGAAGGCAATGCTTTATATTGACGAATTCAACGATATGAATTCAAACTCGTTGTTCAAATAAGACTTGAATAAAATATGTGTATATGTGTAAAATATAGATTGTGTGCTAAGCTATTTATTAAAGTAAAGAACCTTTTTTCCACCGTGGTTAATGTGACATGAAAGACTCCATTAACGACTCCATCAGAGAAGATATATGCGACTGCCATGAATGCCAACGCCCATCTTGGGGTCGCAAATTTCTGGAGAAAAGAAATCCTGCACCTGTTAGAGAAAATATACACATTAATAAAAAAAGAGCAATGCTCAAATATGGACACAGCTGTCAAATGACTAACCGCGGTACCACTGTAGCCAATGCGACCGACACATAAATCGGTTATCCTATCATTCAAAGGCTACAAATTGAAATTACTAACCAAGATCAACCACAGTAGCGATTTAAATCGGTACTGGTAAAGCTTAAGCTGAGCACTTGGTTTTCCGAATAAATTGCGAGCAAGCTCGAATGAATGCCAAGTGCCCGTACAATATGCGCAAAAAAAAAAATTGGGTGAAATATCGACCTCCATAGGACCCCCAGAAAATTTGAAGAAAAATAAAAGTGATAGCTTTTTCTGGTAAGTTTTCCTATCTCTAAGTTATGAAAATTTGAATCAAATTAGCTTAGTAGTTATCGAAAAATTCGATGTTTTTACAACAGAAACAAACCAAACAACCTTATAAAACAAGAACAGCAAAAAGAACAACATCAATAAATTTGCAAAACAATCCATGGCGCTTCAAAGTACGTGTAGCAATATGGAGGTAGTTAAAAGTGTTTGCCTATTTTACATTAAGCTGTGTAAAGAGACTGAAACCTATGTGCAGGGGCGATATTCACTTGGCTAACACAGAAAGTCCCCGAACTCGTAATAGAACTAAATGTAACGAAATCAAATTATGGCCTAACCCTAACTTGGTACACATACTACGGGAATACCCAATCTATAGGCCCACTTCATGTCACCTACGAAAGCCATGTCAAATCAAGTGATCACCAAGATCAGGGAAATTTTAATAAACCACATAGTAAGGTCATTTATAAATCTTTCATACTTGACTCTTAATAATCCAAAAGTGGAGTGTTTTTCTATTTTCAATGAAATTACGTATTTTTAAATGAGAATATTTTGACTGTAGTCGAAATAGTATAAAAATATCAATAAACTATATTTTCATGTATTTTAGTGTTGCTGTTGTTATTTTTTTAGACAAATCGATTTGAATTTTACATCGATACAAAAATGAATTATTATGATTGTATGACAAAAGCGCATTATGACAGTTATTTGCTGATAAGCAGATTATGTGCAGTGATAATGTTATTAGCTGAAGCAGCGCGACATCTCCGATTTTCGATTACATTACTAAAATATAGAAAGATTGAATTGGGCGTACACGTACAAAGCGACGTAGGTTGTTAAATTGTTATAAATTCAAAAAATTCAACTAGATTTATCAGTTAACATATTTGAAATTCTCAATGTTTAAAGAATAAAACAGATTCAATCGTTAATATATCTTGACTATTTTAGCTTGTAATTAAAAAATGTTAATATTATGTGTTAGAGTCATTTACATATGACGGCAATTTGACTAAAGGTGAACGTAATGATGTGACGTATTTTCAACAAATAAACAAATATAATACTGGACAATAAAGTCGTGATCGGCGAAGTCATAAAAGTGTTATTACCTTAATCTATACGGTACATCAATGTTCAAAATAGAAAGTCAAAAGGTCAGTATAAGTTTTGTAGTTCATGCATTTTTTATGAATCAAAAGTTATTGCTTTAATTTGATGGAAATACTACTCAGTATTTAAAAATTCAAACACGGCCAAGCAATTGTCAGATTTACTTCATCCTTTTATTGAATTTTCACATCGAAATTAGAACATTAAATTATGTCATGTCTCAATAATGCCTTTGCAGGGTTTATAAAACAAAATTGGGGTATATATATCGCTTTTAATGGAGCCACGTTTGTTTGGTATCATGGAACAATGACGAATATAATTAATAACAATTATCATGTCTTGAGCAAAATAATTATGCAACCAACGATGGAGTTCAAGTTGATAATAAATAAAGCACAACCGGTGTTAGCAAAACGATGTAATTTGCTGACGTTTTGTAATTTGCCGACGTGGAATTCAAGTTGCTTCTGATTCTTTATTACGGGGTTTCGGAACTTAATATGATTACCTCATCAAATTTACTAAAATTATTCTAAACTCACATACCTTTTCCCACTTGACGTGAGTTGAATTCCACAAGAAATATCATCTATGGAATAAGAGTCGGTGTGAGAATCCACTGGTTTTTCATCCATTACTCTGAATTCTTCAGTTGCCATTTCATTTACTTTGACCTCCACCGCCATGATAATACTACAACTAAAACTATGCTGGTCAAGTTTATTTCTGTGCAATATACCGCCTTTGATCTAAATTTTTCTGCTCTGTAAATAAGAAAAAGTTAAAACTAATACCCTGAACTCTATTTATTAATTTCTTTCACGCCTTTACTACAAACAAGGTTTTTTGTCAGCCAGGTATGCCTGAGAATCTACAATTCTTGGAAATACGTGAATATTACACGGGCGACATTGCATGTTGGGTGAGGTGATTGGGGGTGAGTTCGGGATCTAAAATCCGACGTCAAAAATTTGGCGCTCCGGAAGTGTGTGTACCAATATGAAGGTAAATAATTTTGTTCACCTACTTCACATCAAGTTGTGTAAAGGAACTGATTACTATGGGTAGAGGGTATATTCGCTAGAGATGTACCGATGTATCGGTATCGGGTATCGGTATCGGCAATATCGGTCATTTTTTCGGTATCGGCCATGTATCGGTATCGGTTAAATCAAGGCCGATATTTCCGATATATTTATCTTTTTGATATGGTCCAGAATATTTTAAAAGATAAGTTGGAATACTACTTTTTAATTTATTTTTTGTCTGGAGAGATCGTGAGCTATGAGCCATACATGTCCCCACCCCCGCGAGAGAATAGGATTCACGTGTTTTTAGCTATTCATCAGCCAAACTAGCTCAACTAATTTGGCTATTTTCGCTGTCAAATTTTAATATTGACATTTTTAATATTACATAGTAATTATGAAGAAATATATCAACACAGCGAATAACAAAAAGCAACTAGGCGCCCAGTTTCAAATCATACAGTGGAATTGGGGTCCTTATCAACGGCACATGGACTTTTGGCACGGGTATAAGTTCTGACTGTTTGTCGTCAAGTACGAGTGTCATTTAGTCCGTCGACATCGATAAACTAAATTCCGAAATTCAAAATATATGATAGCAATTGTAAAATATTTTATATTATAAAATAGTAAAGTAAAAAAACATCCTCGACGGTTATAGGTAGGCCTTCTTTTTGTCGGTGCTGATTGATATTCTTTCATTTTGGCTTTGACTTATTGCGTCGACGATTACGATTAGCCACGAAATAAAATATTTGTAAAATGCTTTTAATCTGAACGTAGGACGGCGGCGCTAGAATGTGTGGGTGATATTCGATATTCTTTTAAACACGAATAACGATATTCGAAGGTCGCGATATTCATATTAAGTTTAAATGGGACATCCGGGCAATACAGAGTTTTCTAATTGAACACCGAGATTACTAGCGTTACTGTATAATGTATCTTAATCAGTTGAAGCAAACACCAAACATTAATTTCATATTATGTGATATATCTTTTTTTTCGATCTGAAATAATGTGTACTATGAACAACGCTCAAAGACCATTGTTTTAACCCGTCTGCCCTACACAGCACACCTAATTAATGAAATAATTACATAGTATCGGTATCGGAATATCGGTAATATCGGCCTTTTTGTAGTATCGGCGTATCGGTATCGGTATCGGCGTTTTTGGCTGGTATCGGATCGGTATCGGTATCGGCGACAAAAGTGGTATCGGTACATCTCTAATATTCGCTTGTCTAACACAGACGGTCCCCGAACTCGTAATAGAACTAAATTAAGGAAAATCGGAGTAAAATTATGACCTAACCCTCTTTGGTACACACACTACGGGAGTACCAAAAATTTGATCCAACTTCAGGTACCATGCCATCGTGCTCACTTTAGCGATACAGATATTTAGCTTTCCTTCCGTACACTTTCACATTTCATTTTTCGCCTAATATTGGCTAAAAATGTTCACATATTAAAACTTTTTATTATTTCAAACATAAACTTTGAATTTAGCACTTTCTGTTTTTGCACCATATTCGGACACCATCAGTCAGGCTGCTTCCCCAGACTGCATAAAGCTCTGCCTCTGAAAATTCGTAACTTTCAAAACCCACAATCGAGTTTTTTCATATACCACTCATTTTAATTGCGGCTTTCAGTTGTCTAATTATTGGTCATTTATTCTCTAAAACATGCATAATTGTTGAAAAAAATTGTAAGCCACGCCGTGGAATGAATCAGTTCAACTATTTTCTATAGGTTCCAGACATCAATATGAAGCCAACGCATTGAAAAAAAAAATGCCGCATATTTTTGTTAGTTATGCAAATTATCAAAAACATTGATGACGTCGACTAATAGTCGCGATTGATTAATTAAATAGAACGTTAAATACTAACACTATTCTTCCCCATAACCTTTTAATATAAATATTATTTATAAGTCACGTATAGACATTACCAGAAGTCTTCTATTTTTACATGTAGGGCGGATTACGTAGGCACTTTCGTAAAAGCCACAATATGTCAAATGTGTTTGACGGTTTTTATTTTTTACAAGAGCTTCAGATCCAACCTTAATCTTCAGATCCATTTTTAAACTCCTGTTATATTGTACACAGTTAGTTCAAAATTGCAATTTGCAATATATAGTGTTGTTGAATAATGAAATCGGGACAAGAAAATAACAATAATACAACATCTCTACTCTTTTTCCAATATATATATTTAAACTAAAAGTAAGATAATGTGTAATTCAAATCGGTTATTAAACCGTTTCCATGGGAATAAGATGTGGTAATTAATTTATACCTGAAGATAAAACAAATCGAAATTATTAGTAGTGAACCCTAATTTACAAATTCTTTTTATACCTTCTATTCTGCCGTTTCGTGATGGAAATCGTTTTCAAAATAAGATCGAAATTACCCACGTTTGCACGAATAGGCTGAATCATGCAAGGTAATCGTCATTGTATGTAATGAATGACCTTTGTTCTGATTACCTAGAAATCTAGATTAGCTCATTGAGTCGCGTCGTAGTTAAAATAAAAAAAACTAATACAGTGGAACAACAACAACCTTACACTTCACTGCTTCTTCTTAGCTGCTTATAAGCATTTGACCTTTGTGTCCACATATTTGTCGACCGAGCTCATGTTCAGATTTATTTTCTAATGTCTGATTGAAGTTTATCTTGGTTATAACACAAATAGCGTCACGTTTAGCGATGTCGAATCTCTCTATGAAAACAATCTCGCCAATCTTCATGACGTCACACACTAAATCTTCTACAACGTTATGTCAATGCAGATGACGTAGAATTGATCAGTTTACACTTATACATTATCCAGCTTGAATGACGTAGATTATTTGTATGCACCAAAACCGTGATTATGTCTATATCAATGCCCTTTAGGTCCACATCACACATAAATACAGAACCATAAAAGTTCGTTGAAATAGGTTTACGAACTCACATTACACGGTAATGGTCAGGTAAGTAATCTACATGCAATTGTGGTCTACAGAAACTTACATATGTAATCGGTATTCGTTGGTTTATATACTAAATTAACCGCCGAGTATCAGAAGTAAAATGGAAAGTGTATAACTTATATCAGGAAGATTTGTATATAAAAACAATAATATTCAAAATTTGTTAGTCGATCTTTGCATCTAAAGGCAGGCAGGCGGGCATGATTGAATTACCTAACGTAGTTTGCCCCTGTTAGAAATAGCCTGTTATTTACAACACGAGATTGGTGAGAATGCTTATTAGCGGTTGTATACATTGAGCTGAGCCGTTGAACAAAGCTTAATATTCATTTTGTAACAGATTATGATTAATCTTAATTTTATTATTGATCAATTCACAAATACAGTTTTTTGTCTTTATATTTCACAAATGGCTCCATTATACAAGGTGGATGGTGGATAATTCCAAATTCCTTGGTTGAATCCTCTTGTCTTATGGGCACGCAAAACGACGTTTGTGTATGATGCATCTGAGTATGGATAACCAGGCCACCATAGCTCTTGTAGTTTTTCCGGATGTTAGAAGAAGTTGATCATTCTATAAAACAAAAATAATCGATTTACATCTTGTAGTTATATGAAGTAAATTGGCAAAGCCAAAATTCGAACTTCTTATTTAATTTAAATTGAATTACTTTCTCATACAACTTTAACAGTTAATTAACAGTTCTACTTTGATGAGAATAACCCAATGGATAAAAGCGCTCCCAGACTATGATGAAATATCGCCATCAAGACAGCAGAAGTGAATCTACAAACAAATAAACGTAATCATAGCAGAGCATTTGCAGCATACTGCATTGCAGTCAGACTTTTATAGGTAGGAAATGTAAAAATAAATTGAAGCTATGCTAACTGGCATAAACTGGCCATTATCTTTTACCGCCTATATGGTGTGCATATTTTCCGATCCAATCTAATTTTTTGTCTTGGTACCTCATATTTCATTCCAGTCCAAACTTCGTACCATGACCGGATATCAGGAATTATCGATCGCAGATACGTTTCCAGCATATAGTAGTGTATAGCGTCATAAATATTTGCTAATTTGTTGTTGCAAAGAGATTCTGCGTTGCTGAACGAAATGTTGGGTATGATGTACGCAAACACTCGAAAGCATTTTGCGTTGTAAGTGACGTCGCAATTTCCTAAAAACGAAATAATTTTAATAAAAATGATTTGATTGAAGTTTACCGCTATACGAGATGTTCTGGATTTTTTTCTATAAAGCCCTGCATTCCCAAACCTCACCTCAACCTTAACTAGATAAATAATTACTAAGCTACTTATTTTGTGGGTTGGCGGGGAGCTTTGAACAATAGATCCTATGTTCTAGGTTACTAAATAATAATGAGATACGACGCAGCAATCTGTCAAAGGAAATGTGAAAACATCGATTCCAGGTTGATACGCAGATGAGCGTATATTTTATCCTTGATTAATATTTGTCTGATCTCAAAAGAACACCCAATACCCACTTTTCGCCCGTACTTGCCTTTATAAAAATTACTAATCTATTATTGGAATGTTCCTTCGGTGATCAAGCAAAAATAGAAATATATTTTATATACATAATAGTACTTGCGTGAAAAGTAGTACTCGCTATTTTTCTGTATGTTCAACATAGCATTTCAAAATATCGAATTAAATATAAGGTTATTGTACTTTAGGTTGTTATGGCTACCATGATGGTCAGACCTTTAGTCGTTGTATCTTTATTTGATGTAATTGTAGTCACATCATCATCGGTAGTATTTTGTTTACCAGTAACATTGAAACTTTCGTTACCTGCAACGAGAAAGGTTTCATAGATTTATTTTAATTTTTGGCGGTCTCTCATAGTTCGAGAAACTAAATAATGAAATAGACTAATCGCATGAAAGGCATTAAAAGTTTTTTTTGTTAAGAGCGTTTTTATGTCCGGTTTGTAATGATGTAAGCTACTTTATTCTGATTTAAATAGCAAATCTTTTTTCTATTTGAACTCCCTTTACAGGGTTTATTTGAAGTTTGTTGTATAATATTCCTATATTTCTAATTCAGGCCAAAACACTTGTGTAATCACATCCTTCAGTTGTTCAAAAATGCTCACCAAAGATATTGAAATATCATACATCAGAATCGATTTTGCTGGTCTTAAAGTGAACCATCACATAATGATAATAGAATTTCCATCGCTATTTATCAAAATTCAGGTAATTAAATTTTGGTACCCAAGTACTTTTATCCAAACAAATTTTTCAAGAAAAAATGATTTAAGCTAAATATTATGAGATACTGTCTGATTGTACATTAATCTTGTAAGAATTGATACACGTCGTTGGCATACATGTAGAAGCCATTTAGATTTTTAGTACGTGAGAATGGAAGAAATTAAATGAATTGTTTGTGGACAAACGCACGCATACACTCATAAAAAAATCCAGTCATTTAAATTAAATAAAAACCCTGCTATTTTGTTATAACTACTGTTCACAATACTTGAGAATAGTCATTTTCATCTGTCCAATGTTTTAAGCTTCAAGTTATAAAGTTGTTATATCCTTCAACAACAAAAAATATACCTTTTTGGTTTACGTGTATAGAGTTTAGATGTGGCGCTATGTTGGGACTGTTATTAGAATGACAAGTAATCTGGAATTCTTTTCTTCTCAGATATTGTTCGATATCAAAACCAGTCTCATTCCAATCCGAAGTAATAGGATCGCAACTACTGAACTGACATCCTGGCTTGGCAGTGCAATGTAGAACTTCTTTGCCATCACATAAGGTGTTAATGAACATCACAAGCAAGTTCAAAAGAACAACTTCATTATGTCTAAGCATAGTCTGACAAACTGAAAAAATGGCATTTCATGATTCACTACAATATAAACCTAGGCAAGCTACGTGCGGTGTTTATCGTTTTTCATGTTAATGCGTCAATGAATTTTCAGATTTCTGCCCATTCTGTTTAATAACTTGTCTGCTAAAACTATTTTGCTTGGTGAAAAAAATGGCCCAACCATCCATGTCAATTATTTTCACTGCTGCATCATATTCGGTGAATTGACAATGCATGAGAAGTAGTAGCCCGAAGCGATTTATACAACTTAAACTTCTGCTTGAATTTTTCGGTAAAAGTAATGCTACGTATAATAGAAAATCCACCCAAAAAGCTTAATTTTAGGAATCAATTAGAGTATTAACATAAGCATGCATACTATTTTGAAGCATTGAAAGCGGAGGTTATAGTTGGTGCTTGTAATGCTGTCTTATTTTTCTACTCGAGTCTCTATTGCAACCTGATTTTTAAACTTAGACCTTGATCTGATGTAATTTGGAAGCGGTGAATTTTTTGGTCTGAAGAATCATATACATCATAATTTTATATTGTTGGTTACTTTGCTCGTGACTGGCCCCTATGGAGCCGCTTCGAGGCCCCCATCGTGAGGCCCAGTCCACTCTACGTATCCCTGGTCTGGTGCATCGTCAAATCTCAATCCATTTAAGAAAAAAAGATCAAATCTGTTAAAGTCAACGTCGATGGAACTATAACTGGCTATATAAATCGTGTATTCAGTCGCGTTACCTTAATCACAAAAAACAAAAAAAAATCATATATATTGAATAAATCAAATCCGTACATCTGAAGCAAATAACTGGTGAACTGATCGCTTACCCAACATGGATTGGTAACCGGGCGGGAGGCCATAGTTCGCCATATGACGAAGTCATCTTATTGGCATTTCTCCCAATATTAACTCCCAAGGAAATATAAACGCCAACGTACGGTTAGTTTTCTCACTTTTATTTCGATGTCAAAAAGAATTTACTTTACAAAAGATGTACCAATAATACACACATACGATTAGCCTTACAAAAAGGATGTGTTTTCAATATCGTCTTCTCTCGATCTAAATGGAATTGAAAGCGCATAAATAAAATGATGACTAACTAATCATTACCATCTGTGCTTTACCTTGTACGTGAAAATCCTCCAAATACCAACCACAATGAAACAACTACCAATATTCCAACCATCATCGCATAAAATGTAATAGGTAAAATTGTATCAATATACAGTGTTTCCACTTTGTCATCTATAAACAAATGCATATGCAAATTACAATAGTAAATATTTGAATCTATGCCGAAGCAGAAATTTGAATGAGCTCAGTAGCAGGAATCCAAATATACAAGCCTTAACCCGTAAGATAAATTTAAACTATCTCACCAATGAAATAGCGTTAATTATTGTTGACAACTAATTAAATTGTTCCTGCTTTAAACAAAACGATATTAAAGGATGTTATTAGCTGCATTTCATTACTGATTCAGTGCCCAAATCCGAACATAATACAACACGGATTGAAGTTTTGTCACTTGGTTTACATGCCCAACTGCCCCAACTACTCGACAAAAACATATATATAATTCATTATAACTTCACTTACTTTCAGTCTCCATCTCCCACATTGTTATTGTCGCGTTCAAAATCATCTTATTATCGCTCTTAATTAACATGGTTTCACGGATTGTAGGTAGCGCTTCGTCGACTGCGCAGAACAAGTCGTGCTTTATCAAAATCGACCATCAGTTTGCCTGATGCACCGTTCCAAATCGCCTAATTAGCAGCAATCACACGCTTTTTCCAATTACATAATTACAATCACAATTCACAACACTCCAATTCCGAAGGTAATCATAAGATAAAATTATGTCAGTTTCATTCTCGCCTGCGTACAGAAATTATGGTGCGATTGAAACTTCAACAAGCCTGCAAATCTGTCTATTTGTCTGCAAATATTTTATCTTCCATTATAATTAGATCAACGGGTCGTAACCAGTGATGATCTGGAAAAATCGTAACAACCGGAACGCACCAAATTCGTGAAAATGTAATATATATTTACAACACGAAGTTACCAGTAATTTTGTCTGTCGTAAGATAGAGCCGAAGAACTACAATGAAATATAAAAAATTATCTAAATCATGACTGTTCAAAATTGAAAGAATATTCATACTAATTCAATGCAAATGTTATTATTAGAAAGGTATTGGATGAATTTTTACGGGGTCAAAGGTTGGCGAAACATCCATTACACGTCACTGCTGTGCGCTAATTATTTGCCAGCTGTAATGCAAAAAGAATTATGATGCAACAAAGCATCAATTAATATCTAAGTTTCCCGCAGAAACTAGACTTTTCGAATCATAATTTCATTTTAACAACAGGAACGCAAACGCAATAAAATGTCCAACAACCGGAACGCCGTTCCGGTGCGTTCCAGCTACAGCTCACCACTGGTCGTACTTATACTGCATATTATCTTTTGATCATAGTAGGCAAAATTGAGCCCGTGAATGCATTAGATATTTGTTAATTTTAAATATTACATATCTCAGGTAAATTTATCATTTTGCAGAAGTATATGCCAATCACCGAAAAATGATTTTGTGACTACGCTACAGCTGAAGAAGTTATTGCAAAGTACGCCACTTCGGTCAACGACATATTCAGATGTATTGGCGTACTAGCCAATTTTTCATGGAAATGCTCATTCGGGACATGGGATTGGTTTGCAACTCGTGATGTATTGGCGTACTAGCCAATTTTTCATGGAAATGCTCATTCGGGACATGGGATTGGTTTGCAACTCGTGATGTATTGGCGTACTAGCCAATTTTTCATGGAAATGCTCATTCGGGACATGGGATTGGTTTGCAACTCGTAGAGCAGCTTGGGGGATAGATCTATTCAAACTAGACTTTGGCGCCCAATTTGTATCTTAGTATTCTACGATAAAAGTGTGTGATTTCGACAAACAGCGGTATGAATCTTCAGACATGTAAATCCTAAAATAACCTTTACAAACTCGTATTTATTTTTGATATTTGTAAATTATGGAATCCAAAACTTTACAGTTCAAGATTATTCTTCACGACTAAATAATGACATCGGCGTTAGCCTACTGTAATGAATTGATCCAAAATCGACTGAAGGCTATTTGTAACTTTCTTAAGTATATCTCCCGACCATTTTGTTATATATCAAACTTATTTTATCAAATTGGAATTTTGACTATTGTTAGACTTTTCAATGTTTAATGCAGCTTCCTACACGCCAAGTTAGTATCTCCCCAATGGAATCCATTCCTGTTAGGCACGCTGAATAAACGGTATATCAGAAATAAGAACATGTCCGAAGTTTTATTTAGAGCGTATGCATCGGGAATAATACGTTTAGACTTGATGACGGAAGTCTGTAGAAATTCATCACCTGGTGGCCCCACTCTGCCTCCTCCCGTATATGGCACGGGCGAAATTTGGCTCGTGTATCGACGGTGGTTGGATCGTCTTGATAATCATCATCAGCAAATTAGACACATCTTTTGAAACGATTGATAGAACCCCTGACTAGTAAATCGACTTGAGCACTCCAAAAAAAGGTAAAAGATAAAAAGATTTTATTCCGCAATAAAAATGGCTAAAAATAAAAAACTTCATTTAAACAGAAAAATACATAAACTCGCCCACACCAACGTTTTACTGATAAAAATGTGTCAAAAATATCCTCCAACAAATTGTTCCACGCCGAGAGCAGGACAAGCCAACCATATGTCAGATCATATTCAAAATGATTGGTCAGTGATTTAATCAGCCGTAACGATATGTTTTATAAGTTGGGGCACCAAAAAGAAAAAAAAATTCATTCGGAACTATATAAAGAAATTGGAGAAACTCAAAAGAAATAGAAAAACAAAAAAAACGAGTAAATATAATGAACACAGAATAAAACCAAGTCTTGCTATCATAAAAGCGACTGACTGGTTGATAGTGAAAAGTACGGAAGTATACGTTATATCTTGCTAAAGCAGTAGCGATAAATTCAGTTCAATTTGGTCATCACCAGAGCACCAAATGTGAGTGCGAACAATTAAAACAGTCAATGTAGCAGAAAAATCCATTCTCAGTTAGTTGAAGGTTATCGCTTATGTACATCGCAGTATTAAAGGCAGTGACTAAGTTGGGAATACGCGAAACTAGGTTCAAATTCGTCAAATAGCGCTTATTTCTACATTCATAAATTGAAGCCAAATACTACAACAGCGTTGTGTCTTCCTATCGATTCAAACCCAGATGAGGTCATCCGTGATTTATCTTCCACAGAACTACTTGAACCACAATGTGACGACAGGGAGTCAGTCACCTATTGCATTATTACCCATCGGATAAAGACTTCAATCCCCCAAAAAATAGTCTCGTGTATAACTCACACAAGCGTCAACGATTGCATTCTTCTGCTACCGTTGTTAACCATATTGGAAGACTTCGTAGATTCGGATCCGCTGTCGTACGGCATCCCTACCGCGGTTGGAAGACTTGATTGTTGATTAGCCAGAGGTACCCCAAATCTAGCTTCCAAATATGGCTGATATAAGTAATTTCTAGTTGGAATTTCAGGCATAGGAGGGGTGCGTTCCAAATCATACGTGGGATCCACACTTTGACATCTGGAAGGCACTGGCGATGGCCTAAAAGCATAAGTCGGAGATGGTTCGTGAGATACCGCATTGTAACGGTATCCAGGATAAAGAACACATCCTGGGTTGGATGCCACATTTCCACCTTGCGAAATAGGCGTTTGCGTGTGTTCGGACGATGTTCGTCTGTTTGTGGAAGACGAAGACGACGAATCAGAACTGTAGTCATCGTTTTCACAACCATTTCTGACATTCCTCACTGGACCTGGAAGTATTGGAGTCGACATAGCTGGATGAGGTGACATAATTCTTCCGCGATCTGGCATCGCTGAGTAGGATGGTGGCAACACGGTGTTTGTAGTCGCGGCGCTGTCATCCCTGCCACTCGTCGCCTCACTGGAATCAGTATCGTGTTTTTCAGGTCGCACGGTGTCATCAAAGAGAACGGGGTTGAAATTTTCGCTCAGCGCTCTGATCATGCCAATTTGAACCTGCTTTTCCCGCGGTGGGTTCCGCGTTGTGTTGTAATTACTTCCTAGTATAGGTCGATCCGCAAATCCACTAGGCGGTTGAGAAAACGTTGTCAATCTCGCAAGGGAGTTGGTCAAAATGCCTACTTGTCCCGAGCTCATTTTATTAGTTTTGTTTGCAGATTCAATGGATGCGTTTTCCAATATTTCGACACCAGATCCATCGAGCATTTCAACGCTTTTGTACTTGCTGTTCTGCTCTTTGTCGTTTCTGGAGATAGAAAAAAACAATCACTGACACGACACTTTAAATTTTTTGAAATATACACAATGGAATGTTTTTAAATCGATTTACAATTTTCTTCATGTGTGACGATTTTTTCGAAAGCTGTAATTACTTACTATCATTAAATTGGACGCTTACATTCACGGGCGAGTTCATTAAAAACAAATAAAAAATAAGAGCAAATTTGAACAAAAATGAAGACACTACTAGAATTGTTTTTTAAAATTAGGCAACTATGTAAAAAAAAATGATCGGCCCAATACTGATATGTAGGCTACTCACTCTTTCTGCGTCGCTAAATTAGACCTGGACGTCAATGTCACGTAGTTCACTAATGAAGGTTTTCCCATAGTTTGCGGAGACATGATTGTAGATTTACCATTCGGCATCGGTACCGATGCATCATATCTGTAGAATGGAAAAATATGGCTTTAAACATTCTGTTAATTGAAATCCTTCAAAGATTTCACTAGTACAAGTAAATACTGTACAGAAAACTACAATCAAAAAGCATTTTGGGTTATGTTGTTGATAATATGGTCGGTTTTAAATTATACGACATATTTTTATATTAAACCAAGCGCATTTTTCGTTACTTTAAGTAAATTTAAGTAAAGAATTCAGGGTACTCCTGAAGTATGCGCACCAAGATGTCGCACAACCTGAACCCTAACCTGGTACACAACCTGAGTTCAGTTCGTATTGGGACTTTTTCTGATAAAAATTTTGTGACTGCGGTATGAAAATTCTATTTTTCGAAATAATTGACGCCAGCTATAACTAAAACACAAACATGCAAGGAAATAAATAAAATAGTGTAATGTACTTTGCTGTTTCAGCACTGTCCCTTCGGTATGGACTTTCATAACTTTCGGCAAAATCAATCTTTGTGTCTTCTGAAAGTCTTCGATTAAATACGTTAGTTGGGACAGGATTACCAGCCAGTGATCCACCACCGTATGGGTGCTCAGTGTAATGAAGAAGTGTAGAAGTTTTAGTGCTGTGGTGAGTAAGAAGTGCAAACGTGAATTTATATATGGTAATAATGATGGAAGTGTCAGGTTGGTGATTTCTAAAATTTATTGGCATTTTGATCCGTTTTGACTTGATGCCGAATATCTTATAACCTAGTCACCTGTAATAGTAAAAATTAAGAGCGCGTTCTGTCAGCAAATCAATACAAAACGGAATGACTATTTGCTTCTAAATCGGGGGTGTTCCGATCGGGGGTAAATTTCACATGCGGCAAAATTGAAAACAAAAAATTGAAATATAAAAGCTTCAATGGTGGATATGCTAGCTCAACACAATTAGTTTAGAGGCCTGCGTCCACTCGGCATTTGTGTAAATGTAAATGTAAAAAATTTGGGGCGAATTTCACTTTTCAAATTTGTAAAGAATTAAATGAGAGAATGAAGATTGTGAAACCTTGCCTTTAAGTCGGAGGTATTCGAACACGCAAAAGTGTCCACAGTATAATAACGAGTCAAAAATGTGGTGCGGCACATTTTAATTTCAGTCTGGGCTTCTGGATTTCACACCACCAAAGTAATAAAATAAAGAAACTAAGATGAGTGCAAGTGATAAATATCTCACGCATGCAAATAAAAAGTAATGGTTTATCAAGAAAAATGAGGTGAAAAAAATTCAAACAATATGAATATTCAGTATCAAAAAGAAACTAAGAACTTACTCTTTCGTTTTCTTTATCCCAGACGATGAGTTGCATTCACGTTTTTTAACAACCCAACCAATGACGGCAATTAAAATGATAATCAATAAAATTATGACAACTACAGTCACAACGAATTCTCCAATTGTTAGTGAGCCGATTCCTCCTAAGAAAAATTAATATGATAAATTATTAGTCGTATTTTGTGTCTTTCTACTAATAAAACGTATAACTGCGATTTTGTTGCTTAGTTTGAGAGCGTAATAGATGAAATAGAGAGGTGAGGCTCATTTTATATATTTGAAAACGGCGTGAAAATATTATATGAAGCGGTGCTATGGAGTCGGAGTTTGGCTTGTTTTCAGTGGAGTTTGGTTGTATTCTTGAACTGCCGGGAGTCTGAATCGTAATTTAAAAGGGAATTTAATACTTCCAATGGTGCTAATAGAAGTCAAATTTTTCTACAAAAACCCTTGAAACCACGTTAACTAAGCGTTCTCAACGCCATACGCCAAGAACTTTTCATTTGATTTTCTGAGAGTTCGAAACTGAAGTCTAATTCGATATGTTTTACAACCCGGCAGTCGGGAGTCGTTTTTTAATCCGGAGTGGAGTCGATTGCAACCCTGATGGTCGTCTAAACGTTTTATCAACATCTTATTGAAGGCGTCCAGCATACGCCAAAATCTCTTGTCATTTAATTTTCTGCGAGTTCGAAACTGAAGTCTAATTCGAAATTTTCACAACCCGGAGTCGGAGGTCGATTGTGAATTTTCGCCGACTCAACAACCTTGCTTGATATGATGAATCATAACTAAAACTTGAAACAAGTTTAATCATCTAAATGGGAGTTTATCATTGCTGGCAGCACATGAATACTTGGAATCTTGTTTCACATTTTAGTTCGCTGAATCAAAGCCCGCAACCTATCAAAGATGCTGATCAACTTCCAACTGGACAAAATGAATAAAGAAAAAGTAAAATAATTACCGGTTTTTAGTGGTGTGAGGGAATAGGTTGCGTTTGACGTTTTTCTTAGTCCATTTGTCACAAGACAAATATAAGAAGTTGGCACCGTTACTTCAAAAGTTGAGATCTCCAACATTGAATTGCCACGATCATCTACAGTTCCTGTAAAAATACGAGGTTTATGTAAGTTGAAACGGCAGTGACACAGGCGGGGCAAATCTATTAAATTTAGCAATCAGTCAATAATTTTCATATCTATTATAATAATACTAACTATAGTGTTAATTTAGAGTGGTGACAGCGATTTGTTCTTACAGTTCTCCAACCATCTATAAATAACCTTCCGTATACTAGAAACGCGCGATCTTGGTCTAACATAAAAATTAATTTCTACCTCCTGCAAACACCAGTCTAACCATATTTCAAAAACACATTACCATTCGGTAGCAGCCATGTATAACGTGGTGGTGGTACGCTCCCACCCTCAGTCGAACATTTCAAATATTTTCCATGTTTTGAGATGTGAACTAGTCCGGGTGGATAGTTGACGATCAGTTTGACCTCTTTCGTCGCACTTCCTGGCACGTAATTAAAAGCCACACATTTGTAGATTCCTGCCTCGTGACGTGACGTGTTACGTAGGACGAGTTGAGAACCGGATGACTTTGGCTTACCTGTAGCATAAAATAAAATTTAATGAACAAATACACTTAGACATTAGTTAAGATATTGACGTTCAAATATATGAACACGAAAATTAAATGACTAATAAAAAGCTTATTTAAACTATGACAATAAAAGCTATAGCATGCACATAAGTAAGGGCCACTGATAAAGCCCTCATAATATCTCTAAAATTACATTAAACGTTAAACAAATTGTATCGAATATCATATGAAGGTTTGTGTGCACGATAATTATAGAAAGGCCAATTTGATATTTTGTAAAATAACGGATATCATAAAAGGCAAATTTAAAATGGATTGTCTAATTACTTGCGGAGAAAACCTATTTTTACGATAAAACATTGGCCATTCATTGAAGAATAAGAATTTTGCAACTGGCGAATTGAAGAGATAAAATTACAACATATTAACATCTTTTTTCCAATTCCAGGTTTCTGAACAACGTTATTCTCTATACTCACCATTAAAGAACCATCGATAAGAACTAGGTGGACTTGACTGCGCTTCGCAAGACAAAGTGACGTCACTATGTTCTCCAATTGTAGCTTGAGGATGAACTGACGTCACAACTGTTCCATGCGCCGGTGGATCTAAGAGAAGAGCAGATGTGTTATTTATTTATTTCCTTGTATGCTCTGATTTTAATATCGAACAATTTTTGTCTACTTACAATCTATATTAATATGAATACTTCTTTCCAACGCTCTCACATAACCAGTTCCGATTGCAGGAAGGGATAATCTACATTTAAACAATCCTTCGTCACGTGGTCGTTCAACTTCAATCATGCGTAACACTGACGTCACAACCGATTTTTCATGAGACACAGCTACAGTGCTTTGACGAACTGAATAAAAAATATATCTTGAAGTTAGTGTTTTGGGACCAGTTCATGCTCAAATTTGAAAGTGTACGAGGATGGTATTGGACACGAAATGGACCTATGGATCGTTTTGTTATTGCGTTTTTGTCGTCTTTCCATAACTACTGGACCAACTGGTTTGACATTTTCATTGCCTAAAGCTTGTTGTCGTCGCCAGAAGGATACAACTTCAATTTCTTATTTATTTCAATAATTTGGGATTCGTTTCTCACTGCAAAATTTTGTTAATCACGATATCCGAATTAAGAATTGCGTACTGTGCCGTGGTTCCGTGATCATATCTTCTAAATATTTGATATTACCTCGTTTTGGGTTTCGTGTCCATATATTTAAGCATTGCTTCCTTGATTTGCTCCAAGTGTTCATTTCGGCTCTCGTATTATGCAAATTTGACAAATACATAAAACTAAGTCATGGAAATATCCTTTTTTTAATATATTTCAAATTCTGGTATGTTGTGAATTGCGATATAACAATATAATTCCATACCAGCTTTGGCTATATACAAAATCTTTGGTTGAACGATAAGGATGGAGAGATTCTGTGCATTACTAACGATACTCACTAGAATAGGGCGATAGCCTTTCCTCGATTATTTTCCCGTCTTTTGACCATACGAAGTAAACCCTGTGAATCGCAACATCTGTAAGTGCTTCCAGCTCAGCCGAACATTCCATTTCATATCCTTTTGCTTTTACCGGCAGTGAGGCATTATATCGTAACGTGTTTGTAAACAAGGTAGCTGAAATAAAAAACAGAGATTGCAAATCATGATAAAATATTGCAAGATATACCATTTTAACAAACACATATGAAAAACATCGACAATCGTTTTGAAACAATTCAACAAAACACTTGTGCGAATATTGATAAGATAACGAAATGAAAGAAAGCCGACTCTCAACTAGACCAGAACAGTTTTCTTGGTGAGTTTGAGTGAGCCTTCCCAATCGTTGTATACTCGTACACAGCAAGTTATCACAATGGCAAAGGGAGGATATTAAAACAGTTTGAAATATCGTTGTTAACCTATGTAGTTTTCTATACAAGCGATAAAAAGAATTGGATTAATATTGGAATTTGGTCTACTATTATACTCTACCAAATTCCGATCAAGGAATCAAGTTGAACATTCATATCCATTGCTGTTTGTTTTTTAAAATTTGATCATATGTACAACAAGACCCTCAATTACTCTAGCAAGAGCAATGTTTTCACGTTGGATGATTCAAATCAAATTTGCTTTATCATCATGACGGCGTGATCTGAACTAAATCAGATTGAAAACATTCGAATCACACGTATAAACAAGTTTAAATTTCATTTTTTTTCAACCTCGTCCGGTCAGTTAGGCGATGACAGAATATTGTCGTCATATCTCGTGATCGCAAAATTTCGTGGGCGACTTATGGTCAGTTTTGATCGTCGAGAATTGGTCAGTGGCCATAAACTAACATGCTGATGTGCCATTCAACACGATATGCCAACGCCTTGGCGATAACAAAAAGTGTTGAAGAAAATCTCTATTGTAAGAAACAAATGGTTATTTAGTATTGCTTCCTCAAAAACATTAAGATGGAATTTGTTTTAAACTGTAATCCGAGTTGCATCGATTTGAAAATAAATTTTCCAAAAATAGGGGTCATAATTACATTTTTCCACCTCAAATTCTAGGAATTAAATTTGGTAGGTGATTTTTTGCAAATCTTAATTGCTCCTATTATTTATAATCAAAATAAATTTCAACACACTTGAATGTCACGTTATTCTCAAATGGGTACTTGGAACTAAAAAATAAAAAAAAAAGTATTCAAACACACTCAGAGTAAGATAAGAATACAGAATCACTTATATTTCTATATAACTTTAACGACAATTTTTGAAATTCGGATAACTTTGTCGGATTAGCAGAAGAGACGTCGAAAGCATGCGTCAACGCCGGGGAAGGATGCCAGGTGTCACATTTGCGAGCGACGTAGTAACAATTCATGACTAAGATGGAATATTTGTATAAGGATTATTGGAGACCTCAAAGGAATTTATTCCCATAATCGAGATTTCTCCATGGAGATATACGATGGGGGTGCAAATATAAAATGTACTCGAAGTTGCCTGTAAATTCCAGATATACATATACCAAGCACATATATTGCGAAAACTAAATTTTATCCACAGAATATTTCTGGCGTTTTATTGTTCACGATCAGTGAAACTGTTATTGGGCGTTATCGAAGATAGTTCCAAAAAGTCTCACAACACCACGAGCTTCTGTCGGAATATTCAAGTATCAATACCAACCTAAAATATTCACCGAGTACACAGAAAGTGTTGGTTAACTTACGCAAATCTCTCGATTTCTGTACGTCTATGGCTGCCACGGCATCTGGCGCAATACTACTTCTTGCCAGGCAAACGTATCTTCCGCTGGACTTAGTTGGAGTTGATTGGTCAACAAATATGGTGGGATTTCCAATAACTGTACTTCCATCGGGCCTCGTCCATATGACAACAGGAACTGGATTGCCAGAAGCCTTGCATGTCAGTTTATTTGATTTTACGGAAATTGTAACAACGGGAGGATCTGAAACAAAACAAAAAAGACATTTTATCAGTTTATCCCTACACATTTTTCCACCTTAACGACCATCTTCACAAAGATCAAATCTTACAAATTTGGCATAGACAACCATACAAATAAAACAATATTTTGTGCTGTAAGCTCAATGCTGCAATTCGCCAAGCTATGAATTCACTCGAGAACTGATACGTACTGGTTTTCTTTCCACGACATTTCAAGCGCAGATTTTTAAAATGAGAAAAAGTTTAGATAACTTATTTATGTCAGAAGTTAAATTAGTACAATAATTTGTTCAATTATTCGATTATGTCAACTCTAACAAAGTTTCCCACAATTTCGCAATAGGAATCGTTCCAATACGGCGACAATTTTGCGCCGAGCCGCAGACCGAAGCCAAGATTCAATCCATAGGATTAACTTGTCTGTCAGAAGAGGGCTACGTCATTAGATTCAACGTAAATATCGAATTACGAATCCAAGCAAAATTTGTCACGGTAGCTACGACTATAAACGCGCAGGGGATAATCTGAAAGACTAAAATTATTCAAAAATTTCAATTCTCTTATTATATTATTGATCAAGCGTGGGCCAGGGACAAACGGAGCTCAAACAAATCGAATTCTGGAGTGTTATATGATGGGTGAACGTGATAGGTGTTCAAATACTTATACATTTCAGCGATTGATACCAATTTCTGCATTTAATGATGCCCATCGAATTCGAATGGAATCAATTTTTCAGTAAAATTACATAGGAGTTGGAAAAAGGAATGACGATAGAGAACGGGACTCAAGGATCAAAGTCAAATTCATCTTCAAATATGCTGTCTTTTCTTCTCTTTAATAATGATACAGTTCTAACGACCTATTCGTATATAATCTTTCTTGGATAGAAAATGGATACAAATTGAAAAATAAAAATTGTTTACTTACGTAGCAAATTTATTGGTACTGTGACCCTTCGTTCGTTTTCATCATCAAAATGATCATGAGAAACGACGCAAGTAAAATTCTTTCTTGAATCATCCAAAGTCACCGGATCAGTTGAATTAGGAGCTCTACCTAATAATCCAGGAGTTAGACGCAATCTAGACTTGATGGTGTAAGTTCCATCGCCAACTGCTTCCAAAATTTCATCAGAGTCTTGTGTTTCCTGTGAACGATATTCAATCAGTATTTTATTTATTCTGAAAAAAAATTCTAGACTAAAATCATCTGATCTAGAAGACTATCTGCTCAGAATGGTTTAGAACAGTGGTTATAATTAAGCTCTTTTGTCAAGTCTCGCGCCCCATTTCAAAAATAACTAGCTAACAATAAGCTACAAATAACAGATAGTGAGGCGAAAGCATGTTTTACTCAAAAACACGTTGAAAATACGTGAATGGAGCGTAAATAACGAAATAAATAAAAAGTTTTAAAATGTAGATATCCAAAATAAGGCGGGCAAGATCAAATCTAACAGGTATTTTTAATCAGCTTCACGTCCCCTCAAAAAATGTTCTACGCATCCCTTGTGGGGCGCGCATGGAGAACCACTGGTTTAGAATATGTGGACGGAAACAGTTCATACATACATGTCATTATCTGGGAAAAGGGTATGGATTGCGGATTTACCACTACTAATAAAGTTTTGTGCAAAGTCGAATTCTGAAACTGGTTCCATGTTTCGACTCAAAGGAAAAAATTCTTAGATTAGCGGAACCGATGTTGCCTTTAATAAGATTGGTCGTGTGAAATCAAATCCTTTCCATTTGAAGTGAAAGTAGGAGTCCAATTGATTAAAAATATCCTTAAATCGTCGTATTCATCTGTTCTGAAAAACGATTATTAGGACCGGACTTTTGGTTATGTGCTGGTAAAACACAACACAAAAACCAACGAGTCATTCCAATTTCAGATAACGTGGTGGAATTCATCACTCCTAATCGTGAATGTATTTTGGGAGCTTGGGAAACCAATATTCGTTCAATATTGTAGTCCAGATTTGTATCGCAGCCCAGTTCCATTCTGAATTTGAAATAGGTGTCGGTCGATTTGGACTAGCAAATTAAATTTACTTAGAATACCCTCGGTTAAAAATTCTTCAATTTGGTTGGGTTAAAAGTAATTTACAACATTGACGACAACTGATAAATGATTATCAGTTAAGTATGCTTTCACTAATGTTTGCTCGTTGACAAGTTATCTATGATTCAGCGACACCAAAACATTAAATCTATTAACCTTAACTGCAGTGGAGTGGGTAAAACCATTAATATTGTGAACTTAGATAGCCTTACATTAATTGCGGTTACAATCGCGCTGGTTAACGTCTCCGTTTTGCATTATCGAGAAAACGGTTGCATGTTGAGACTTCTCAAAATCTCTTTAACATTATTAATAATTGTTTAAAAAGCAAGTTCATCATATCAATATTGCTCCAATTACATAGAATAATTTGTAACCCCCATTTCTGCCGCGTATGCATATGTGATTGGAAAGCAAGTAACGTAAAATGAAACCAAATGAATCATTTTTTTTTTTTGAATGATAGGAATAATACAGCTAACAGGTTTTAAATATAAAGATCTATTACTGTAGTTACTCGTTACTATTGATGTTACCTATACATCTCCGATTTTGCCAAAACAGACTGATTTGGGAGTTATAATTGATATTCAGTGACCTCAACAAGCCGCTATTCTGAATAACAATTACGCCTATTCTGAATAGCAATAACTATGGCGTAGGTGCAATTACTTTTCATATGAAATAGGAGATGACCTACCCCAGTGTTTGTGTAGATCCATCTTATTCTTGCTGGCGGTTTTCCTCCAGAAGCTTGACAAACTGCTGCTGCGTAAAGACCGGTATCTTTATCCACTGTTGGAAAAGCGGCAACTTCCACGTTCACGGTGGGTACAGCTGTTAAAAAATATAGTACCGATGACACGAAAGAACAACCAAAAAATGAGAAGCAGTAAGTCAATATTGTGACGCCCACTGTGGAAACGCAAATGCAATTCGGTGCTTTATGTATCTACATACTGCTTTTAGCGTAGTCGTAGTCGGGATATACGACAAACTCTTATTTTTGAAATTTTTTTGAATAATGCAGGTTTTAGAATTATAGATTCGGGACATTTTTAGTAAAAGCCGTCTCAGCAAATAATTGCAAAATTATTCACTTCTATTGAAATTGGAATGATCAGTTATTAACAAAATGGACTTCACCATATTGGTCAACTCCCGCATTGAAAGCCCGACCCATCAACTAACTGGACGTGTTCGAACGCAGTAACGCCACACGTTTTAGGTGATGTACATTTATTAATGAGTTTTCTATCGGGGTAATGTGTGATAAAATAGCATAGAAAAGTAAATTACAGCATTCGATATCAAGATAAGTGTATTGGAAAACGGCACACTCGAGAAAATGAATCTACATGTCTATACAACTACGGAAACCACATACTCGCGATATATAGTGACGTAATAATAAATTAAAGTACCTTTGAAAATATTAGTTTAATCTTCTACTGATAGGAATGAAACTTTTACTTCCTGAAACTAAGGTTACCAAAAACATCAGCGCGATCGGATATTATTTGAGAAACAATACTAACTATAAATTCAACCAATATTTAATCCATCTTTATTCCTGTAAACCTTTTATCCGATCAATCTCTACTTATAACGACGAACTAATTATTAAACCTTTTTAGTTTTATTAAAAAATAATAAATAGTATTATTCTTACGGCATCGATCGTAGAGATTATGATTAACATCGGCAATATTGGATAATGCGAATTTGTCGAGGGGGCGACATATTTTGACCAGATGAAAAAATCGATTATCAGAAAATAATAAAATACTATTCGGATAATCTGTCACGTGCTAATAACGATTCCCATGGGCGTGATTTTCCAGATTTATCGAATGGCCATCGGTCAGGTGAGAGCCATAATTGTTGTAAATATATATATATATAATCATATATTTTAGACAAGTTGAAAAGGGCAATCTGAATTAATATTAATGGGTAAAATTTATTGATGGATCTAATAATTAATCACGCACGCATTACGAAAAAAATAGTTTTCGTTAATTTGTCGATGTGACGTATAGACCGGTACATTTTCCTTCAAAATGTACAATGTCAACACGGTTCGTAAGGAAAAAAGAGAATGAATTAAAATCAATTAAACACGTGTAAAAACTGAAAAAAAAAAATGAACTGTAACTAATGACTATAAAGATGGGGCTAAAAGCTGCAACGGGTTTTGTGTCCTGGTTAATATGACAAAAAGCGTTTAGAAAATTAAGTAAAACACATTCGAAGCAATATTTTTACCCATGAAATATGATATGACATAGTAGTTAACCTTTTTACCTGCCTGATTTATACATGGTCCACTTCAGCGGAACGGTGCACATTCCCAGAGGATCACTTTGTGCAAATATTATTTCATTTTACATTAAATTTCACGGGGATAATACCTCGCTCGAACAAATGTTTTTATTCCGCATTGTTAAACATGCATTTCGTGCGATACAGCGTTTTTATTTTGGTATCAAACATTTTCAAATCTAATTTTCATTGATCGAATGACATCACCCTGTCAACATCGATTGCGGTCATCTTCAAATGGATGCGGAGCATATTAGACAATATGGCCGACGGAAGAACCACCGCACACATTATGGTAGCCATTTCTACCGAACAAACTAACTGTATAAACGTGAAGGTGATTATGAACTCGAGTACATAGACAGCACTAAATGTTATAAAATCTCAGAACCCCTTTCCAAAGAAGTGTTAATTTTGTACAAAAAATGCACTATTTTCCACCGTGTCAAAAGTTGAAATCCGTTGCTATCGTCACCCCTAGCCAAGAATTTGCTATACTGAAATAAGTATATTCGGGTCAATTGCGGGCCGCATCGTGTTAGTAGAGCAACACATAAAACGTGACTATTTACATTTTCAATAAAATCTAACAAAGAACTTGGTTTGTGCGACGAGCGCGCACATACGAGAATCCATATGAAAGCAGCGTTTTCACAAAATCAATTTTGTATCATGGTCCTATTATTTTATCACCTGCAAACGGTTTACAAACTCCTTGGGACTGTATCGCTATTCGCTGAATATCAAATGAAACAACACATGTCACAAACACGTTTGTCTGTAAATAACAACCTTCAAAATACACAAAAAAAAACGTATGTACAACGTATAACAGCCCAGTAGCATATTATGGAAAAATCTACCGTAAATCAATGAGTTATCGAAAACTCGTACGATGAAAATGATAATGCTTACCATTGACTTCAAGCTTCGTCGTCGAACTTTGCGCTGAACCTTTAATCACCTGACACGAGTAGATTGCAGAATCTGTTACCATCAAATCTCGTATAATCAGAATAGGCGGTCGAAATTCCGCTCTCCCGATCAAAGGGTCACTGACAATAAATCAAGATTTATTTTAGTACACAATATACGCCATTTTATTAGAGTCCAATTTAGGTATATATGTTCTCTTCATAACTTAGATCCCAAACGCGTAAACAGAAGAATTAGAAACGCCATCCAGGATGATTTTACAAGATGATGGAATCGGATAAAAAAAATAACAAACCAAGAAATATTTCGACAAAAATTTGCAAAACAATTTACCTAATTTGGGACACTCCGGACAAAGATGTCGCCACAGATATTTCTTCATCCCCTTCCCCGTGCTTAAACCACACATAAGCTGCGGGGCCATCGGATGAGCGGCTTGATAGGGAATTCGTATCACATGTCAGTGTAGCATTTTGTCCTTTTAAGTATTTCTTTCCAAATGTTGCATCTAACAAGATACACAACTCTAGTAATGTCAATAAAAACGTTCTTTGATAAATCAAACAAGTTCTACGCCGAGAAGAACAATTTATTCGACGCATTTTCTTGACACAATATTTTCAATCTAACGCCCTTTCGACCACAATGAAAAGCTGCACTCCGGGAATCAGCCAATCAGGAACCAGTCTTGGTTATTTATGTTGCTTCAATCTTCGATTGTATATTTTCCATTCAACAGTAGCACATTAATAACATGCAGTTTCCGGTACAAAGTTTTCAAAGCACAGAAACAAAATATATACGCCCGTTGAATATAAATAACAATCACCAAATTTTAAGTATCAACAATCTCATACCACGCTGTGAAATAATTATAATATTAAGAAAACATCATGCTACTACTTAATAATAATTTGGAAATATAATCGTTGGGACGCTGTTAACTGTCAAATCAATTTTCTATTTTCAACTACAAACTAATTTTGTAACAATTTTTATTGATAAAATAAAATTGCAGTCTATGTAGCAATTCTCAGCCACATATCCCATTCAGTGGACCAATAAAAATACAATTCAGTCAAGCTAGCAAATTGTTCAGTAACATTCTATATTCATATAATATTGATAATATGGCAACCCTTGGTACAACAGACTGACTCGTTTATATTCTTGCAATTATCTGTTATCAAATCCAACTAAAAACTGTTCTCAAACAGACGTCAAAATAACCCGATAAATGTTCGGCCTGTGCCCGTGGTAAAAGCGAGGTATTGTAAAAATTAAACACGATATAGTCATAACATACTGATAAAGGATAACCTGTACAACGGACAATTAACTCCTTGAAAATAATATAACCTTACACAACCAACTCAATCAGTTGCTTGCAAGGCGATGGCTTATCCAACATTGCTCGATGGGTTCGAGCAATAATCGGCGAAAAAATACAAGCCGATAATCTATCAAACAATCAAGTAATCACCATAGGAAGCGAACAACTTGTAAACAATTTATCTATCTTCGACGACGTAGTTTCGGCGCGATGTTTCGTTGCCAGTATTTCCTGAGCATGCGTGAGAACTGTGCACTGAGAAAAGAATCCTTTGATAGCATGAACATGATATTAAGCGCGGGTTGATGGGTGAATTACGAAATGCGTTAACAACAAAAAATTATTTAATTTACTATAATTGGACGTGTATTATAAATACAGCGAGTGATTGCACTGCCAATATAGGAATGGCGCCACAAGTAACAACGCTCACGGCACTGAATTGGCTAACGAAATAAAATTCAGTCGCACTTTTGAAGTCACAATATAAACCTACGGTACCTTATAAATAATCCGTCAAATGGAGCATGCTAAATCGTATACAATATTGAAAATTATAATCCGAATGAGCCACGCTAATATGTACCGAAATAGTGTGATTGGTGATCAATCACATATAATTTCGGGATCTATATTCCTATTTCGAGTTGGTTTCTATGTCACACAATAATCTTTTGAGGAAACTTTTATAAGAAAATATGTATTTATTACAGCCGAGCCGATTCAACGAATGCGATAAATCTATTAAAATTTGACATAGTCCCGCGAGACGTCACAACCTGATAGCTGTGGAAAAAATTTGGATTGTATTCAAAGTGAACTCATTAAAATCGTTGACCCTTTATATTTCATATGCAATAGCCTTGACTACTACTGTGGCGAGTAGGAACCGACAGATTTCCGTCCATATGAAGGAAAAATTATCATTCCTGAACTAAAGTATTACATTTCCTTTGTCGCAGGGCATCTTAAGAAGCATGGTATACAAATAATAATATGAAAATAAGAACAAATACATAATCAAAAACTAACTTCAAGCCGTAAAATTGATCTCTTTACTATTATATAAACTAAATCCATGTTAGATTCAAACTAAAATTAGCATTTATTGATAACGCCCAACCCACCAAATCTAAAACCTTTGGACTGCCAGTACTTAACAACTAAGTCCGCTTCCACGCTTATTTACATTACAACTGCGATGCCAGTAATGCCACATGAAACCAGACATTGACTGAAGGGTATTTCCTTTATTCTTAAATTTTAATAATTATAGATTTCCGCCCTCATTGAAACTCACTTTCACGCCTTAGTTGCCGGTGGTTACGCGAAACGAGAATAGTAACCGAAGCGCGACATGATTTTATCGGCCATATCATACATTTTTCTGACCCTCGCCTGGGTTTCCTCACCTGTCAGTCCGATGCACTTTAATTTTAACGAAATCGGAAGTTGATCTAATTTGTTAATAACAGCACTCATGGTTGAATAAAAATCCAAACTGGTCAATAAATTTTCGGATGGATGCGCCATTTGATACAAATATATTTTGATATAAATATTTGTTAGGTCGATAAAATACGTGAATAAAAATAGTTTATACAAATAACTATAGGTGAAGACTACTGGTAAAATATGTAATATCCGCGTATGTAATTTGATTCAATCAGGTGTGATGTTGAATACCACAAGAAGCCATTGTGGTAAGTAGTTATAACTTTATGCAAATCATCTTGCCTTGACATCCATGGTGCAATATAAACAACATAAATACATCCCAAATAAGGTAAATAAAACTTATAGCAGTTAAAAAAAACTACATCAGATCAAAATATCAATCTCAATAAAAATATATTATGCGATTATCTATCAGAAAACAGTGGGAAGCGTTCCTGCAAGATAAAGGGTAAGATTATTCATTGTCGCTAATGCATCGATCGTATACCTAAACCACAAAATATACCCGGCTGGAGCGTCTTATAACTAAAACATTATCTGGCGCAGGACTGCTCGACTGTTGTCACATCGCGCACACGGGAGAGAACGACAAAACCTAGATGTTTCGCCACTTTCCCGCCTTCCATCCCCGGGGACGTGGAACGCGACACGAACGCGCGAAGTGCAAACGTTGAAGCAGATCAAGCAATTTAACTTCTATTAATATCGTGCCTGGTTTACTACAAAAATTCCTTGTATTGGTATACTTGTACGTTGCTGTGTCGTTACTAAAATATGAATAGTTGGTAGAGGAATATTATATCTTCGGTATTGTGCGGACCACCAGTCACATAGTTTTACGACAAAAATGAAAAATCAGAAGCGTACGTTACAGGTAGGAAAATTTGAATGCAGTTCCTAATTTAAATATAAACTACTAACTGTACTCAACAAAATTGAAGCACTTAGCACCACCAATTGTCGTGCACACAAAAAAAGTGTAATATAACTTTTGTGCAATATACTGACTGAAATTAAGAACGCACCTTTGACTTTTTATATTACTTTATGTTTAGATTATACTAGGAAGTAGGAACCAATCCAACTGCTGCGACTACCGTGTGTTTGAAATTGACTCTGTTATACTCTTTTGCAACCAATCCAAGTACCTGAACTGTTATTTTTGAAGCACGTAAAATTGAACCCATTCGCTCGTCTGAAACATCCCGGCATAATCCCGTCTGAAGATAAGAATGTTTTGGAATCATCCTATTCAAACACCATCTCATCCGAAAATGGCCACCGCTGAGATACAATTACTTCGCTGTAAGCCATTTATATATGATTCTTTTTCTAGTAAGGCGATATACATATTTGTAAAAGATAATCTTTAAATTAAAAGGAACGAGCAAAAAGTAAATTGTTGAAAATGCAATTGTTAGCACGATAACAACGGGTATATTTAAAACTAAATTTGCTATTCACCTTATTTTGTCATACTACTGATTGCGTGTTATATCGTAAAGTTGGATTATTTCGTCCGCGTCGATACAAGGTAGAAAACAATTGACTGATAGTTTTGTTTGTCCAAAAGGAAACCATTTATCCTGGTCCTCAGGGAGAATATTGCTTTATTAATTATTGCCTAATCAAAGACGTAAATAGTGATATCGCCAGGCAATTGGCACGTAATGGACTAAGAACTACTGGCAACTGACTAAGACTACTGAACACTGACTGGTGATCTAACATAAGAGAATAACAAATTTTCCATATTATTTCTGAATATCATACCAAACGTATTCGAATACCTAATACCGATTGTAGCGTTCTACAATATATATTATTACCCTGCTGTTTTTAAATACAAGTAGGATTACTGATAATCTGCCGTCATTCGTGCGATTACATTATACTTGAATTATACACTCTCGCTGGTTCAACAATTTCTCACTATAACCTTACGTAAGGAGAGTATATCGGAATATAAACTTTAGAGGATGTCTTATGATATCACGGAGATTTAGTTTGAAAAGTATTTTTACAAAATAAAAATTGTAAGTGTTGTATCAGACTCACCCTCCGAGTCATAACTGAGTCTGAACGCGGTTTGTTATCGTCTATTTGTCAATCGAGTATGGGCCAAATGGGTGAAAATACCGTAACTCTGAATGACTTTTGAATAAGCCACGATCTACCGTTGTTACGCTAGAAGTCTTTTCTCATAATTCATCGCGGCGTCAGACTTAATCCAGGTTGTCGATGATCTCATGGCTGTTCTCTTGTTTGAGGTGTTAGCGTAAATACAAATTAATCTACCGTGTGGGACTTACTTATGATCAAATTGTAATCAAGCTTATGATCAAATTGTACTGAGTAATTCTTTAAAATTTCTGTTACGGTTTTACCACTAGTCGGATAATTTTATCTAAATGTTGATTGCAATTAACAGAAATTATCTACGAAAAATGAATTACGAATTACCTTAATATATATTAGTAGCGATATTACAAATATTAGTTTTGTATTTGTACAAACTGAAATGTTTTTCACCAATTTTTTTTTATTGCCTCGATTGTCAGGAATTTTCATGACCGCATGCTACGGGGGAAGTCAACCTTTCATACAACTCGAAGAAACGGAAATTCAGAATACCGAAACAAAAATTCACGCACTGTAAATCACACCACACCAATAACTGGCTCAAAATATTGTAATAACTCTACCTTACAACTGAAACATTCGTAAACTCACGTCAAAATTTGAATAACCACACAGTAATGAACTATTTTCTCAATATGTAAATAACGTACAAAATAGGATACCTTGATACTGCCACATGCTACGACGGGCTGTTGAATACTACACCAAGTTAATGTTACAAGATTAAAGGTTCGAATGATTATATTTGATTCATTACATATTGAGACGTAATGATGTTGCATTATTCACCACCAGCAAATAATTTTCGGATTTCATATACCGTACATGGATTCAAATTCTCACCCAAGTACTAGCAATTCATACCCAAATGGGAGCTCGGGGTAATACTGATCCAATCTATCATCGAACTTGCTGCAGTTGCGGC